ATGTTGTTTGATGTATTATTATCGTGTTTTAGTGTTGTCTTGGGGGAGGGAACATTTTTGCACATACTGACAATGTCATGTATTGTAATTTGATTGGTGCATTATGTGTTATCACCTTGTTTCCAACAGCCACACAGGCAGTTAACCAGCTGGAGAGACACACACACCGGTAGTATATTTATGTCAATGCTTTGCACAATGTGCCGAAGTTAAGTTTTGTTTCAGATACTCTCGGATCAAAAAATGTTAAATTCTCATATTTTGGCCTTCTTTGCGTAGAGAGAGATGAGAGGATGCAGTTCTCTGCAGGGTAAATACATAAACAATATACGGCTATTGTAACGCTCAGTAATTGTATTATCAGCACTGACTTAGACTTTTTGAGGATTATTTTGTGTATACAGAAGTACACAAACATTCCATTTTTTTATTTTAATCTTCTTTTACATTACAGGTCATTTAGTTGACGCTTTTATCCAAAGCGACTTACATTTTTTAACCCTTGGCTTTTTTTTGGTGTCTTGCTCAGGGACACTTCAACATGGGACATGAGGTAGCCGGGACTCGAACCACCAACCTTACGGTTCCCAGCGCACCCTTTCTACCCCTGCAACACATTGACCATCTTGATTAATCTCTTGGCAAAACCCGGCAAATTTTAGACAAATAAAATCAAGGAAAAACTTCTTCTGCCAAGTTTTATAAACAGTGATGACTGTAAACATTCGTAGACCAAGGTCCCCATATTATTTATTATCACTGGAATGCTGGAAGACACGTTTTTTTAAACAGTGCTTTCACTTCGAAATCCTTGCAAAGTCTGGTAGTCAACACTGAGCTAGTCGACACCTAGAAGTTATAATAATTGGTTCCTTTGACAAAAAGCGGCAAGAAAGAGTCCTCTATCCCAGAAATAAGTCCACGTTTTAAAACTTTGTCTGGAAATCTGTTTTTTTTTTATGGGTTTTTGATTTGATCTCTTAAAATGTCTGTGGTCAACAAACTTACAATATCAAATGCAAATACCACCTTAGGTGAATTTGAAAGCTTTTACATGTGTGGTGAGACAAATTAGATAACTAATCTTCATTCTGACTATAAATCACCTTTAACCTAGTGGTGGTCATGTGATCATGGTGTAGTTCCTTTATGGCCATTATATACAGTAACATAATAACATTAGCAATTTCATACCTACGCATTTGTTCTTCAAAAATCATGAAAGTGGTGTTTATTTGTGAAAACTGTTGTGCCTAACATAATGTTTGTTTGCAAGTAAAACTCATTTTTCTCAACTTTCAACTTTTTCTCAACTCAACATCCCAGTTTGGCCTGTACCAATATGTCACCCTTTCTTCCTTTTTATGAACTACAATGTAATGTCACGTGACGATCATTACCACTGTGTCTATCACCAGGTGCAGTCGTGATACAAAATAACAAGTTGGTTGTGGTACATACAGCAATGAGAGCAGTACACAGGGAGCAGCCTGTATAACAAGGTCATGTTTGCCCTGGGGAGTCACCAGTGCTCTTAGCTGTGAAGTCAGAGCATGATGGGATACTATATTAATAAGCTGCTAAAATAACTGCACATCAGTCTTTGACACACATGAGCTATTTGACTTTCAAAAAGATCCCAGTCATCAGAATAAAGGCATGCATAAACTACAATATGCATAAACTACAATATCAGTGTGCCAGAGCACTGTATTGGAGTGTGAGTTATCTTTTACAAATATGGCTTTTTAGCTATGAATATTAAGTATAGATTATGATTAATTGGTTTAAAACGGAGTCTAAAAGGTCTAAAAGGCCTACACTGTAACAAATTGCTGTAAATTTACGGTGCATTTCTAACAGTAACTTACAGTATGTCATAATAACTAACAGTTAAATTTCCATCCCTTGCTTGTAAATTAACGGCCAATGTCATGAATAAACAGTTAAAGCTGTCAATTTACGATTATAGCAGACTCATAATTCAACTGCATGTTACATATATTTTATGAAGTGGTGGTGAAGACACATAAAAGTGCAGTGAATCACAATCCATCTACATCTGTTGTAGGTTAATGTATGGAAGCCCATGTCAGCCACTGTACACTGTACATGTAGCTGTCACTTTTATCCAAAACGCCCATGGTTTGACATAATTTTATGTGGAATAATTGGGGGTTAGGAGTCTTGGTCAGGGACACTTCAACTCGGCACAGGGAGCAGCTAGGATTTGAACCGCCAACCTTGCACAGCACACCCTCCCTATCCCATGTGCTGCCTTCATTGTTGTTTCAGTCGTAAGAATGTAAAGATTAGGAATATTTGTATTATTCAAAGTGTTCATTGCCTAAGTCATTTGAGTGTCAATCGTGACCGACTGCTCCTGAACGTGACGTCAGACGTAGTCTCAGTTCATCCAGAACACCTGTGCAGTTCAACATAGGAATTTCTCATTGTCTCGTCTCTCCAAGTAACGTTGGTAAGTGTTATTTGCCTAGTATGATTAACATTCTCTTTCTTTACATCCTGTTGTCTTCCTCATCTTTGTAATTTTTAATATTTTTATTTGTTTTACAGTAGCCACTGGATTAAGGACGCCAGCAGTTTGCTGCGGTCAATTGAAAGTGTTCCATAGCGTATTGTTGCAGTTAGTTTACCTTGTTCCTAATTCATTTTATGATTCATTTTTTTATTATGGTATACATGCGGCATATTTTATGTTTTATTCTTGGTTACAAATGTCTAACATTTTTGTCTTAAAGGCATCTAATAAACTCCAACCACTATGACCAAAATGAGTTTGGTTGTCTTTAATTTGTGGGGAATTAAATGCAAAAGTATACGGTTATAAGTAAACTGTATTTATAACACAAAAACAGTGATCCTATGGTAACAAACTGTAATCCCATAAACGGCAACATAGCGTATATTATGGTCGGGCACTCTAAATAAAATAGTAAGTTACTAGCGTCGACTGCCAGTAAATTGCATTTAATTTACAGTAAAATTGGTTCAAGTTTACGGTAACATACAGCAATCCATTATACGGTAACACTGTATTCGGCAGTGTACCATAAAAGGAACAGCAAATTATTGACATCCGCTGCCAGTATTTTACCAAGTTCACGCCAATTTACTGTAATCCATTTTACGGTAACATAGTGTAAAAACCATTTACGGTATTACACTGTAAAATAACGGTAAATTCCTGGCGTCCTTGCTGACAGTAAGTTACCGTTAATTTACGGTGACATTTTTTTAGAGTACTCAAGCAATGTAGTAGTACTCCTACATTGAGTAAGGGAATTGTGAATGTCAAGATCCAGAAAATGGTAATATTAAAGATGCATGATGATATCGGCTCCCATGACGTGGGGTGTAGAAGAAGGACCTCAATGCAGATATGCAATAGAAAAATGACTGGTGCAGAGTAATGATTTAAAAAAAGAAGCTTAGAAGCAGAAGAAATAACTCATGTAGCCATGTAGACAATAAACACTGACAAACGTCAATGGGAGCACAGACTAAATAAACAAGAAAAGTAGGGAGTTGGAACAGGTGAGTTGCTGGATTGATAAATTGGTTTCCTTCCCTTCGTGAAGCGCTGCAAGTATTGTTTGAACCGGAATATTTTCTGCTTTTGTCGGTTAGGGTTTAGCGCAGGGGTGTCAAATTCATTTTAGGTAAGGTGCCACATACTACCCACTTTGATCTCAACAATGATGCATACTGTCGGTGAAAAAACAAATCAATATTGAAAAAAAAAAAAACAAGCCTCTCGTCTGTCAGAAACAAGGGAACCAGCACAAATAAGTTATTCCACACATGCCTGGTCATTACCTTACTCGGATGACTTTCACTGATTGGAGTCAGCCAGGGTTGCTTTTGGGTGAAATAAAATGGTCCATTGGTAAGCAAGAGTCAATCGCTAATTAGCACTAACACATTTTCTGTTAGCTCCTGCGTTCAACCGTGAATGCGTGGGGACCTGACATCATTTTCTTTTCCAATTTGCGGGTCTACCGGCACTGACTTGGTGAACGTTCTGATCCCCCCAATCTAACGCATGGCCTCACTCACAGAGTCCAACCTCCAGTGGACTGATTAAGAATAGCAGCTACCTTTATAGAATTATAATTTATGTCTTTCTGTAATTTTTACACTTAGCAAAGTCATCCAGTGGGCCGAGCTGGATCACCTGGCGGGTGGAATGTTTGACACCCAGGGTTTTGGGGTTACTGCTTTGAAGCAATAAGTGAACATTGATTTATTTGACACATATAGCCTACTTATGTAGTTATTTTCATCTAAACAACAATCTTCCCTTTTACCTAACTTAGTAGGTTTGTTGCCTAAAGTTGGCAGGACAAGTTGATCAAGCCATTTCTAAATGTTGTCCATGTAACATGACTTATCCTCGAAGACCTGACTGTGGACACAGAAGTAGCCACATCACCCATGTGAAGTTATAATGTGTAGGATCAGGCGTCAAACTGCAAATAACTGAAGCTACTCCTGTGTACCACACTTGCAAGGTCACAACTCTCACCTTGCATTGTGATTGATACTTGTTAGCTGTTGATTCCTTTATTGTGCAAGCTGCAGATCATCTCCATCATTGCAGATAGATTACGTATGTACATTTTTCAACTTATCTGGTGATTATAAAAAAAATGTGTTTATCATCAGATTGCATCACAAGTCCCAAGCTGAACACACGCTCACACAAACACAAAAACATGCCAGCATCATATAAATGTGCACATTGGAAGCAGGCAAATAAGTACAGCGTGCGGCTTTAAAATAGCTGTACACATTTGTCTTAAAGATAACAAAATAAAATGTTGATGATTCTGCTTTGATCAGATATCCTCAGTGCAAAAATGACTGCATGTATTATTCTGTCCTTTAAAACATCGTAAAACGTATTTTTCAGAATACAGTAAAGGTACTATAAAACAAGTCTGTTAAACGTTTATTTGATACATTTATTTGTAGTCTAAATTATGCACTCAGGACAAACATTGCGAGAATAAGAGTGTGTTTGTCCTGTGATGATAGGTCACACTCCTGCAGTCCTGTCATCCACCACATCACATCGCCGTGTTCATGTTTCTGGTCCTTTATGCAGTCCAATACTGCAGCCCTTTTGACAGGGAGCGCGCATCCAAATTTACCCTCCAACTGCGCTCGCTCCCCGTGACTTAAAAAACACGCGTGCACGGCTGAAGGTCACTTAACACAAAAGGCTTTGAGCGCTGCGGTCCAATATAGCGCATGCGCGCTGCCGGAGGACTGCTTCACAGACCGCAATATGGCGAGAATGCCTGCCAGCGGAGACGCTGGGCGGGATCAGATGAGCTGCCCCAAGAGGCACGCGGAGGGGGATAACGAGGGGGAGGATGAAGATGAGATACATGAGGTCCAGATCACCGGGGAGGAAGAGGACGAGGAGTCCGATGGAGATGGCGTGGACCTGGAGTGGAAGTCACGGGGCTATGTGCTGGGCTCCTGCAGTTCCGCCGCGCAAATGCGAGCGGTCGTTATGCCGAGTATGGACCGAGAAGAGGAGGGGGAGGCGGATCCCTTCAGCGGCGGCGGGTCAGGTGGGCTGGAATCTCACCTGGAGGGAGACCTTCAGCGGTCGGAGCGAAACAAGCTGAGCGAGAACACCCGCCTGGCCACTCGATATGCGGTGAGGATCTTCAGGGAGTACCTCGGCGAGAAATCCCAAAGTCCGGACTTTGAAACTCTGGACAAGGAGACGCTCTGCGCGGTGCTGCGCTCTTTTTACGCGGAGGCGCGCTCCAAAAGCGGACAGTTGTACAGCAAGTCGTCCCTCATCAGCATCCGGAGCTCACTGAATCGGTATCTGAACGAGCCGCCCTACTGCCGCACACTGGACCTCACCAAAGACCCGGAGCTTCGTAGCGCCAACCTGACCCTGGCCGCGGTCATACGCAGGCTGGAGGAGCAAGGCGCTGGTCCCGTGGTGCAGAAACAAGCCATCACGCGCTCGGACCTGCGGAAACTCTACGAGTCGTCTGTGTTTCACGCCGATACGCCGTTCGGGCTGCTCAACAAAGTGTGGTTCGAGACCTGCATGTATTTCTGCACCAGGGGCCGGGAGAACCAGCGGGAACTGGAGGAGGACTCGTTTGGTCTGGCGGTGGATGAGGACGGGAGAAATTTTGTCTATTTTAAAGCTCTCGGACCGTACCATAAGTCCCGCTCTGCCGCCTGGAGCAAGAAGCGTCCGGATCCAGACGAGGACACGTTGCCGCGGATGTACGAGACCCGCTCGGAGCAGTGTCCGTACGCCAGCTTCGTCCGCTACGTGTCCAAACGGAACCCGCTTTGCAGGGCGTTTTTCCAGCGGCCGCGGGACCACTGCTCTGCAACGGATGTGGCGTGGTACGAGAACAAAGCTATCGGTAAGAACCTGTTGGGAACAAGGATGCAGATGTTGTCGCGCGCTGCCAAGCTCTCCAAGACCTACACCAACCACTGCATCGGCGCCGTCTCCATAGCGACGCTCAATAGCATTGTGGGCGCCGCGGGCTCGACAACGTCGACGACGCTTTACGTTGCCACGGAAACAGTCAACGGTCATGCGCAGTCCAACCTCCCGTACCTCAGTCGAGTTGCGGATCTGAAGCCGGCTGCAACAACAACAGTAAACACGTCATCATCGACAACGACGACAACAACGAATAAAGTCATCGCCGATGAGGACCCGGGGGCTCCTCACGCCAAGAGGCTGTGTGTGCGCCCCGGGACACACGCAGAGTCACTCATAGAGCGGGACCAGAGCGAGAAGGGGCCCGCAGCAGCCACGGAGTCCCCCATGCACACCCACCCTGTCACTGCGCGCACACAGGTAACGCAGGGCGTGTAATAAATAGTTCGTCTTCTCCAGCAAGGCCCTTGGCAATGTTAAGGGCTTAATGTTGCATTTAATTATATTTGGCCACTAGGGAGAACAGAACAAGGTCTACAAATGATATAAACTACATTAGCACAACTCAAATCTGGTCTCTCATTACCAAACTATAGACAGTTGATCACAACTGTTTAGTTTGCTTCTGGGCAGGTGTTGAACACTGACTTTATCCGGGATTCTTCACTGAAAATCGCTACTTGTCACCAGAAACAAGTGATGTTGTTGAGTGCTTAGAGACTAAACCAGTTTATGTTCTTTAACCCTTTTAGAGTTGATTCTAACGTTTTTGGTTGCCTTGCATAATGTCTTACTTTGTGTTTAACTCACTTTTCAGTTTTGAAAACAAGAGTCCGTAAATTGTCTGTAGAGAGCAGGCTCTGATGCTTTTTTTATTTTAATAATTTTGGTTATTCTTATTGTTTATTAATAATGCAGCCTGTATTAAAATTGTGAACTTACACCAACTCATTTGTGAGAAATAAAATAAGAATATTTTTTACAAGATGATATGTGCTGGAAATCGGTAGTAAATATCGGACTGGCCTCCGTTAACTTGGTAAATGGACTGTCCTTGTATAGCGCTTTTCTAGTCTTCGGACCACTCAAAGCGCTTTAACACTGCATGACATCATTCACCCATTCACACCCATTCATACACTGATGACAGGAGAACCATACACAGTGACACCTGCACATCAGTAACTACCATTCACACACTGCAGTCACAGCTACAGAAGCAATGTTGGGTTAAGTGTCTTGCCATCGCATGCGGGTTAGCAGAGCCTGGGATCGAACTGACAACCCTCTGATTGGAGAACGACCGTGCTCCTCACTCACCCACAGTTCCCGATGTTTCTACAGTTTAACTTGTGTGTGTTTTGTGCCCCAGGACAGCTGTGTGTCCAGCCAGCAGCAGGTCTCTGTGTCTATTGTATCTCATCTGGGCACCGCCGGCATCCCCTTACCAGCCCAGCTCACCAAAACCAACGCACCCGTCCACATTGATGTAGGGGGACACATGTACACCAGCAGCCTAGCCACCCTTACAAAGTATCCTGAGTCACGGTGAGAGACACATATCCACTAAGAAAATAAATACTGCTTAAAATAATGCTTTTTTTCTCCTGACAAGAGTCAGGACTTTTCCTTGACAAGGCTACCCCGAGGCTTGCCTTAGCATTCATTTAAAAATCCTTTAAAAACATTATTTAATATTTATAAATAATCACGTTCATACAATGAACTAACGTTTATTGTCAGGTGTTGTAGTGGGACTGAACCCAAATGCAGAACGTAAACGACACGGCAGTCAGAAAGTAGGTGAAAGTCTGATTTATTTGATGACACAAGGGTAGGTGAGCGGCAGGAATGGGTGTGAGGAGTGCGGATGGTGAGAGTGAATTCCCAGGTGTACAATATCCGGTGAGAATCCAGCGTGCAGGAACAGACAGGTGCCACTGGAACAAAAGGAGGTGAAACGAGAGGTAAGTAGCGGACGTTGGCAGACACAAAACCAAAAAACCGCTCTCGGCAGACTCGATTTCTCCTATACTGAGACTTAGACTATGTCTGAGGTCGACTTAGGTGACGATCCGACGTCGGCTGGTTGTCCGGCTCTCCCTCTTATACCCTGGTGATTGCAGATCTGGTGCAGGTGCGTGATTACGAGGACAGTGACAGGTGCGTGCAAAGGCCAGCCTTCTCCTGGGTCCGGAGGAGGGAACTCTGACAGTTTATATTCAGTAAACCCCAAATACCAACAACAGGATGGTTTGACCCAACCGGCCTCACGGCAACTGTCAAACCCTTTAAAATAAAGCAACTTGTGACAAATATAGCAACTATTTGGCGCGATGTATTGTTCTCACTCTTCTCAACGAGCGCTGCCGTAAGCCCCTCCCCCCACTCTATAACGAGAACTAGCTCCCGATTTGAATCATCTGTCAGTCCATGAACGTTTCCCTGATTTACTGTTCATTTTCACCACGTATGAAGCCAGAAATTCGGTTTTCATAAGCAAAATTAATACATTTATTCTCAGTTTATATATTTGGACTTACAAACATGGTTTTTGATTTCAAAAAGAAATTTGCTCTCACATTATTTTTTTTGGTTAAGGAAGACACAAATATACCTCAGTAATGAATTGTTTTACCTTTTGTATCCTGATGTTTCTACAGTTTAATGGCATGTGGTCTTTTTCGATCACTGTTAGTGACCTCATCTTGCTTTAATAACTCAAACACTATACAGGGGGTTGTCGGCACATTTATATCTGCCAAGTGGCCTTTTTCTGGATTCTGGCTAATGCAAATCCTAACTTGTGAATTACCTAAAACATAACATGGTTTGACCTTCAATAATGAAAAATTGAATATATAAAAAACTCTATTAACAATCTACATCCTAAATGAATTTTTTTTCCATCCATCCACCTTCAACCGCTTATCTGGGATCGGGCGCGGGGGCTCCAGCAGGGGACCCCAAACTTCCCTTTCCCGCCACATCTACCAGCTCTGGCTTGGGGATCCCAAGGCGTTCCCAGGCCAGTGCAGAGATATAGTCTATCCACCTAGTCTTGGGTCATCCCTGGGGCCTCTTCCCAGCTGGCCGTGCCTGGAACACCTCCCTAGGGAGGCGCCAGGGGGCATCCTTACCAGATGCCCAAACCACCTCAACTGGCTCCTTTCAACGGCAAGGAGCAGCGGCTCTACTCCGAGCTCCTCACAAATGGCTGAGCTTATAGACGCCAGCCACTCTCCTCTCTCTTCTTCATAACGCAACCCACCCATAACAAACACGCCTCTCCAGTTATCTCCATTGTCGCCCACGTGCACATTGAAGTCTCCCAGTAGGACTATGGAGTCCCCTACTGGAGCCCCATGCAGGACTCCATTCAGGGTCGTCAAAAAGGCAGAATACTCCAAGCTGCTGTTTCGTGCACATGCACACATAACAGTAAGAGATTTTCCCCCCACCACAGGCGTAGGGAGGCAACACTTTTGTCCACTGGGGTAAACTCCAATGTAGCAGCACTCAGCCGGGGACTTGTGAGTATCCCCACACCCCCTGGCGCATCACACCATGGGCCACTCCAGAGTAGAATAGAGTCCATCCCCTATCCAGGAGTGTGGTTCCAGAGCCGAGTCTGTGCGTAGAGGTAAGCCCCACCAGATCCAACTGATAACGCTCCACCTCTCGCACAAGCTCCGGCTCCTTCCCCACCAGAGAGGTTACGTTTCATGTCCCCAGAGCCAGCATCTGCCGCCCAGGCCTGTTCCGTCTAGACCCCCCACTGTCACTGCCACCCTTGTTGCAGCGCACCCAACCCCATCGGTTTCCCCCACAGAGTTCTGGGGGTGCCACGTCACCAGACGCTTGCTGTCGGGCCTCCATCTGGGCGTGGCTCCAAATGGGGGCTACGGGCTTCCTGCGGGCCGGGTAGCTCCTTCCCTCTTCCCCTTGTTCATAAGGTCTTCTGAAAAAATGTTGTTGTCTAAAAACAACAAGTCAATGTAACAATGCCTTTTAAGAAGACATTCTAACTGAAAACACTGTGAAACAGGTGATCCTCCAGTATTTTAAGACACTCACTCACTGGGGTCTCCCTTTTTGGCCCACCATACTCATTAAGCCTTGACAGATATGCCTCGTTATATTATCATGCTTCTGCTCTTTTTTTGTGCCGTTTTTGTGTTGCTACAGCTGAAACTGATTATCATTTGATTTGAGCTGTATTTCATTTTTAGACTGAAACATGCCATCTCGTTTTTCAAAACATTCCACCTGTTTTTAGACCAGGTTATAGGGTTCGGAGGGGAACGTTGAAAGGGGAACATCAGAGGGAGGCGCCTCTGACGTCATTTTACGCTCATTTTACAGTCTCTTACACTTTTTATCATGGGTAAGCCATTTTCGGAGACAAAAGAAAGGCTAGTCACCAACAGATTGTGTGTGCCGGATAATTATGGGAAGTTAAGCTGCTGCATCATGTCTTTATTGTTTCTTGCAGGATCGGCCGTCTCTTCGAGGGAACGGAGCCTATAGTGTTGGACAGTCTTAAGCAGCACTACTTCATTGATCGAGATGGCCCCATGTTCCGTTACATACTTAACTTTCTCCGCTCCTCAAAACTCTTAATCCCCGATGACTTCAAAGTGAGTGTCTAGAGCTGTGATCAGGTACTACCACAGTCCATCTGAACAGTCCCACAACACAAGAAGACAACTGAACTGTCCTGGCGGTCAGGGTAGAGATTTGAACTGTTGTCACACTTATGCAAGATATCCTGAGAACTGCTTTGAGTATGACTAAGAACCTTTCAGACACCCTCCAGCTCCTCCGTTACAATGCCCCTCTGACGCAGTTGTTACCGTTACAGTTGTTGTTGTTACCTTGTTATGGGCGCTACTCTTATGTAAACACTTTTTGATTTTGTATTAATATTCACAGTATTTACAGTAATTGTGGCTAAATATTTGCACCGGGAAAAGATTTTAGTCACAAATTCTAGCACAAACAGACCACAATTTCTTAATATGGATAGAGCATCTTTCGAGCGTGTGTTGAGCTTGTTTCCATCTATATTGTGTTTCTGTGTTTGTTTCAAGGAATACTCCTTGCTCTATGAAGAGGCAAGTTTCTTCCAGCTGAATTCTCTGCAGGCTGCGCTGGAGCGCTGGCAGACCGAGCAGAAATGTGGAAAAGCGTCTCTGGCGTGTGAGTGTGTTGTGGTTCATGTGGCTCCGGAGCTCGGTGAGAGGATCAGTGTGAGCGCCGACCGGGCCCTGATCAAGGACGTTTTTCCTGAGGTCAGAGGCGTCATATTCAATTCCCAGAACACCAGCGGGAACCAAGAATCCTCACACGTAATTCGCTTCCCGCTCAACGGCCACTGCCACTTCAACTCCGTGCAGGTACTAAACACACTCTGGTTTTAGATATCAAACCTTTAGCACCAATGTTGGTGCTTTCCGTAGGAATTTACAGGAATAAACTGGAAATTCTGGGGTCATACGAGAAGTCGCCCAACTCACTCTTTTAATAATCCAGGTCAGTGTTTCCCTTCGGTCTACAGTTTAAGGAAACGCAGAAATTAAAATCTTCGTCCGCCTAAGCGAAACCTTCGTTTTCAAATGCGCGCTCCCTATCCACTGGTGGATATATATAGGAATATGAGAGAATCCTGGTAAAAATGAGCAGGCAATTTGTCGCCTTCTGTTTAAGGTATAATTCATGCAATGGCTGTTACTCAGTGTGTGCCAATGGAAGGCACTCTAGTCGGAAAATTTTCAAATCTACACATTTTCACTACTTTTCCCAGAATACGGTCTAGGAAATGTCTAAATGTCTTGCTTTGGTTTGTGTGTGACTACAGGTGTTGGAGCGGTTACAGCAGAGAGGGTTCTGGATCACAGGTTCATGTGGCGGTGGAGTGGACTCTTCCCAGTTTAGTGAATACATTCTACGGAGGGAAAGCCAAGAAAGCAGACACCCTCCTACCCTCATCCGAATAAAACAGGAATTCCAGAACTGAACAAACGGTCTCATTTTTTGCAAACATATCAGGGGCTGATATCTCTTGCCAATAAATATACGTCATAGATGACTGAAATGCTAGTTTTCTTTAATACTGTGCCGCATTGATTTTGGCGCACTAGTATTCTAACACTAAATTTACCGCTCTGTTCATGGGAATTGGACCCAAAGGCTTTTATCACATTACATGTCATTTTATATTGCATCATAGTTCAGGAAATTTAATTAACAAACAATTCATAGAGACAAATAAACGCTAAACAGTCAGTTTTATGCTAATCAATCAAATTAAACACCTGAAAAACAAAAGGTACTCCATCATATCAATTCTTCCATTGAACAGTCCTGCTCTTTGATTGCCAGTTGTTTCACTCTGCGTGCGTGCCTGAAAGCAATCTCCTTTAGCATCTCCTTTAACGTGCAGGCTGCTCATCAGCACAAACTACTATTTCTTGTTCAGACTTTATATAGGATGATCAAAGCAATCTTTTTTATGATTTATTTATTATGTACTGTATACAGTATGTTGTATTAGGACTGTACAAGTATGTATAAGTTGCATGTACTGTTGTATTGATTTTTAATAATTGTAGAGACCATCAGTTACTTTAACCTGCAGAAAATGTGACATGTTTGCCTTTGGTAAAGTATACTTTTAGAGCACAGACTGTAAAAAAATGTGATCAAAATTGGAAGCCTGTTTGGGGATATCTGGAAGAATTCAGCAACAACTTCTTCGTTCTGGTAGATTTAATTGTCAGATCATAGGTCAAGTATTAGCACTGCGTTTGCAAAGGCAGTGAGCAGTTCTGTCGGCCCGCAGGTTCGAAGAACAACTGACTAACATCAGGAAGAACATTACGTTTTGTTCTGGTTGTTAGATATAGAAGAAAAGATTTTGATTGGCCCTAAACTCGTAGATGAGGAGCAGATCCTCCCGTCGCAATACTAGATCCAATCCCATACAATGTGTGGTCTCCTAACATTAATGTAAACATAACGAACAAAGAGGGAGTGTTGAATAGTGCTTGGTGTGTCTCTAACTCCTGTGTCATCCTTATCAGACATGTGTCTGCCTGGATGGCACTTCTGATTTTCCCTCTGACCTTGCGTTCGTCAACCAGGATAAGACAGTGACTCCCTAAAAGAGCAGTAAGAAAAACGTTTTTGATTATCAAGACCAAAATCCCTCTTGAAAGGAGAACTGTTTCAGACTTCTTGTTTTAGCATGCAATATTTATATTGTACAATTTACTTTGGAAAATACGGGTAGAAAAAAACAATATAGTTTGATGCTGATATTTTTTAAAAATACTGCAAGTTCAATAGTCTGCAAAATAAATGAATAAAGCCAATATTGTTTACTTACATATAATATCTATTGTGTTTTCCATTTTTTGTACAGTTATCGTGAGATAATTGTGTGATAAGTGTAGTATAGTTTAGTATAGTTCTATAGGATATAGTTTCTTCTGTACTTCTGTACACTCTGGAGGCAAATTATGTCTAAAATGGGCCTCATCTTTTTTTTATTTTCCCAATTCCTTATTTTTTACATATTTGTCACACTTTAATGTTTCAGATCATCAAACAAATTATAATTTTAAAAGCTAGATAAGACAAAGATAACCTGAGTAAATATAAAACGCATTTTCAAGTGAAAAAAGCAATCCAAACATACATGGCCTCCAACCCTAATAACTGGTTGTGCCCCCCCGGCGGCAACAACTGGCATCAAGCGTTTGCGTTACCTCGCCGTGAGTCTTTCACAACTCTACGAGAAAGTTTGGCCAACTGTTCTTTGCAGAATTGTTTTAATTCAGTCATATTGGATGGTTTTTAAGCATAAACGTTATGTTGTGGTGACGTGCAGACACAAGGACATAGCCATATAGCAGCCAGGGTTCAAACCACCAACCTTGCGGTTTCCGGCGCACCCTCTCTATTCCACTGCGACTGCACTGGACATTATTTTACAGGCAGTGGACAGCTAAGTGGAACCAGTTTGTTGGGTGAAACATATTAGGCCTCTATTTAATTGAATGTTTCTTTATGTGATTCACATAAACGTGACTTAATTTGATTTTGTTAGCATAGGACATCCTTTGATTTTAATTGAACTATCTTTTCAGACTTATTTTGTTGATTGAACTCGTTCCAGCAAAAGACCTTCCTCAAAGCAAGGCACGACAACAACTAGCAGTAAGCACCATTTTTAGTTTTGTACCAGTGGCAATGGAAAACAGTTAACAGTACTACTTTTTTACTTCATTAAATAGATGTTTCTTTGGTTCATGCTGTTGACAATTTTTTTCACCATCATGTAAGAATAATCAGGCTACCCGCTTGTTTCTTTGTGTCGTCACAGAGCCTTATGTCATTACATATTGCAGTAACTATGGTAACAATACTCCTTGAATACAAGTTTGGTCATTGCCACAGATTTATTATATTAGTTTACGATTAAAGACACCCTTGACATTATGCAGGTTTTAGCCAGCAAAGCATTTTCTCAAGAAATTGAACAATGATTTCTACTTTTTCCACAACTCAACTTCTTCAACTTGTCCATCGTCATGAATGTATTATTTGGATCTTTTTAATTAGCCGTCGTTAAAATCTTCGGTCTAGATCTTTCCCACGAGTCCACAAATGCAGCACTGATCCAATGTGTTCCGCACCATGCTGCAGTTAAAACAGCTGAATCAGGTGAGCTCGCGCCTTTGCTTTCTGTACAAAAACACGGTGAGTAGGAGTGGTAACTGCGGGTGCGACGTTAGGAACGCAGCCTCACTATTATTTCATATAGCCTAAGTAACAGTTGTTCCCTCGGATGAAACAACGGAAAAAGTCACTTCACGCTGATGTCAAATGTCATGTTTAGTGAGGTAGCAGTAAATTGACGTCGAGCACGGGCTAAATGTTCGCTAGGTTAGTAAGTCTGCAAACATGACGTTATAAACAAAACCAACATAATGTAAAATGATACCAATACTGACTGTAATCACTCAACGTTTTAACTTTGCTTACTTCTAAACTAATATTTGTAACCACGTGACGTTAGCTTAACAACATGATTTAAAGAGAAGCAGGTGATGAGTTAGAAAGTACGCACTTAAACGTTAAATGGCTAAATAATGTCTATATTTCACTACGATGGGACTGACGGTCATGTTTGTGTTTACTGTTTAACCTTTTTTTGTGTAATTTTAAAACTAACGTCATAGACTTAAGCAAATTATTGCACTATTGCTTTTCTTTTTGATATTTTTGTAAGAAAATCACATTGGATTCATTTTCTTTTTCAATACAGAAATAAAATGGTAGTAGAATCCCAAAAGATGGATTCCTGTGGGGCAGCAGGAAGTGCCGACAACTCCATTCAAGTAAAGCGATTACAGGTCCCAGCTAAATGGTTCCCCGTCCCTGCTGTGTCACCTCCACCAACTGCTGCAGGCTCCTCAAAGGGGATCTTTGTCTATGATCCGTCTAAAGTCCTACCAGTTGGACATATCCACCAACCCAGCACCTCTACAGCTCCAGAACCAGGGCGCCTGACCTCCTCCCCTTCTGTCATGGTGGTAGCAAAGGTAGCCCCCTCAGGAGGAGTGGCCATTAAGGGAACATCGCATGCAACAAGACCACCCTTGAGCCACGTGGTCTCCTTGAACCAGACCACGACCCCGGGAAGGACAGTGGTGATAACCGTACCAAGGGCAGCGGGTTCACAGACGGTGCCTGTGGCCCCCCGACTGCCCCACACCGGCCCCCCACAGCTGCCAGCCAATATCCAGATACCACCCGGTGAGCTGTGACACGCCACAGTTCTGGTCTGAGCACTCGTCCTGATTGGTGATGTTCTCATTTATGTAGACCGATATGGTGACTGTTTCATCTTGAATCATGTTCTTCATAGTCAGTAGATTGTGTATTTAGTCGTAGTGTTTACATGTCTGCCACCAGCTGTTTCTGTAGTGAATTTGGTCCTGGTGTATAGAGGGTTAGGGTTAGTCTCTTTTTTTAGACTAATTATCAGTGATTGGTCAGTTTTGGACTCTTGTGCTTGCAGGTATGATGTTGATCCGCAGTGACAGTGGTCAGCTGATGCTTGTATCCCAGCAGGCTTTGGCACAGGCTCAGCAGGCACCGAGAGGTGTCTGTGGTCAGGCGCCTAGAATACTGATCCCACAGGTATGTTTGAGCTGCTGCTTCAGATTCCGGAGAAATAGGCATCCTCACTCCTTTTGTCCTAACTGGCTGACATGTATGGGCTTCAGGTATCTTCAGCAGCTGGAAATAAAAACCATGAGAAGGTGACCGTGATCAGGATGACCGCCCCTCCCGCTTTCCATCCAGCACCAGTTCAGAAGACTGCTGTGGTAAAGGTACACCAGCTGGGTCATTGTTAATAATAATACAATCAGAAATAATTATAATACTCCTTGTCATTTATAGTAAAAATTATGTTTTAATTGCTTAGTTTTATTATTATTATTAGATTGTTCTTTTTTCCTTTTTATTAACCAGATCTAGAAGACAGGATGGTAATGAGGTATCTGACATTTGCTTGACAGTTTTCACAATTATAGATGAGTCCGTTATATTTAAATTCACACACCTTATTCGGATGTAGTCCTATTGCTCTCCAGAATTGAACTGGCACCAAATTGATTGGCCTTTGGCCAAAATGCATTGTCTGAGTTTGTTTCCAGATGAAACTGACTAGAACTCAAGTCGCTTGTCAGTGATCAGATCCTAGGAGGGCTTATCCCCAGCATGCACACCACAAACAAACACAGCTGGTCAAGTCTTATTTGGTGACAAGCCGTTCTATTTGATTGTTCAGGTGAATGGTGAGACTCCCAAACCGGCTGTAGTCCAGGCGCTCAGCGCTGTGTCTGATCGGGGGAGCCAGCCTCTCGTTCATACGGTCATCACAGAACCCAAAAAGGAGACTGCAGCCAGCGTCAGTCAGGTGACTCGGTCCCGTCCCACCGTTGGAGTGCACTGCATTGTGCTGTCATTACAGAGAAAAACACTGAGATAGCAAGTAGCTTCCTTTGTATTAGTACTGGTACAGTTCACACAACTATGAAAACATTACCAGTCTGTTGATTGATTTCATAATTAATTTTCTACGTGAGTTAACGTTATGAGCTAAAATACACATTTTTTGTATCTAACGTGTAGTAAATATTACTTTTTTTTTCATTGCACAATTACAGAATTTTTCTATGGAGAAACAAGAGGTGTCACAAATTGACCGCTGTCAAGATTGGTGTTTTTTATTTTGTGTGTGAATGGGTGAATGATGTCATGTAGTGTTAAAGCGCTTTGATGCAGACGGACTCTAGTTTGCCTGAACCCGGTGAACCCCGTCTCCGGATAGCCCTATCGTGCAGACGAACGCACTGTATCCGCACTCCCTCGAATCGGGGGTCCAAAGTGAGTAAACTCAAAATCCGATTGCTGTTGGTGTTCGTCTGCACGCTATCCGCATACCTAATCGGATTGCCCCACGTGATTGCATCACGTGATTGCATGCAACCTCACGCTGAACCCTTATTAACCCCAATGCGACAACAATGGCAAACGCAAGGATAATGTGCCTGCTGAATGTGCTAACAAGTCTACAATGCGTACTAGGGTTAGAGTTTTTGTTTGTATACGGCACGCATGTCTTCTACGCATGCGCCTGTCTTCTTCCGTTTTCTTCAGTTGTCTGTAGCACCTTAAAGCGCCACCAACAGGCGTGGGGGATGTACTACAGCGGAGTCAATCGGATTCACTGGGTTCATGTGCACGCGATTTAAAAAGTGGGTAGGTGTGAAAAATGAACCCGGGTTTAGGCAAACTAGAGTCCGTCTGCATGGGGTCTAGAAAAGCGCTATAAAAGTACAGTCCATTTACCATTTCATCAGCAGGCGACCCTGGAAAGTGTAAAGAAGTGCAAGAACTTCCTGGTGACTCTGATCAAGCTGGCCTCCAGTGACTCCAGGTCAGCAAACATGGCCAACAACGTCAGAGGACTGGTCAGGAGTCTGCTGGTATGTCTTTACTCTTTGTCGTCGTCATCATCATCACAGGACATGGTTTCACTTGGTGGAGTATCGGAATATTGAAATCTCCAAAGGCTTGAAAACAAAGACATAGTCACCGTGTTGTCACCCACTGGTCTGCTGACTATTGGCATTAAAGCTTGGAGTTTGACATTTAGATTGTCTTAATCTTTATATGGGAGACGGTGGCGCATGGAGTAGAGAGGGTGGGCTGGGAACTGCAAGGTTGGTGGTTTGAACCCTGGCTGTTCCATGTCCCATATCGACGTGTCCCTGAGCAAGACACCTAACCCCTAAAAGCTGCCTGGGGAAAATATAAAAACCATGGGTTAAAAATGCAATGTGAGTTGCTTTGGATAAAAAGTGTCAGTTAAATGTCCTGTAATATAAGACTGTTTTTGATTTGGAACACAATGTGAAAGGGATACAGTTCTAGAACTTTAGAACTTGGCAATCACAGCGACCCTGACCTAAAGCCTGCTCTGCATTATGGTCTATGTGACTCTATATGGACCATAATGTACAATATGAACATCAATCCTCTTTCTCACTAAACAAAGGGCGAAAATATCATAATGTCCCTGAATGGTCAATTTAAACACGGATTGGTTTGTTACACTAATTATCCAGAACATCACTGGTTTAGTCTAATCTTTGTACTCTTCATTCTGCCCTATTGCACTTCCATAAGTTATCGAGTAGCAACCCAGCTTCTTTTCTTTTGTTTAGAACCATGTATTTCAGGTTACTTGAAATATATCTGTGTACAAGTGTTTGTCCTTTTTCCTATCCTGCAGGAAGGGAAGCTAGAAGCAGAGGAGTTCACAGAACAGCTTTATCGCGAGTTGAAGTCCACTCCCCAGCCCTGCTTGGTGCCTTTCCTCAAGGTGACTGCAGTTTCAACAACACATATAATAATAATAAATATTTTTTTACATTCAACACTTCAAGTTGTAAAAAACATGTTAATGAAACGTTGTATTTTGACCGCTTTACTTCACATTTCCTTAAACCTATTATTTCATGCCAACTGCACAATCTGTCACTGTCTAAAATGATTCAAACTCCAAGTTTTAACTAAGGAATATTGACATACATTGTCTCTGCAGACACATTGAAATAATTCTTAATATTGATTGGATATTTTGTCAAAGTACTCATGTGTCGTATTCTTGCCCCAAAGCAAACTGATCAGACAGGACCCAGAGTCACTTCTAGTTGGACTGTGCTCAGCTTTCTCTTCTCTCTCTGCTACCAGAAAAGTCTTCCTGCAGTGCGTCGCCTCACTGCAGACCCTCATCTATTCATCCAACAGGCTTCAACTTCTACCGGCAACCTCACCAAGCCACCCAGCAGCACCACCACAGGACAACCCTTCAGCACCAGCCAGCAGGTAAACAAACGTCAAGGACATGGAATAAAAGTGTGCACATTGACACAGAGACCGCACAGGTTGAGCAGTGTACCTTACTGACATGAGGTAAACAAACCGGGGACTCTACTCCACACAGTTTCCCTGTAGAGCTTTCTACTGCTACTCTGCCCAGTTCATGTCAGTAGAGCTGCCCCACACCAAACCGTTACATTAGCCTCAGGTTTTACCCGCACAGACTCACTGGCCAGTGCCGTTGTTCATGGTCTGTGATGGGAAAACATCTTTTCCTCACAGTCAGAGAAAGTAAAAGTGTGCTTCCTGGAGCTGAAAGCTCTCATGGCCCGATAGGGCCAGGAGGAGGGAGATAGTCCACAAGAATACTCAGAAGAAGGGGAAAATTTATAAGAAAAACATTTGTGATATAAAAGTCAGTTTTTCCCTACCATTACATTTTCCCCCACGCGTGGTTGTGCTGGAAAAAAGACTGGAAAAAAAATTGTCTCCTTTCCTTTTTAGCTTTTCTAATTGTATATAATATATTCATTCAGGATCTTCCTGTCTACTGTTAGAACAGGCCCAGTGACATCATCATTATCATCATCACCATCCACACTGGAGCCCCCTCTACACTAACGACTGTACCAGCCTATCACACATCACCACATACTTCAATAACTCAATCTGTGTCAAAACGCTCCCACTACACATGATGGTGAACGTGGACAAATCAAAGAAGGAGGTCATTCTTGCATCCAACACACACCAATTCGGGACTTCAGCGCCCAACAAAGAATTGGCAGGAGCGGTGGTCCTTTCAGAACCTGGTTGACAGTTTTGTGAGTCTATATGGATGATTGCATGTAGAAATATCTTCTATCCTGTATTAACATCAACGTTGCTATGTGTAAATCCATGGTCTGTGTTACTCTGGCTGTGGAAACAAATGTCTCACTGGGACAATACATCCAAGTGTAATATTAAGGATTGCCCTTGAACTGCAGCTTATCAAGCAGCCTCCAGGAGTGACTCTGAGACCAGGCATGACGACATTAGTCCAGTCCAGAAATTACATACTGAAGAGCAGCAGACCCATCCCCAAACAAGTAGTTGTCCAGTCGGGAAAACCCTTAGCAGGTAAAAGTTAGGGAACTTATCAAGTCTACAAAGACTTTTATAAATACATTTCCACTTTTAACTTGTAATTAGTATGTTTTTTCTTTTTTTCTAGGACTGTTGTCATTAAAACAACCTTTCACTCAGGAACCACCTCATTCTATCAAATTTGCATTCAAGGACAGTTCAGGATCGTACAAGTAATGTACCCATCAGATATCTTACTCACATTCCCGTTGAATGTGTCAGGAAATCTGACTGTGTGTGTGCTTCCCCCCCCCCCCCCTCCACAGAGAGGACGATGACATCAACGACGTAGCCTCCATGGCTGGAGTCAACCTGAGGGAGGAGAATGCACGGATTTTGACCTCCGGGGTGGGCTCTGTGGTCCAGTCATGCCAGGATCAGCTCTTCCTCTCACCAAGCCTGGTGCTTAGCCGAATCTTGCTCTCAGGTACAGTAGCCGGACTGAGGCGCGCTAGCATTCGTTACATCAGTATGTATACGTTCATACAATATAGAAAATAAGGGATTGAGGTCACAGGAACAACGCCATGCTACATTTAAAATGTTTTGACTCATGTTGATGACGTAATTTATTAATTTAACAATACGATTAAATGGAACTGAAGATGCTTAGCTGTACGGACTCTCCTCGTGATACTTGTGTCTCCTGTGTTAGGACGGGCATTTGCAGTAACCGATGTGGGTCCCAACGTGGTGGCTCTGGTGTCTCATGCCACGCAGGAGTGTCTCCGTGGGCTGCTTGAGAAGCTCACTGTGATGGCAGAACATCGCAAGGCCGGCCTGAAGGTACAGCAGTGGAAGTCCTTGTTATTGCCATATGAGTGACCAATATTTATGAAGAATCATCATACATGTCATTCGGCATTGTATTGATGACGTTGTGACAAAAAAAACGATTATCTCAGTTTTTATGAAAACTGTTTGTTTTTACAGATCCAATGCCATTGAAAAGAGCCATTTCTGATGATAATTATTAACAAAAGTTATTGTTTTATGCTCATAGAAATTATTCAGGCCTGAATTCTTTCTTTTAAAATTGTTATATCACTGGTTGTCTTATTTCCCGCAATCAATATATCTCGTTAAATCAAGCACTACCTTTTTATGTTATGTTTCCTGATTCCTGATGTTAAATGAGTTAGGAAAAATGCATTTTAATCACGGTGAAGCCGTAAACTGTCTCATTTTGTCCGCTGCATCCTCATGAGGACCCAGCCTTCGCAGTCAACCTGGGCTGTGTCCTCCAACGGCCGGATAGGCTGAACCAAGCACTTTGCATTTGAAGCGGTGGTAAACACACGCTCATTATGGAATCGCTTGCGTGTGTGTCTCAGGAGGACTTGTGGCATGCCAAAGTCAGTGACGTGCGTTCCCAGCTTCGCTTCCTGGAGGAAGTGGAGAGTTTGAAGAAGAAGAGGAGAGATGAGGAGGAGAGAGAGCATATGCTGCGACTCGCCAGAGTGAGTTAATGTTTGACTTAAACCACCAGGATTAGTATGTTTTTATCATATAAAGTATCTTTTAAAAGCTTGGAGTGAGTTTTTTTTTTTATTAGCATTTTATCTGAAACCACTGACTATTTAAGCTCTGCTCACATTTCTGCTTATTTTTCTGCTTGCTTAATATACATCCCCATGTTTGTGATCAGAGTCGCTCACACACAGAGGACCCACATCAGCAGCAGCTGAAGCAAAGAGCCAAAGAGGTGTGTATGTGTTTCATTAATACACACATATCTTCTCACTTTTGAAGCTACATGTATGGACTGTTGGACATTGACTATGATTATGAGTGTGTATCTTAAGAGCACAACTCGTTAATGTTCTTTCTGCGTTGATTCTCGCTGTGGACAGAAGCGCTAGTGTTTCTGAGTACCAAAGTCCCTCCAGGAAACCTCTGGTTTTACTGCATATGGGTCTTTCTTTTTGTCAAGCATGTTGGACTGAGCAACAGTAACTATGGGGTGGCAAAATTCAACATTTGTCAATTACAGGCTTTCGTGGTTACAATACTAAATAGCTTAGAATATTTTATTAAGCTTTGTTTTGTCCAGGTATTCTTTAAGTGTGTGGGTCAGTGGGGTGAGTGATGACGTGTGAAGTCTCAGACCTTGAATAGGTGTTAAGTTAGTCACTAATTGAGATATTTACTGTGGTAAAAATAATAACAAAAAAAACACACAAACAAAGCTGACTCTTCATTTATCATTTGTCTTCTCTATCTCTCCAGTTGCAGCAGATGGAAGAAGCTCAGCTCCAGCAGAGAGAAGCCAACCTTGCCGCTCTGGCTGCCATCGGGCCTCGCAAGAAGAGACCTCTGGAGCCCAATGCGAGCCAGGTGTGTCTGTGGGAACCCAAAGCATAGAAGCACATGTTTACCTTCCAGATGCGTCTAGTAGCTGGCCACCTGCTTCTTCTACTTTGTCCATTCAATCTAAATAGAAAACAGCCCACTACTAACAGCAGAGCTTCATTGCAGTCCTCAAGGAAACTCACACCTTCCAGCAGGTACTTACATTAAAAAAAAAGATTATTAAAAAGTGAAGATTGCTGTTTTTAATGTTTGGAATTAGTGAATTTCTGTAAAGAAAAAGTCCGGGCTGCAGGGAGTTGGTTATGATGAGTGGTGTTGATTGAGACGACAGGTGAACATCGAAGAAGTGTGGAGTCTGACATTATTTTAAAAATTCCTCATCTTATGAGGAAGGAGGCTGAAGGACGTTCAAATTGGCGAGAAAAAGAACGAGCATTAAATAAATACCATTAATTGTATATATGTATTTGACGTTGTCATGGTGATGTGACATGTTGCAGCAAACTGATCTCTCAAACACCATTTACCAGGAGAGGTCAGTCAAGTCCCTGAGGGCTCAGAGGTCAGGGTTCAGGGTGGAGATTGGGATTGGGTCTCTGCATCATGACAAGCCAACATGGAGGCTTGCAATTAAATAAGTGGATGTACTGAGACCGGTTCGAAACAAATGCAGTTAGGATAACGAATGGGTAGATGAGCAGTGTTTGAACATTACAGAATGTGTTTTTCCTCATTTTAGATAAAAAATGAGGCAAAAGACCAAAGCAATTAAGTTTTTCGCTCTAAACTTTAACTTGTAACACTGCTCTGAAGTTTTTTGCACCTTCAAGACACATTTTAAATGCTACAGACTTTAACAATAGCTGGTAGAATTAAAAAAGGCTGAATAAAACACCCAGGCCTTGATGACTAGTTATCTTTAAATTATAATATCAAGACAAAAAGGCCATGCAGCACCACAAGCAGCATGTTGTAGCTAGCCTCCTTAGCCAGGGCAGACACACAGTTAACACGTGTATGGTCCCGGTCTTTAATTCTGTTTGTTTTCATCCACGGCCCTGCAGGCTGTAGGTTTAGACCCCATGCAGACGGACTCTAGTTTGCCTGAACCCGGGTTCATTTTTCACACCTACCCACTTTTTAAATCGCGTGCACATGAACCCAGTGAATCCGATTGACTCCGCTGTAGTACATTCCCCATGCCTGTTGGTGGCGCTTTAAGGTGCTACAGACAACTGAAGAAAACAGAAGGAGAAGACAGGAGCATGCGTATAAGACATGCGCGCCGTATACAAACGAAAACTCTAACCCTAGTACGCATTGTAGACTTGTTAGCACATTTAGCAGGCACATTATCCTTGCGTTCGCCATTGTTCTCGTTGTTATGAAGTGACACATTGGGGTTAATAAGGCTTCGGCGTGAGGTTGCATGCAATCACGTGGGGCAATCCGATTAGGTATGCGGATAGCGTGCAGACTAACACCAACACCAATCGGATTTCGAGTTCACTCACTTTGGACCCCCGATTCGAGGGAGTGCGGATACAGTGCGTTTGTCTGCACGATAGGGCTATCCGGAGACTGGGTTCACAGGGTTCAGGCAAACTAGAGTCCGTCTGCATGGGTCAGTAAACACCAAGACGCTCTATTAACTGCACACACACCCCACTGCCTTCGACCTCCATTACCCAGAGGAGCCGGCTGCCTGTCGGACCATGCGGCTTCCTTCACCTCTTCTCAGGCTTTACCTCAGCTGCCACCGCACACACTGACATAGAACTATGTAGGAACCATGGGCGGATTATCTAAAAACTACGAAAGTAGTTGTTCACATGGGTTTTCAATCATGATATGTACTTTGTTTGATTCCTTAGCAATTCATGGACTTGATTGACTGTTTTCTATTTTGGAAACTTTAAGGCTGCCCCACATTTTCAGTGAACGTCTGTCATATTCATGACACTGTCACAGCTACTAGCAGCTAGAGGCGTGGCGTCTTTGATAACACGGGTAGATAACTGCAACTATTGCTTCTTAAGAGTTAGCATAGCTGCTGTAACAGAAACGGTAATGTTGGAAAAGGATAGCAAGAACATACCGACTGGCTCCTGAATGAGTTTGATTGACATATGGATATGTTTTGAGAGGTTGCAGCCCTTTGAAAAATACAGTGGATATAAAGTATACCCCCCCTGAAATACTAGGTGTTTGATGTACAAAAATGAACGCAGATAAATCACGTCAGAACTTTTTCCACCATTTTAATGTTAACAATTCAATTGAAAAAAATAAAATGTGCAGCCTTAAACTAAGCCTTTGTATAACAGCACTCAGTCTTTCAGGAGTGTATTGACTTTGTAATATTTCTTTAATTTTCTTTGTGTGTCAGGTGACCCTGCTGCCCCGACCGGCTGTGGAGAGGGTCACCCGGGTAATGCTGAGGGATCTGCTGCTGTGTATGGAGCAGCACCACTTCCTGTGCCACTCTCTCTCTCTGTACAGAGCAATGCTCTGAAGATCTCCACTGTCATCAGATCGCTCCCTTCATAATCTTCAGCTTTTTGTACTTTTGTTTCAGTTCTGTCAAACATCATTGTTTATGATGTCCTCCTTTGTTTTCAGTAAAGGTACTCTCTTAAGCCCTCATTTTGGTTTTGCTTCAAGTCAAAAAGATAATAGGAGATGAGTGTTCTAAGTTGACTGTTAATTTGTGTTTATATTGTTTGGCTATATTTGAGCATTAAAAAAGTGGACTGTTCCATCCTGACCTCTAGTGTCTTTGGTTGTTTAATGCACAACACCACTGCTTCTCCACCGTGATGGAACAGTAACTCCGACTCGCAGAGTATAGCTGGTCTTTATCAAACCAATCCCACTTGAAACCTTTTTTAGCACCTTTAGACTACAGAAACGTCACAGTCCTTATTGAGAAGGTAAGAAAATAAAGACTAAACTCCAGTTTGAAGTTCTCACAATGAGGATAGTGAGTGTAAAGCATGAAATGTTTCCCTTTGAGTGATGAAGTATGTGACAAAGAGGAGGGGCAACCAGTCTACATAATTACTGATTGTTTTTTCCTAGTGAACCAGTTGGATAGACCTCCTCAAACCTGGGAATATAATTCTACAAATCATACATTAACCACACCTTTTGAAGAAATGGGGAGCAACTGCCACAGTTCTTTAACTCATTCATGGTCATTCTAGTGATGATATGGTTTATTATTTGATCTTTAGTCATGCTGGTTTGTTAAGTCTTTATTTTTAGATGCTCATTAATTATTCATTATTTTCTTTGTTGTAAACTGCCAACGGGCCTCTGCAGTTAAACAGCTCTTCTGCACATAGTGAATCTATTAATATGCTCAAAAGAAGCCGGTTTTGAAGGATGATGGGCACTGTTTGTTTTTTTGCCACAGGCTGCACATTGATAAATCCTGTAGAAATAGAAAAACTTTTTACCACATCGATTTTATGGTAAGGGTATGATCTCCATTTAAATGTTTAAATTTATTAAGGAGGCCATCAAGTTGAGCACTTCTATCCCAACAACTCGTCACATACGGTTCGATCAAGACCCAAGCTCCCCGTGTGGGGAAATGTAATTTGGCCCACTGCAGTACTAAAATCCTGCTCTTATTTCACTTCGCAGAACAGGCCTTCATAAAGCATTTGATGCACTGCGGTTCAATGATGGAAATCCATGCCCTTTTCAGTTAATCATTCATTTTTTAACGTAACCTTACGGTGTGTTTTCCTTTTAGCTTTACGGTAACTCCCCCGCTGAGGACGACAAACCAATGACAATGGTCATCCTATCTGGGGGCGTTTTGTCAAGTGGGGGAAAAGTTTTCCAGCTTGGGTTTACTAGTGTGTCTGATTAAACGTCAGCAGCACAGTACTGACAGAGCCCATCAGCAGAGTGAACCGAAATGATCCTAAAAAGGTGGTAAATATACCAGATTGGAAGCATTCTATATTGCTGAGCTGGTAGCCGGAAGTGAACTGTGCTAAAAGAGCTAATGGTGTCGTTAAGGACGACATTATCAGCCAAAGCCTCTGAATTAGAGCAGCGCAGATGTTATCTGCTCAGCTACACATTGTTACATAAGTAAATGCCCTGAATACAGTAAATTGCTCCTTCAAAGAATTTGTAATTAATTAAATAAGCAACAATTAAAAACTCTTTATTTATTTCATAGACCAGAATGATTTGAACACAGATTTCCAAGGGGCTTTAATGAAAGATGGTACAGGTTGCATTGTGGGAGCCCTCCAACACTAAATTCAGATTCAAAGACTTTCACGTTGTTACAACTTTCATAGTGTTTTGAAATTCTGTCTCCTCTACCTGTGTCCTCCCAGCAGATGCAGGACCAACTGCTCGTCCTCAGCCAGAGAAAGGCCAGTGTCCAACACTTCATGCTCCACCGTCTGCCGTTTAGCTTTCTTTGCTTTCTTCCCTTTCCCCACTTTTAGCTCCTCCTCTTCCTCCTCGCTGCTGTGCTGCTTGGCTGTCACCATCTCCTCCTCCTCGTCAGAGTACATCTTGTCTGGGTCTGGCAGGGTGCTGGGGTCAAACTCGTCTTCGCTGTGGTGTGCGAGATACGCCACAATCTCGTCCTCTTCCTCCTCAGAGTTGCGTCCGTGCTGCTTGTTGGCGTCCCTCCGGGCCGCCTTGGCCTTCAGCCTCTGCTCCGTGTGTTTTGCTTTCACCTTGCGTCTGTACTCCTGTTTGTCAAACTGCTGGTCCTCAAGTTTTAGCCTCTCCCTGGCCTTCTCCATGTTGATACCAGAAACGCCCTCCTCCTCCTCCTCCTCCTCTCCTTCTTGGGTGGTTGCCCGTTGGACTGGAGGCCACATCTGCACGGCCTGACCCTCCTCGCTGAACGCCACTTTGGTGTTGACTTGGAACTTTCTCTTGAGGGCCTTTTTGGCTTCTGTGAACTTTGTATTTTTCATAGTTTTCTTTAGAGAAACAGTCTCAAGGTCTGCCGGAATCTCCGCATCCCCCTCTGGGTTGAAGACATCCTTTCTTTTGACGGTCAGCAGGTCCAAGTCCTTCAGGTCATCTTCACTTTCGTCGTCTGAGCCGAGATGCAGTACCTCTCCTTTAACACTTTCCTCATTTTCGCCTGAATCTTGAGACTCCGAGCTCTGGCGTTCCTCTTGAGGAACGCCTCCTCTCAGCTGGGCCTTGAAACTCCTCAGCTCCTCCTCTCCGTCAGATAGCTCCTTCACCTCCTTACGATCTTCTTTCTCGTCTCTCTGTGCCTGAGCCTTGATCAAGAACCGCACCCTCGGAGCTACGGCGAGGCCCAGAGAATTGGCATACTCTTGAATCTGGAGCTTGAAGACATCAAACACCTCCTTGTTCTTCATCAGGTAGACTGAGCGGAGGTAGGAGACGAAGCACCTCTGAGCCCTCTCCTTCTGCTCTTTCTCTTGAGCCAGGAAGGCCTCCAGCTTCAGCTGGACATTCTGCAGCTTGTCTGGGTTCACCTAGAACCAAACCAGAGAACCAAAGAATATGATATTAGAATTTAGATGCAGTACTCAAATGTATGTTTCCATGAAATTAAAAAAAGGTATCCTGTTGAACTTTGGACAACTTGTCAAATTTTAATGAGCAGACCCCCCCCCCTTCCCTTAACTCACTGGGGAACTTTAATTCAAGATTACATGCAGGATGAAGGACTACTTTTCACCAGTTGAAGTTTTATTATAAAAATAACTCTCACCCAAGTTGTGCTGACATAATTTTAGGACATGCGTGTATAAAATATTAATCTTACAGATTAAAAAGTCTAAAGGGAAAATAAAATTGACATCAACATAAAATTTTCAACAAATAGAAAGCCTTTAACAGCTCTAGAATAAAACGAAATATAGCCTTTTTATGAATGTGGTTTATAACTTTTTTGAATATGTAGACTAATTGGTTCCATAAGTGGCTACAAAAAGGCATTACTAAATCTTGATGCACCAACTAATTCATGATGACCTACACTTCCGGTCAGCTGACAGGGCTCACAGAAAACCGTTTGGAATACTTGCAACTTTAAAATGATCCCTAATGTACCGTTTCCCTCCCATCTGAGTGAGCTGTTATGGCGTCTGACCTGAATCTTATTGATGGGGACCTTCTTCTCTTGCAGCTGGCTGACCATGCCCTCCTCCTCCGACGGAAGCAGCAGCAGCAGCGCCTCCCCGCCCTCCTTGTACCGGGCGGTGCGGCCCACCCGGTGGATGTAGGTGTCCGCATCCTCCGGACAGTCGAACTGCAGCACCCAGTTGACGGCGGGGAAATCCAGGCCCCTGGCGGCGATGTCGGTGGCGAGGAGCACGGCGTTATGCTTCCGCAGGAAGTCCTTGTAGACCTCCACTCTCTTAGTCTGCTGCTGCTTGCCGTGCAACGCCAGGATGGAAACACCGGGCCTGAGGCGGCAGAAGACCCGGAACAGGTACTGCACCTCTTTGCAGCAGGCAAAGAAGACTATGATCTTCTTCTTGGGGTGGCTCTTGATGAAGGAGTAGAGCATGTTGACCTTCTGGTGGAGTTGGCACACCACGTAGCTCTGCTCCAGGGTAGCCGGCGTGCTGAACTTTGCCTTCTCGTGGACCCACACGTACTCCGGGTCCTTGAGGCTCAGCCGAGCCAAGTCTTTGACCGACTTGGTCTGCGTGGCGGAGAACAGGAGCGTCTGTCGGGACGCGGGGAGGTTCTCCACGATGGCGTTGACTGTGTCCATGAAGCCCATGTCTAGGATGCGGTCCGCCTCGTCCAAGACTAGCATGTGCAGGTCGGACGCGTGGAAGGTGGCCGTCTGGTCCATGTGCTGGAGCAGCCGCCCTGGGGTGCAGATGACGATGTTGGTGCGGTGGATCTGCTCCGACTCGCTCTTGAGGTCCTTGCCGCCGATGATGAGCCCCGCAGAGAACTCGTGGTTCTTTCCCACCTTGCGGAGCACTTCGAAGGTCTGATAGGCAAGCTCTCTGGTGGGAGATATGATGAGAGCACCGAGGCCGTCCATGGAAGTCCACTGATGTCGGTAAAGACACTCCAGCACCGGTATGAGGAAGGCCAGAGTCTTCCCGGAGCCGGTCTTGGCCGCGCCGAGGACATCTTTACCCTGCAAAGCGGAGCCGATAGTCTGCCTCTGGATCTCCGTGGGCTGTCGACACTGAACCCCCTGCAAACCTTGCAAGGTCTTCTTTGAGATGGGGAAGTCGGAGAACCTCACCACCTCCTTGGCGTTTATCTCGCCGTACCTGCTGACGAGCTTGTCGATGTACTCCCGTTCGACCTGCCACTGGGGCTTCTTCCGCGCCGATCGGTCTCGCTTCACATCCATTCTCGTCTTGTTGTATTTTTTCTTCCATTTCTCGAAGTTTCGGACGGGGTCAGTGCCGTCAATCATCTTTTTACCGGTTTTAGGTTTCGTTCCGCCTTTCTTCTCCATGTTTTAGGATACTCCGAGCAAGAAAAGACGTAACAATCCACAGTCTGTAAGCTCTGCTAAACAGCGTGGAGAAAAACGGCTTTCGTCGCATGTAGCACGCGTCATCATCATGCGCATTACATCGCGGGTTGCCCTCAGTTTCGCCCGCTAGGCAGCATTTACAGCACCCTGAATAAAAAAACAATTTGTCTGCCTCATAATATATCCTGTTTTTTAAAATACATGTTTTACTTATCTTCAAGGACCTCATTTACTTTTAAAATGTTTATGATAAATACCCCCAACGTTACCAATAACAATAAATAGTAAACTAAACAATTTATTACACGTATAATTAGATTCACTTTGGTATTTTTTAGAAGATCCATAAGTTTCCTCCTTATGGATCTTCTAATGGAAATAAATCATTAGAACAGGGAAACTTTCCTACGTGCTCCCTCCTCCACACCTCCCTCTTGCGGCGGTTTCTTTGATAGACTGCCTTCCTGTATCGCATCGACACCGCGTCACAGGCCGCTTAAAAGTAACATCCACGGAAGTTTAACCTGTCATTTCAGAATAAAAGCTTATTCGGAACTCCGATTTATTTGATTTATTATTGATTTATGATTATTGATTTATTTGATCACAACAAACAACACGTTTGTGACATGACAAAATGTAGCCTACTCTGTAAAATAGTTCCTGTCACATCCAACCAATAAAAAACATGATATAGTCAAACATGTAGGTGCTCTGAAAAGACAAAGAAATACAGTTACAGTGGTAATTACATGAATTCCTTAAATGTACCAGCTATAGGCTAAATTTACAAAATGTAGGAGGGAATGACACGATATCATTAGAAATAGCCATGTTTCCATGTCAGTGTTGTATTTTGAAAGATTGGGCCGGAAAATGTATGCCTGTCACCCTCGCGAAGATGACCATTCTCCACAAACACCATGCGAACACCTGACAGACGATAAACAAGTATTTGGACGGATTGTTTCCCTAAAAAATACGTGATTATTCGTTGGCTGAGGCTCGCTAACATCCCCGCTGTCCTTATGCTATACACGGCATGGCGGAGAGACAGGACAACGAGGTAACGTTATGTATATTCTGCGCTAAAAGCACAGAGACCATTTATTGTTGCATTTGGTCAAGAACATAAGCGCATATTTTCACAAGTGTTCGTCCTGACAGTCAGAACTCGTCCAAGTGCTGTTTGAAGTGAAGCATACAAAGAATATTCTTCAGAAAACAAAGCTCTAAACAACTAACGCCACGCACGAGCCGAGACTAATGTTAGCTGTACGTTAGCTAGGATGCTAGCAACAATACGAGCCACGCTAACAGTTAAGTTATGTCTCTTGTGACGTTAAAGTTTACATCCGCTTCCATGCATGGTGGGCCGCTAGAACGCTCCTGACACCACGCGGGGCCTTACGTTAGGTAAATACGGGCTTCACCCAGCACCACATTAGCTAAATCAGATAACATTAGGTGTTAAGTGTTTCTTTGTATTAATGTAAACATGCATTCTAATTATTAACGTAAAATTGGGCGTTATGCAAATAGCTAGATCCATTTGTGAACTTGGCGTACAAATAAGCCATATAAATGCACTACATATTAGAAAAATCTGCACATTAAATGTTGAACACTTTATATGGAACGTATTCGTTTACCGTCTCTAATAGAAAGACCAGTCACAAAAGTAGATATTAGACTGAAGAACATCCCAGCTGTACTGCGATCGGAATGTTTCAGCTGTTTCACTAGAAAGAAGGAGGGTAGACCAAGTGCTGTATGACCTAGCTACAATAAAAACCCAAACCAATTCAGATCAGATCAAAAAGTAGTGTTGTGTTGCAGACTGAGCATGTACTGTGTGCCTCTCGTTGAAAGGTGGAGGAGGCTGACCGAATCTACCTGCTGATGAAGGAGGAGTATCGGATCTCTAGGAATGTGCGTCTGGCGTGGTTCCTTGGTAAACTTAACCAAGTCATCTGGCCCGCATCAAAGCCTGAAGTAGTGAGTTAACTGTACCACCTTAGTTCTTCTTCCCGTCCTTATGGTGGCTCATTAGCATAGTGTTTGAAGTTCTAAACCTAGGGAAAACACTGGAGGAATTCCTGAACCATTTCATTGAGCTGGGCCATGAGTGGCTGATGTCACGTTTTACTCTTGTTTCATTTACAGCTCAACTCAGAGAACGAATTGGACTTGCTGAGCATTTTACCCAAAGGATGGCAGACGGATTTCTCCCCGACCGTGTACCCCTATATGTTGGTGCCTTCCACCCGAGCCACCTTCCTTGCCCGGAGGTACCGCTTCATCATCGAGCTGGACCTCAGCCCCTCCACAGGGATCGTGGTAAGACTAACACGGGTGAGGGGTTGGGAGCTAACAAGTTGAAAATCAAATGACATGGTTAAATGTTGGCAGGTTCTTCTCCCAACCACAAAGACGTGAATGCATTTATTTAGTGGTTTGCTCTGTAAATTCCTTGCGATGCAAAATATATCCGTTCGTATATTTTAATATGCTGCTTCTAAAAGTATCTAACACATGCTGGCATTTCAACGTGTGCGTTGGATTGGGAATGGGACCAAACAACTAGTCTTGCGCGCAGAGGCGCTCTCCGTTAGCCGGTGCGGGCATGAGCACGTGTTTGTATGAGCACAAATGTTTTGGCCAGAAAAAAAAAAGAAACTACATGACACCATATATGGTCACACTTAAGCCTAGTTTATGCTTCTGCATTTTCAGAGCGACGCAGACGCAAGACCCCCTTGCGTGTCCCTTGCGTGTCTTTTCACACCTCTTGCGTGTGTCGAGCCAATTTTCTAGACTTGCGTCGAAAGCGACGCAAGCCTCCCGCAGCGCACAAGGCTGCGATTGGTCTGCTAACTACATCCTTTACGGAGTCTCACATTTCCGCTTTCATAGCAAGATAGCGCCATTATTAAAACGAAGAATGTTTACGAGAGAACGGATCAGATTTAAGAACTTTTGTCAGAAGAAATGCGTAAATATGACCGCTTATACAAGCCGTCATTGGGGGGTTGTAGAAGCGGGTTGGATTCACGGAGGGAGATCGCCGCAAACGCCGGTTTGCTGGTCGAGAGGTGCACAAAGTTGTAGAGGAAAATACGGGACAAATGTGTCCGCGATGAAAAGCAGCAGTGGCGATGCACGGGGCAATAAAGTCTATGATAAATAAATAAACAAATAAATAAACGTGACTCTCTAGGTCGTCTTCAACAAAAAGACGTTACTCCGCCTGTTGTTCTGGCGGTGAACAGTGGTAGTGTTTCTAGTCCCCTTAGAAAACCTGCTCCTCCGCTGGTTCTGATTCACCTTTCTTGTTGTCTGGTATGTCCAACATATCAACATTAACTAAGGACTGCCAGACTTTGGATTGGTTAAGTATATTATGTCAAGTAGCATTATCAGAACAGAATGTTAACTGGTATGATGCTCCGCAGGCCTGCCTGCTGTTGATTCTGAGTCATGATATGCAGAACTGAATACAGCATGAGCCATTTAGACAAAAAGCTGCTGTCCCTGGACTTCACAGTGACTCAGGACAGGGTAATCCCCCCCAGTGTACAAACAAGGTCACGTGGCACTGAGGACAGTAGTATGGTTTAAGCGGAGTAATCTCTCCAAAATTAGCCCAAACATCCGCTTGGACTAAAGCGTTATCTGATCATATTATCTGCGTTATCTGTTGCAATATGCGATAAAATGACATTACGTTTGACGCGCTCATAGACTACAGTGCTGACATGGAGCCATCTGGCACCCATCTACTTTAGTTCTATATGCTACGCTGTTAAACAAAGATCCTGATGAACGACCAACAGACATTTTTCTGGGTCCGGGTAGTGACCAGGCACCAATATTTCATTCTGATAATAATAACCTGTGTCACAATGTCCAATGACCAACTAGTTCAGTCGAGCTTTCTGGAAGGATCTGCCTCTCTTTTTAAAATGGCGCCTTGTGTCTTCAGGTGGTCACAGCTTTCAAAGCCTAGTTTATGCTTGCGTGTCCCTTGCGTGCCTTTTCACACCTCCTTGCGTGTGTCGACCCAATAAACAAACCAACGACTTTCACACACAAAGACGTAACTTTCTAGGTCATCTTCAACACAACACGGTACTCCACCTGTTGTTCTGGAGGTGAATTGCTCTGCAACACATGCAAGACTTTTAGAACCATGAATGGAAACGAGTGTGTCGACGCAACGACGCAGACGCCGAAGCATGCGCCAGTCTTTAGAAAGCACATAGCCCCTCCTAGGCCCACCATGACAGACAAGAGACAACAGACAAAAGCTGCTCCGACCGTTGTATGCACGCGGTGGCTTCTGCAGAAGCTCTGCGGGCCTGCACTGGACACAGCAGCCTTGACCGCTCCTCTCCTGATGGGGGGGTCAAACTGTGCAAGTTGAATAGGCTGGTTAGTGTTTGAACGTGTCAGCACCTTGGGCAGAAACGCTGTGTTAGGCCACAAGGTCACGCCTGAGCCGTCTGAGTTCCACCTTAGACATGACAAGGCATGCAGCTCGCCCCCACACGTTTAGCTGATGCGATGGCGAGGAGAAAAACTGTTTTGGTCGACAGCATTTTCATTTTTGCTTGTATGAGCGGTTCGAACCGAGGAGAGCATAGGGTGTCCAGCATGAGCAGGATGGTTCTTTTAACAGGTCTGTGCAGTCAGTTAAGGGTGGTCGGGCCCTCCAGGGGTCAGACCCACAGTTGAAGGCGGCTGGGATCGGGATGCCAGATCCGACCTCCTAGCTGTGAAAGAACGTCCCTTCTGTCGGCGAGGCGCCAGGGTGTCCTGCGACAAAGCCCACAGGCCAACCACGTCCTGGCTGGCCACAGAGGGGCCACCAACAAGAGTCTGTGGCCCTATTGAAGAACTCTGAGAAGGGTTGGCAATATCAGAGGAATATTGGAAAGGCGTAAAGAAGCCCTTTTGGCCACCTGTGAGCCAGAGCATCCTGACCCAGAGGATTTGTCCTCTCCATCAGGGAAAACCAATGGGGGCAGTGGGTTGACATCTCCGAGGCATAAAGATCTTCTTTTGCCCTGCCGGAGATATCCCAGATGGTCTGTACCATGTCCGGATGAAGCCGCCACTCCCCCAGGCGGGGCTTGTGACGGGACAGGAAGTCTTCTACCTGGTTCCGGTCCCCAGGGAGGTACATCGCCTGAAGGCTGGTCAGTCTGGGGGCAGCCCAAGTTAGGAGGATGCGGGATATGCGTAGTAACTCCGCAGATCTGGTGCCCCCTTGATGATTTATGTGTAACACTGCAGAGGTGTTGTCTGACCGGACAAGAACATGTTTCCCCCTGAGGTGCGGCAAAAAATGTGCGAGCGCTAGGTGCACAGCCCGTAGCTCCAGGACATTGACATGCTGCATGCGGTCTTTGGCAGACCACTGCCCCGAAGCAGCTCCGACCGATGGTCGCAAGGCAACACGCGAAAGCCGAAATCAGTCTCAATTTTAGAGAATTACTCGTTTAGCTACCAGAGTAGCTACCAGAGTAGGACGGGTCATTCGGGGTTATAGGGGACTTTGTTGGTATAAAGACTCGACCTGCACAAGCGTGAGACAGAAGATAATCCAGTGTGAAGCACTGCCTCTGGCGGTCAGTAAGGACGAAATAGAACTAACTTGGGTGACCCATGTCCCCGTTCCCTCTCTGGCAGCGCTTTGAGATCTAATCTGGAATCCCTCGCTCACCCAACGTCCTCAATAGCACAATACCTTTAATGATTATGCCTTGCCTGAAGCTTCTTTGAGTAAACATAATATTGGTTATAATATATCCCATTGATCATCCAATACCTAGCACACACCTATCTTAAACATGTCATACATTCGTGTCCTAATTCTAACATCATAAACATAATATTCAATTCATTTTCATGAAATTTTATGAAAATCCCAAAGTTGCCACGCAGGCTGTCCAATCTGTACCCCTACGACGTCCTCCGTTCTCAAACTTGGTCGTATACATGTCAGATTACTGAGGAATGGGGTCCAGTTCCAGTTTCAGCCCATGCAGACATCAGCAGCAGCACATATGTTGGCTGACTGAAGTAGCTCCGGCACAGAAATGTCCAGGTGTAATGGACAATGTTTGGTTCTCTGTTAATGCTCCATCTGCACGGCCGTTTCTATCAATGATCATCCATACCTCCAGCGGCTACATGCTCCTCAAGTGAGCGGTGTATTTGAGGAAGTGCTTTGTTTGCTGCAGGATGACAGCACAGGAGAGATGATCTTCGACGAGGTGTTCAATGCCCTGTCCAGGTGTCTGGCCGGTCTGGCTCAGCCCTTCAAAGTGCCTGGAACTGATCAGCCGTTCAAGCCCAAGATCTTTGTCACCATCTTGGCGTATTCGTCCATCATTGGCCTCACTTCCCATCAGGTATGGTATCAGTATTGCACCACATCAATGAAATAATGTTTTTTTGTGAGAAAAGTATAAAGTAGCATATGTTATCCAAAAAAACTATACTAGATTACAAAACTTGAGTACATTAACAAAGTTGCACTTCCTTTACCATACCTCAATGCGATGTCACAGGGTACTGGAGTACATTGTGATTGCTGCAGCATTCCTAAAGGATGAGGTTGAGTTACTCTACAAAGAGTGTTACATTAGATTGAACCCAATTCTTACAGGGCCACTGAACAAACCATGCTTGGTTGATTCAACTCAAGTATATCACCTCAAATATCTCGTACAGACTTTTATTATCGAGCTTCTCTTGCTTTACACCTTAGCAGAATGGACTTTCCATTCATGCTAGTTAGTCCTGCTTGCAGATTGTATTAATCTTTCTTTGTATAGTTAGAATATTTTGCACAAAAATGTAATGAATGAATTAAGTGTTTTTGATATGTATCTGATCTACCTGTTGTACCTTGAAGTTGTGGTCATTACTGAGGCTGACCTCTCAGCCCACAAATCGTTTTAACTGTTGATACTTGTAAATTGTCTTTCATCCAAAGTGGGATGCTGAACCTAAAATGGAACCAGTGACAGATTTAAAGGCAGCAGCATCGATGATGCACAATGTGCTCCTGACCCACATGTTGTTGCAGTCTGTTTGACCGCCTCAATTCCCCCTGCAGGTTCTGGTTCAGGGCTGTCAGCTTGATAAAACAGACCTGGTGGAGTTTCGGCTTCACATCTACCAGCAGCTCAGAGCAGTGGAGAGCAACATCGCCGAAGTCCTACATCAGCAGCACGAACAGGCAAATGTTAAACCCACAGCATTGTATTTTATTGACTCACATCCAGAAAGATGCGTCCTACGGCCTCAATTACTCACTGGAGAAGTGTGGATAAATTTGCCACTGAGAATGTGCTCCATATCCTCTCGTTTTGTTCCTTATTGGTTTAATAAAATCAGAAACATTTAAGATATATATTTTTTTAATTGAGTGGTTAGGATGCGTTTTTAAAGATTTGCGTCTTTAGGAGGAACCAATGGAGCAGAGAACATAAGTAGTATTAGGAGACTGACTTATTAAGCACATTGCTGTTTTTTTTGCTGTTTTTCCGAGATTTGCTGATATTCAGATAAATACAGAGTGCGGTTTGTCTTATCCCTTAATATTTTGATGATTATGGAGAGTTGAGATAACAACGTACCTTTAAGGAAAAGGAGTGTGTCTGAGGCGTTTAAGTGTGGTCTAATTCCTGTAATGTAATGCGATTCCCACTGACATACTGTTCTGTACATTGTGATAGGAGGGGACCTCCCCATAACCCCACAAGCCAAACCTTTCTACACTAAACACTGATTAGCTCGCTGGTGACTCCTGCTGCCTGTATAAAATGGTCACAGCTCAAGAAACAGCTGAAGAAAACGTTGTTATGAAACCTGAAATTCTAGAGTTTCCTGGGTTAAACCACATTTAGCTTGACATGGGATTGTCCAATGATAATTAAAGCCATGTTCTAATCATGTTCCACCTGGGCTTCATCCTAATCAAAAACAGCAGTTGTGATATGTAAACATTTACCCAATTATAGATATTTGCCCCCAACCCTTCTCTATCTAAGTGCCACCAGTGCCTGACTATTCATTTAATTAGTATTTGTTCCAGTCCACTGACAATGTATATCATTGTATTTCTTTTCCTGTGCCTTTTAGTCTTTGGAGGTAGTTCAAAGCTCCAGTGGCCAAAGCGACATCCTGTTTGAGCAGCCTCACAGGAGACAGAGCATTTCCATGGTATCTGCTGATATGGGACTGGTCAGCATGGTGCGCCAGGGCATCCTGGCTCTTCAGCTGCTGCCTCCAAACTCCAGCGCAGGTAGGTTTCTATCTTACCACCAATGTTCTCATTCAATTTCTTAATAAAGGGATAGTTGACCTGCTAAGTTGTTTCCTAGAAGCACTTTGAATAAATCCAAACCTGTCTAACAACCAGGCCCTCACTGCAACTACTGCACCATTAAAAATGATAAAATATATAATCCATAGCATAATAGAATATGCATGAATCTAACTGAAACCTAAGAGAACACAAGCAAATAGATCCGTACGGCTCATCACAGTGTTTTAATAGAGGGTCATTATTCAGTCAAATATGCAATCACGACATGTTTTCACATGTAATCTTGTGAAATGTAGTTTTTTGTTGTGAGAAACTTGAATTATCCAGTTGTTTGAAGTAAAGGCGTCAGTGCTGATAGTCCAGGACCTGGAGGGGATGTTTCCCAGCCTCCCCCGGTGTGTCCTGTCTGTCAGTAGTTTGGTGATCCACTGACTGGTGGAGGCTGGCACACTGAGCTGGATGAGTTTTGGTTCAAGTATGCCCGGGGTGTTGAGTGCAGAGCTGAAGTCTTTTTTGTTTGTTAATACTTGGAGGCCTCTCCACACTGACGTGCTGACGTCAGTGTGGACCACCCTCGTCAACGTGTATTTGGCCTTGTTGTACAGAATCTTAACCCTCCTCTGTAGGCCTTCTCTTTACCCTGACAAGTTTGCCAGAGTTATGCACTAAATTAGGAATTATTTTGGATGAATAGTTTTCTTTTACACTTTTATTTTGAGTAAGTGTTTGTATTTGAACTTTTTTATTTGTTCCAGGTATTATTATAATCACAGATGGGGTGACGAGTGTTCCTGATGTGGCTGTATGTGAAACTCTTCTGAACCAACTCAGGAGTGGAACCATTGCTTGCTCCTTTGTGCAGGTACAGGCCATTACATCTCTGATTGACTAGCTTCTTTCTGACTAAATGTAAAAAATACCACACAGAATTGTCAGTGTGTTGCATGTCGACCTCGTCAACAAGGGATTCCTGGATCCTTAATGGAGGAGACATCGCACTGAAGCCTCTGATTGCTCTCCTCTGAATTGAGTTTCTCTCTCCAGGTCGGAGGTGCGTACTCCTACGATTGCAGCTTCGGCTACATCCCCAATGTTGAGCTGATGAAGTTCATATCATTAGCCACCTTTGGCTCATACTTGCCCAGCTGTCCTGAAGTGGATCTGAAAAGCCAGGATATGAACACCTACCACAAGGCCTTCTTAACCTACTCCTTCCTTAATACCTCAGTGTCCATGAACTCCGAGATCTTCTGTGGTGAGACAGCTATGTACACTCTGAAGTTATGAAATGAGGTGTGTGTAGGTGTTTCGCTCCTGTTGATAGGTAGAAGTGCTCAACATGCCATTTAATACCTTCACTGGTCCACAAAACTTAAACTGTATATAAGAAGTGCATGTAACCTTTTAACAACCAATGATCATGTTTAACATGGGAGAAAATAATCTTTGTAAAGTGTTGTAGCGTAGGGGTGCCTGTTTAAAACGAAGGATAGGTTGGGCGCCAGACAGGCAAATAACCCACGTTATTCCCTTTAAGGGGGGACACCCAGGAACTTGAAGCTGGCGACACGCTCAACCTCCGTCCCGTTGATATGGATGGGGATGTGTGTGCCAGTTTTCTTCCGGAAGTCCACAATTAGCTCTTTGGTCTTCTTGGTGTTGAGGGCTGGGTTGTTGTCGGCGCACTGTAAGAATACGTGTTCAAGATTTGGAGCCTGGTCACCCCCAACTAAGCCCATGAAAATAACTTTTGATTATCAGCACCATACCGCCAGGTGCTGGACCTCCTCTCTGTAGGCCGACTTATCGTTGTCACTGATGAGGCCAATCACCGTTGTGTCGTCTGCAAACTTGACAATGGTATTAGAACCATGTACAGGTGTGCAGTCGTAGGTGAAGAGGGAGTAGAGGAGAGGACTTAGCACACAGCCCTGTGGCACGCCGGTGTTCAGGAGGTGTGGTTCTCTACCCTAACAGACTGGGGTCTGTTGAAGAGAAAGTCCAGTATTCAGTTACAGAGGGAAGTGTTGATACCCAGGTGACTGAGTTTCGTGATTAGTTTGGAGGGGATGACAGTGTTGAAAGCTGAACTGAAGTCTACGAACAGTATCCTCACATAGCGGTTGTTATTGTCCAGGTGAGAAAGGGACGGAGTGTAATGCCGTGGAGATGGCATCCTCCGTACTCCTGTTCTTGCGGTAGGCGGATTGAAAGGGGTCCAGTGTGGGTGGTAAGCAGGTTTTGAGGTGAGCCAGGACCAGCCTCTCGAAGCACCTCATGATGGTTGGAGTGAGTGCAACTCGGCGGAAGTCATTTAGGCTCACTGCGGTGGAGTGCTTTGGCACGATAGAGGTGGCTTTAAAGCACGTGGGGACAGTAGCTTGGGCTAGTGACAGGTTGAATATGTCAGTCAGGACCTCAGCTAGCTGCTCAGCACAGGTCCTGAGCACGCGTCCGGGGACGCCATCAGGGCCAGCAGCCTTACGTGCATTAATCCTGCTCAGTGCAGCACACATGTCGGTGGAGGAGAGTGTGAGGGGCTGGTGGTCTGAAGTGAGCACAGACTTGATGGCGGCCTCCTCGTTGTCCCTGTCGAAGCGTGCATAAAAGCTGTTAAGCTTGTCAGGGAAGGAGGCATCATTGTTTTGGGGGTGGTGTTGGTGGGTTTGTAGTCTGTTATGGCCTGGATGCCTTGCCACATGCGACGGGGGTCGGTGTTGTTCTTGAAGTGCTCCTCAATCCTTAGCTTGTGGCAGTGCTTGGCCTGCTTGATGCCCCTCTTCAGGTCAGCCCTGGATGCACTGTAGGCTTGAGCATCACCTGATCTGAAAGCGGTGTCTCGTGCCTTCAGCAGTAGGCGGACCTCTTTGTTCATCCATGGCTTCTGGTTGGGGAAGGTGGTGATTCGTTTAAGTATAGTGACACTGTCAATGTTGGTGAAGTCCAGAACTAGGAGTCAATGTCCGTGTGGGAGTCCAGTGTTGACTGAGCGGCAAACACACTCCAGTCCGTGTGTTCGAACAGAAGCTGTAGTGCAGAGTCTGCTCCCTCGGGCCACACTTTAACTGTCCTCACTGTGGGTTTCACACGTTTGATGAGTGGTGTGTATTTCTGGAGAATTGAGAGTTGATCCATTACAGTCCGTAGATGCTCAAAATGCTGAGTTACAGAAGATGAATACACGATAATGTCATCTAGATCAGTGGTCCCCAACCACCGGGCCGTTTGGTATATATTTTTTTTCTCAAAAATGTTTTAATAATAATCTTCTGAGAGGAAGGCGGCAAGGAAGACAGTTTCAAACTCACTCCAAGTTGTTATCTTTGATATGGCGATTTCCCACCAGTCGCGAGCAGTATCATGGAGCAGTACTCCATGATGACCTGGAAGTGGATGGTAGAGTAGCCATAGTGCCACATGAAAGGAATATATCGTTTGTGGGATTGTATGCATAGGGTGGTTTTCACCAGTTCTATGAGTAAACATTAAAGACACTCTCAAACCAATTTACCCACAACAGTACCCATAATAGTCAAAAGCAGGAGGCAAACATTTAAACATTTCAGAGCATGCAAACCCAACAATGTGAATACACATAAAAAATCAAAATCCTTCATAACAGCTTTAACTTTGAAACTTAAATCAGTAACTTAATGTTTCTGGCTCCACGTTGGGCGCCATTTCTGTAGCGTAGGGGTGCGTGTTTAAAACGAAGGATAGGTTGGGCGCCAGACAGGCAAATAACCCACGTTATTCCCTGTCATTTTTTTAATACTATCGTTCGTAAAATGCACAAAAATGTACCCGACCAGCTGGGTACCCCTGCTGCAAAAATGTGAAGTAAATCAAAGACCAAATCAGGAAGCCCATCTACTCAAGGAAAACAGCTGTATTCAAACATAAATTATATAATCCCATCAAAACTTAAAGTACTGACCGACCCGGCGAGCTGTAGTCCAGGGAGGTCCAAAAGATCTCTCCGGCCGATTCTTCCGCTGGCAGTGTCGAGCAGGTCTTTTAGTATTCCTCTCGTAGGACTCCACAAGGTCAGCAACCAGCGATCTCCTGCTTGGTTTGTTCCTCTCTCCTCACTCCTATGGCAGGGCAGCCTGTGTCAGTTGATTGATTCTTTCACTTGCAGGTGTGTCCAATCTCCTCACCTTCTCCTTGCCCCGCCTTCTTTATTTTAGCCAGGTGGAAAAAAGTCTGCAGACTGTGGTCTGCTACAGTGTGCATTAGAGTTGTGGACATTAGAGTTGAGTTGCACTTGCATTATTGTATTGTCTATGACAACACAATAATGTAAAGATCTCACTTGACTCACTTCAGCATTTCACAGCATACACTGACTTTGGTGTCTAGTGTCACCATAACATTCAGTTTTGAATTCTTGAGTTTCATCCTAATGCCATCTTATTATTTCACTATCTCCATCCCTTGAATTAGAATTAGTCTGTCTCCATCTGGTTGCATGGCCATCTCCATCATAATGGTTTTCTATCTCCATCTTTTGTTTGGGGCGACATTATATGGATGAGCTAAGTGCAGCTGCATGCTTAACAAGTCATTTTTAGGCAACCAACCCGTTCAAATGAACGTTTATGAACTGAAAACACACTTTGAAATAGTTAAAACGATTAAAGACTAACAACACAGACCGCATTTATTGACTGGTATATATTTACTACGGTCGGAGTAATTACTATAGTCTTTATTGTTAGCAAGAATTCATATGCTAATGTTTATTTTATTTTCTAGATAAAATGCAATATATTGTCACTGATAATGTTGATGATGCCTATGATGATGACAGTAAATAGGACTAGAGCTAGTACACTGTTTTTAGTTTCCCAGCACAAACTGTTCAATGAGCACCTGGTGTCAGCCAGCGGTAACCCAGCCCTGGTCATGAGGAGGAAGAAGCACACAGAGAAGGAGGTCCATGCTCATTTAATCAGCGTGGTGTCTGTCCGACTGAGAGAGGGCTACACCATCAGAGAGATCACCCTCACTAAAGGTAAATGTCTCATTCCCCAGTCCGTGAGTAGGCAGCTCACTGAAACAGAGTACCATAAGAGCACACTCCTGGTTTCTGTAGGTGGGACTCAGCTGGAAGTAAAGCTGGTGCTGTTATGGAAACACAACATGCACATTGAGTACCTTGCTGCCGCCTCCTGGCCGCTGGACCCCGCCAAGAGAACCACCAGGGTGGAGGTGACGATGGAGGGGAGCTATGACATCCTGCATGACATCAGCTGCACCCAGAGGAAACCCATCACCAGCCCGTACCGCACATCTGTCATCCGGCGCTTCTGGAATACACTGCAGAGGTACACTGACAGAAAACATGCGCAGCTCCATCACCATGTCAAACATAAAATAACATTAACTAAATAATGTGTGACTGTGTGTTCTGCCAGCATCAACCAGACTGATCAGATGTTGGTGCACCTCCAATCGTTTAATTCAATACCTGAGAACTACATGATTCCGGAGAGCACCAAAAACGGAGTTCCCCTGTTCTACATCCCCCCTGGCTCCACCACTCCGGTACTGTGCATACCTTTTCTAATCATTCCCAGTATGTAGAGAGCACCTCGACTGACGGGTCTAAAAGAACTCCTCCTTAAATCTTTTGCTTGCTTTTTGTTATTTATTTATTTTTAAAGGAAAGAAAAATGCTAACCTCAACTCATATCAGACGTTGCCTTTTGAGCGAAAGGTAGCGGCTCCAGCTCTGATTGTCTCTTATTTTTTCTTTGTCTTCCACAGTGTGGTGCTCTGTGACATGTGGAAGCATATATAATAAATGCGAGTGTAGATCTGCCTGGTGTGTCTGTAACAACCGCAACTGTATTGTGTGATTGAATAAATACAACCCTCATTTGGCTCACCTCCCATCTACACACCAAATGCCTTTAAGGCGTCGTCAAAACTTTTTAAAATATAAACTCACCAAGCTGTCTTCTGCGAGTGGGTTTACACCGTCCAAAGTAATACAATATAAATAGTTCTCCTACGCGTCCAGTCACAACTGGCCACCCTAAATGTTATGCTGTTCGCGTGGACAGACACTACTCAAAGCTAAAGGAGCACTCAAAGCTAAAGACTCCTTTTACAGATTTTCTATTACAATGATCAGCATCTAAAAAACACAAACATCAAACAATGTAAGAGTCATTTGCTGTTACAACAGCCATCAACTCTGGTTTGACAGTTTGAAACAGAAAATGAATAAATAAAAAAATGTACATTTAAAGATTAAAAAAAATAAATCATCAGCATAACATGTTAACTGCGTTTTCTGGCTCAGAGAAAAGGGATGCCTTGTCTAAAGGTAATGGGAAAGAAGTCTGTCGCTCAAAAAGCTGCATTTAAATATGTATTGGTGGTGAACATAGCAATGTGAATTGCTGTGTCCAAATTTTGATGTTGCCACCAAGGCATATGATTGTGGAACATAATTCTTAGCACAGCACAGACATGGTCTGCTAAGCTGAGATCAAAAGGCAGGGCCGGCTAATTAATGCATCCTCGGAGCCTTGGATGCTCCCTCCCTTTTGAGCAGTCTGCTTTCCGTCCAGGTCCTGTCCTTGCAGCACAGTGGATCCAAAGACTCCTCTCAGTCCCAGTTTGCCTCCTACTGGAAGCCAATCCTCTCCATGGATGCCAACTTCTGGCAGAGATGGCTGCACATGCATCGCATTGCCATCCTCCTCGAACATGACATGTGAGAACACCCAGCGTTTACCATCAGTATTTGCCCTATTGGTTTGGCACTGTCCTTCATTGGATTCATAATTGTGTTGCTCCAGGCCTGTCCCCAAACACCTGCACACAGCTGGAAATAATGGGCGTTACAGCACCATCCAATGTCGTATCTCCCACTCTGCCCTCACATCCCTGCTGAGGGACTGGAGCAGCTTTGTGCTGGTGGAGGGTTACTCGTATGTCAAACTCATATACAGGTGAGACAGCAGCTGGAAATACCACAGTCACATGCTTCAGTGTTCTGCGTGCAAAGTAGCTGTTTTAAATAGCACGGTGAAAATGTGTGTGTTTGAGAGATTAGTTTTGCTATTGTTGATTCACAACAAAACAAATGGATTAGACGAGTTAAATACGAATCTCTTTAGGCATTTTCCTTCCTGAAAAGACGTATTCATGATTCTCTACAGTGCGTCGGACCAGCCTCCCACGTCTTTCTACCTGGTTCGCCTCATCTCCAAGACGCCCTGTATGGTCCTGCGTCTGGGCTTCCCTATCGGTACACCCGCTCATGTCAGAAACAAGGTACTAGTAAAGCTTAACACAGTGCCAGCGACACTTCCAAAACAATGGCTGGCTTTTGTGAAGAGGATGTCAAAACAGTATAGACTATCGTCTGATGTGAGCTTTACACCAGTCACGCATCTGTCCATCTTGGCTCAACGTGATCACGATCCCTCCCTCTGTCTCTCTTTTCCTCGCTCTCTGTCTGCTGGGGGTGTGGTTGGAACACAGTTCATGCCACTTTGGTTACGCTTGATTTCTTTTTCTTTAATTTTTATTTCTTGGGTGCAGCCAAATGATGTAAGTCATCTTTACAACTATTTTCCAATTTTATTTGTTAGAATTTTACATTATTTTGTTTGTGTGCTTGTGTGTGTTTAATTCCAGTCAGCATCCTCCGTTTATTTGAGTGTTTAGGAGACCTTGTTTTGTACCAAAGAAATTATTAATCAATAATAAATTGGCTTCTAGCTTTTCCTTTCCTCTGAACAGCCAATTGATAAGAACACGGTGGGGTGGCGCTGGCCTCATCTGTACAGACTGTGTGTTTTCTGAGCTAATCTATCCAAACATCTGTACTCTCCACCAGATTGTTGACGAGCTGCGAGATCAGATCCTCAAACTTCGCTTCCCTCATCGCGTTCAGAACAAAGAGGCGACCCCCAAGACCAAGAGGAAGATTGTTGGTAATCCGTCGCCGTCCAAGTCTCCTTCCCTCCCTGCTGCCAAACCGGCGCTGTCAGACAGGCCTTGCGTGGTGGTGCTCAACAAGCCTCTGGAGAAGCTTCTCATAAGGTCAGTGCATGAAGACATCACTGCTGGAATGCCTGATTTAAAAGTACACACAAAATTTTTTTTTTAACGAGACCTTTGCAGGTATGAGAAGCTGCCGCTGGATTTTAGGACTCCTTTCATTTTCAACATGGAGAACTTCCCTCAGCCCTCCAACAGCTCCATGCCCCTTAGCGTGGCGGCCAACCGGATGGCCTCCTCCAATCTGGCCTCTCTGTCCCGGTACTTCCTGCACCAGCGCTGGGTGTTTGCCGTACAAAGCAGCCATGGACCGGCTGTGGCCATGCAGGCGGTGGCTCACATCCTGTCCATGCTCTCTGAGTGAGTTCACTGCATTTGTGTTTTCTGCTCAGAAAATATCTGATTGATTTTTTAAAGTAATTTTGCTCAAAAACATGTGCAAAACCAACTACAGGAGCTATATTTGCTTAGGGGAAGATTTGAGCAAATGTATGCTCGTGTGTCATGAAAGCAGATAATCACAATGAATTCTAGGTGTTTCAGATCTATTTAGCTAGTAAATGCTTAAAGACATAGCAGCCTGGCTGGTTGTAATGTGAGATAAGCCTCTTTGGGTGTTGCCTGAAACTGTATCTTGTGTCTGTGAAGGATCCGCATATCAGAAGGCTTTCACTTTGCTTCCAGCGGAGAGGGCATCGTTAACATGGTGATTGAGCTGCCAATGAAGGTAAGGCGGCACTGAATGCTTCTTTGTCCTCAGTGCTCTAATGTTTATGTACATTCACTTTTTGTATGACTGCTGCTCCTAATTTGTGTTCTATTGTCAGAGCGTGTCTGGGGAAACGGACAGAGAGAGCCACTCTTGTATTGTTCAGTACATCCTGTTTCCACCTCACTCAACATCTACTAAGGACAGGTGAGCCTTTACACAACCACTCATTTTAAGGTTAGGATGGCACTGTGAGGACTTCTGCAGCGGCGAATCCTCCCTAGTTAGGCACAAAGCTGTTATCAACATCAGTTATAAAATGAGACCATCTTAATGAAAACGGGTGCAGGATATGCATATGTAATACATATAGGATATGTGAAACCATTTGCGCATTGATCGTATGTTCCCTGGTTTGACTCTGTGGGGGCTTGTGGACCAGTGTGCATTGTATTGCATGAAGAGTATTGTCTATGGTTTACACGTTCCACTGTCTAGGACTCACACTGTTTTGGTCTCGGCTTGGCCTCCACCCCTCTAACTGTGGGTTGTCTGTGGATGACACTGTGGCTACAGCACTGCTATACACTGTGGTTTTAAACTCGGTCTAAACACCTTCATAAATACTGGCACCTAGTACATGTGTCCGTTATCTTTCAATGGCCCCCAGCTTCTCAACTGACGACGACAACGACACCGAGGTTGAGGCCGTAGACGTAGATGCGGAGCTCAACCTTGTGACCGAGTGCTGGGTGGAGCCGCAGAGTGGCATGGTGAAGAACTGCACGGACCACCATCTCCACTTCCAGGGCCTCAAGTACCAGGACATCCCACAGGCCGTGCGTAGTCTGTCCCCACATTCCTTCGCTCCCAAAAAGAGCTGACGGTGAGGTAGACTTATTCTAGACATCTTACTTGCTTTTGTGTTGTAGATCTTCCCGAGGGACCTGGCCTGCATGTCCACCATGATGACCTTTGAGCATTTGAGCCAACTGTGTCAGAATAAGGACCAGGTGTGCTCCTTGCCAGCTGGACTCAAGGATTTGAGAGGTAATGAGACAGATTCAAAAAGTCTTCAGCTTCTTATAGGTGCACTGCATTTAACTGTTGGGGTAAATTACTATAGGGAACTATCATCATCATATTATTCATGTATGTCTGTAAAATCTTATTTTAGGGAAGAATGTGGCCTTTAAAGCAGCTTGAAAGCATGACTAAGTAATGGTGCTCAATACAAACATTTAAAATATGTACATTGACTCCACACGTCTCAACATGGGGACAGCGGAGCCACTGGCTAGTAGTTAAGAGCGCAAACATGTAACAGTGCTGACACAGAAAATGGTGTGTATAGAACCCGTAAGCAATAGTCCAAATGGAAGTTGGGTGTCTGCTTGTGTACCAATGTATTTGTGTTCTATTTACCCATCTGCAGCTAGTGGCTCTGTCTAATTGCATTACCTCTATCATGTTGACTCGTGTGTATTGCTTGAACGGCAAAGCCTTTGTAAACTGAAGGGTGGGTGTCCTGTCTGTGTGTGCGTGTGCGTGCAGGAGAAGCCTTTGCGTCTGAGGACAGCATCCACATGGTTCCCTTCCAGTTTGACCTCATTCAGCTGCTCCCAAAGTGCCAGCAGGTTGAGATCTTCTTCCTCTCATTTGGCACAGGTACGATACTCACATGGGTCTGCAATGAAAATGACCCGAAACCAACATTAAGTACATTGTTCTTTCTTTAACCATGAAATAAAGAAACAAAGTTAGGGGTGACTTTAACGCTCATCTTTTTAGAAGCACAGGTGTTATTTGTGTCTCCTCCTTTTTGCCAGTAGCAGTGGAGCATGAGCAGCAGCCTCACAGTTCTCCCTGTCTGCCCAACGAGCTCCTGCTGAGTCTCTTCCACAGCAGCCTGGAGCAGGAGCTCACCGACCGGGAGGTCCCATTGACCGACGGTGACCACGCCGCCTTCATGCACCACATCTTAGAACGGGAGCGAGACGAGCATGTCGCTCCCTTCTTCTTACCTGTTATTAAAGGTCAGCACATGTCATCTCATCGTATGTGGCATCACCAGAACTGCAGGGTGTACCTCCTGGTTTTGTCCATTTGGATCAGATGCTGGAGGGGGGTTTCCTCTTCTGAAGTGCTTTCTCTGCTTCTTGTCTTTTGTCAGAGGAGTGTGTGAAGCCTCCAGACAGGCAGGACACTATGACGTCATTCCACACCACTGGCAGCAGCAAAGAGGTGATGGGGTCTACCAGCACTCTGCAGGTAATTCCCATCCATCAAGTTTTCGGAAGATGGGACTACCTATCTACCACCTCACCAAATTCCATTGTTAGATCCATCACTCTATTCATTCTTCATTCATTTAATCTAAAAATAAACGTGTCACTTTTAAAGCCAGTTAGCCTGCCACTCCAGGGATTTCCTTCTCCCTACCAGTGGTAAAGAACAACCAAGATTTTTTCTGGTTTACTGTGTTCAACTGAATCAGGAACATGAAAGCAGAAGAGTTTAGTCACTGTATGAATTCTAGCAGCTGGATAACTGCATTATTTTTAATGCACCCAAAGTAATTTCTGTCTCTACATGGTTGCGCCTTTACAGAAGAGTTCTGCTCCTATTCAAGCATACGCATACACACATACACACGTGCGCGCATACATGAACACACTGCCACCTGTAAAGGACAGATATGTATGTATGTATCTTCTCTTGTCATTATTTGCATATTTTGTAATGCAATATTCCAAAAGTAACAAAAGTCATAATTTAAAATAGTGATATTCGGATGTATTTTTTTCATGAAGTAATTCCTAATTGTATTGGACTACGTTTTTGGAATAACTTTACTCAGCGTGCAGAATAGGCAATAGTAATAATAGTACTCCAAATTCTACTTTCTATCTATTTTTAATAAGTCCCCCCAGGTGTTGTAATGTTGTAAATGTGTGTTTCCTCAGAGCTTCAGTAATGCCGACCTCGTGGATGAGGAGCTCTCGCCGGGGGAGAGGAGCTGCTCCACTCCACAGTGGAGGTGCTATGCAAAGTACATCAGCTCTCAGCAGATCATCCTCACTTTCCTCCCTGCTTCCCTCACAGGTACACCTCCAGTTCTTCCCGTAGGTTTTGAACACATTCCGAGCAGTGCGACGGTTAGACGTGGGCGTTCTGTGTTTGTTTTTCAGACGTTCTGATGCTGATGGCGTCGAGGCTGGAGGTGAAGCCTCAGAGCAACGCCAGCGTGCGAGGGGACGATACTCTGACTCCCTGCAACAAGTCCCAGGCTGACTCCCTGTCTGGCTCCACCAACGACCAGGGTGGACTCGCTGACTCCCTGATACCAGGCTGGGACAGCAGGGTGTCGGAGACCGAGACTGGGACTCCCGGCTCAGGTCTGTCTCAAACCAAGTTGGTGTAGTCCAGTGAAAAATAATTTAAGGGCTAAAGTCATGAAGCTTTTACACCCAATAGGTTAACCGTACTGCTGTTTGCAACCTTCTAGATGTGGGAGAAAAGGATGGAGTCCAGTTCTCTGAACCACAGAAGTCAGATTTACACATCAACTTCAGCAGGCCAGTGTCCCAGCACAGCACCAGTGAAGGCAGCCAGTTAAGGTGTCCGGTCTACGTCTACAATTGCTCCCTGGAGAACCTGAAGGAGCAGCTGGTTCACCCCAACTCGAACCGCCAGCCCAGAGACGTCTTCTTCAGGTACCGTGCTTGCCCACAGGAAGGAGAGACAGGGGCTGAGAGAAAGGGTTTTAAGGAAGGACAGCCCTGGTCTGGATGTTAGATTTCTATTTGAATCCATCTGACCATAGGTGAGGTTACGAGCTTTGTAGACATCACATGCTTGTTCTGCAGCACAATCACACGATTTTGATATTAACTAATTCCTAAATCATAAGTAGGACAGGTCCTTTTAATCACTATGGTCGTTTTGGCAACAGTCTTGACACACATTGAAAGTCACCACCGTCGTTCTCCAGGTCTGGAATCACATTGACAAAGAGTTGAGCCTGCACATGTGGAATAAACGATATGTGAACGTACATACAGAAACACTATGGCTTAGACAGTGATCTGACTTGAACTGCTCATTGTACTCTTGTGTTTCTTTCTTAGTGCGCCTTTAAGCCTCCACTCAACATAAACAGCAACCTGCACTTTAAGAGTCAGAGTTGGCATGACTATTTTCAGCTTTGATATCAGGTGTTCCTAACTTCAGTCAGTAAATGCAATCGTATGTTTTCTAATACATGAAAACATCTTTTAGAGGGTCACTATGTCGTAATAATATGATAAGTGAGCCAGGAATGTTGGGGTCCAGTTGCTAACATGTGTGTCTCTGTGAGAATAGAGCTCAAGATGCTGAGTCGTGGGAGATGTGTCAGCAGATGAAGTTCAGGTAGTTTGACTCTGTGGCTCCGCCTCCTTCCGCTCTGCGCCCCTAGGCACTGCTCAGCATTCAGGGGAATGTGGCTTCTCTTAACACAGACCTATCTGTGCTTCCTCCTCGGGCTTGTCGCTGTGCGCGCACCACACACACACACACACACACACACACACACACACACACACACACACAGCAGGTCCGGAGCTGCCACATACAGATTTTAAGGGACATGTGAAGGGTTTGGTGGCAGCAAGCTGTGTGGTTCCAGATTGCCACTGTATTTCCCTCATTCACTCCTCTTTTTTTTATTTTTTTAAATGTGCTCACTCAGTCTGTCTCAATCACATGCCACACATATAATAATAACACAAATGTAGGGGCAGAAACGGCTGCTGGTCCCACGTTTTTAAATGGCAATGCAACTTTGATGACTGTGGAGAGGACCTGATCCCTAAGGAGATATGAAGAGATTAGGGCTGTCAAAATTGCTCAAAAATGACGTTCGAATATTTGCTTTAAAAAAACATATATATTCAAATATCTGGTTGCGCATTAGGCGCGTCAATAACTGGACAAATGAATACAATGGGACATAACTACTTGTATAGGTAAGTTATTTAAGTTTAAACATATTACCTACACAAAAATAAGTAAATTAACTAATGGCCAAGACCGCAGATCTCTAACTCGCTCGCACACACGCTCTCTTTCTTTCTTTCTCTCTCTCGCACCGTTGCGCTCTCTGCGCGTTAAATGAACGACAATAATAAAACAACTGCTGAGCACTGATCAAGAGTTCTGTCCAAGCAATTTAAGGTTGCAATTCTTGTCCCAAAGATGGCAGGTGATTCAGTGATTGAAACTGAAAGTTTTACAGTACTGACATTGAATGCTCCGAGTGAGCTGTGCTGGCAAACACGAGACTTTTCCTTGGGATAAAACTGCAAATAAATCAAAGCGGTGCATGAAGCTGGTCTATTTTATTCATGCAATATATAGTCAGTAGTCAGGTCTGCAAAGCAGACACTGTTTTTTTTTTTACATTTGAATATTCATTTTCACATTCGAATAGTTGTTTTTAACTATTCGAATATATATTCAAATATAGAATATTTGTTGACAAACCTAGGAGAGATACACAAAGATTCTTAGTTTCCTGTGATTATATGCTAATTAAAACATAGATATGGCTATTATATTCCATTACTAATAGATCCAACAAAATGCCACACACTGCTCCTTTAAAACGTTAGCGTATCAGTATCATGTCAGTGACGTTGCCCTGATGTCCCGTCGAGGAGCATGAGGGAACACAGTTTGTTGTTCAACTAATCCTTTTCATTTATGGATAGAGTTTAGTTTAAGCGCTACTTAGGTCTTTACTCACTAACAGATTTGTTAGTTCAAAGAAAAAGAAGAAATCATCAGCTGGAAGTCAAATATGAAGCCTTTTGTCGGTCTATTCTGTTTCTGTTTTTTCCACAACTTGATCGTCCACGTCTGTGGAGTTTAGAGGCTGTGACATTGAATAAGAAAACGATCAGGAGGCCTTCTGAACCGAACGTTTTGCTTTTCATTTTCTTGAACCAAAGTTACGTCGTAGGTGAAAGAGAAGACAACTTTTGAGAAGGAATGATCGGCTGAGGACACATGCACAGAATATAGCAAAAAGTTAAATCTCAAGCTACGTTGGTTGAAGTTGTTATTTAAAGGCCTTAAAATATTTATTGGATGAAAGGTATAGTGTGTTGTACTACAGTGTATCGGTGCAACAGTTTGTCTTCACAACTTGTCCCGTGGATGACAACCTTTTGGTGATGGAGGTCTTTTTTCACATCTTTCATGTTTCCTCCCTTCCGTCCTGATCTCTTGGTTTCCAACGCATCCTGTGGAGGTTCAGCTGATGTGCTCCTCAGACATTGCTTAATGTTTTTGAAAAGCTGGGCTAAAGCTGTCCAAAATGTTTGTTTGACTATAACGCTAAACTGTCTGATATTGTGTATATACACACACACAAGTCAAATGCCCGAACATAGATCTAATGTAAATCTGATGATGTGTCCTCTGGCAGGTCGCTGTCCCAGGACCGCAGCAGTCCGTCCCCTTGGAGCGATCTGCTGGCTCAGCCCCACAAACACAAAGAGCTTGCCAACTACTGCAGCCTACTGCAAGAACACTACCACCAGAGCTACGTCAGGGGTGAGGAGGTTATACTGGTACGGTGATAAATCCACTGTGACTCCTGCATTGTAGCGCGTGAATACTTGTTCACTTATCGCACTACAGGGAAAGGAAATCACACGTACAGGCAGCTGAATGTTGCGTGGCACAGACCCATTCCTATTTTCGTGCTGTTTAGGCTGATGTGATGACTGTCAGCCATTTTCAGCTCTTGCATCTTTAAAAAGGCTTCGCAAACAAATAATGAATTCCTAAATGTAAATTAACAAAGCAAATCGAAGTGAAATACTAAACATGTTGTGTGTAGTTCAAATTGTGACTTAAAAATCCCACTGAATTGCTTCAGTTTGGGTTTTAGAGCTGCACACATTTGACAGTTCGGTACTTTTAAGACAACACAAAACATATCAGAAAATATCATGGTTTTGCGGTGCAATTATTGTGGCTTCAAAATAATTCTCAACTTTATTGCAATATCTACTGAATACATTCATTTGTGGCTCAATGAGTTGTGAGTTGACTCAAAAGACGAGTGGTTATATGTAGATGTGATATGAATATTTCCCGGGGTCAGTGATGGTCTCCTTGCTGTGTGTCTCAGGTGTGTACCGCAGCCTGCAGCAGTCCTACAGCATCAGCTCACAGGACGTCCTGATGGCCATGGACTACTGCGAGGAGTCCCTGCAGGAGATGGACGTCTCCTCCTTCCTGCAGACCGTCTGTGGACACACCAGGGTGTTCAGGGAGCACTGCGGCAATGCAAAGCCTATGAGGAGCCCCGCCAGCTTCATCGTTGGAGGGGTGGAGGAGGAGCAACCAGATGACAGGGCCACTTTGGCCTCCTCGTCCAGGTAATGTGTACTGGACATGCAGTATGTAATACATAGGATGTGAGAAAATGAGAAAAAGACTGCTAATGTCTAGTTAACCAGAGGAACACCTTGAAATGTCATCTTATTTTTTCTTTTATCCAAAGTTAGGGTAGTCACCATGTCAATTCACAAAAGCAGCACACTATTGAGCTTGTGCTTGATTGATTGATCTTCAGTCAGTGTGTTTACATGATGGTATAATTCGAATCTTTGCTTAGTCGGACTATGCTATCTTTCGGGGGGAGGTGCTATTATCCCAATATACATGGCAGTGAATAAATCGAATCATTGGCCGACAGCATGTCATATCCGATACGATAGGTGGCGCTGTTTTCATTACAACTAGTTGTGATACAGCCATTTCCGCTTGACCGCTTCACCACTACCAACAACAACAACATTAACATTATGAGAAAGATGGCGAATGGAGAGCAAGGTGAAGCTACATCCCTCTACTATTTTTGCATGATGTTAATAGGAGTACAGCGAATGCGAATGGCGCTATTGGCTGATTTGATAACGGAGAGAAGACGCCGTCGGGATCTCAAGCATGCGCAAAGACGCAAAGTCCAGTTCCTCATCCGATTCACCGTTACATGCCGCAATAGTCGAACTGTCAACTAGATCGGATCGAGTTATCCAGGGGTGTTAGTCGGATCGTAGTCGGACCGCACGTAGTCGGACAAAGGTGTTTAAATGAAACGTATAATTCGATTTCAGTCCGACTAAGCCAGTCATTCGAATCCATGTAACCACGCTGAGTCATTCACCTCCTTTAGTTGAAGATTGGGTTACGTGTGTAAGTTCTGCGTGAAGGGAATTGTTACCTGCAGAAGTTTTAGACGTCAGTCTGACCCAAATCTACTAGGGGAGAGAGAAGGGTAGAGAGAGATGACAGGGAGGGATAGATAGATAGATAGATGGAGGGAAAGACGGGACGAGGGAGTTATTTTAAATTTCTTTAAAACACTGTATAGTTACTTAATGTAATTGAAACATTATAGACTACTTTTAATGATTTATTGTGCGAAACACATCTATGGAAAATCCAACATTCATTCCCCACGTGGAGGTACCTTTTTGTTTCATCAATATTTAATACTTGTGCCTGTAGCATTGACATGGAGGATGTCAGTGAACCTGAGTTCAGAGGGAAGTCCTCGGCTCCCACTTCTCCCCTGATCCTGGAAGAGTCTAAGACGGCCTTGGTCCCAGAGTTCCCTCTGCTGCTGCTTCAAACACAACCCAAGTGTGAAGTGTACCCAGATCTGCATGGCATCATACAGGTACCATCGGAGCTCTTCATTTCATGTTACGGAAGTAGACCTGTAGTCGTTGATTATGTCTTACTTAATTTAGTAAGAGAACTGGGTGAGACCGAGATTAAAACGGATCATTCCACAGGATAAATTCATGGGGATCATGTCCCAGTATTTCAAAACTGTGCCCTCCAACCCACACTACTTCTTCTACTGCCCACCTTCATGCAAGAGAGAGGTGAGTCAACTGCCTTGTGTTCTCATATTCTAATGAATAATGGCTTTGTTTATATATCTTACAATTACTAAAAAGATGAAATCGAATATCTAGGAAAAGATAGTGGATTAACATTGTCTGGAATGTGTATTTGTTTGACCAAAGACAAATGTAAGGATTGATGTCCTTGCTTTGAAAGAGTCCCGGCTCCCACGTGATGAGACCGGATGAAACTTTGCGCTGTGGTTTGTCTCCTCAGGAGGACTCTGAGGACGGGGAGAGGAGGCCCAGTGAGGAGCTGCTGTCCGAGGCTGAGCCGGCTACTGAGGATGGTGAGGAGCGGTCACAAATGTCTATGCAGCTAAGGGAACTCTTTAATTGAATTGATTCATTGGTGCACATGCAGAGTTATTTGGCAAAGCATCAACACCCCTGAAAACAGACACATGAGGAAACTTGCATCAGCTACATTGGCCGGTGTAAAAGGAGCATGATAGGTCACTTCTTTAAGAACTGCAGCTTAGGTGGTTAAGCTTCAGAAGTTCATCTTCTCAGAGAGTGGTACGGCCCCACCCACCCTCCTCATTCCTTCTTCGTTTTGAATTAATTGCATCAAAGTATATGAACTGTTTTTATTCATAAAATAAGTACATATTTACATTTCCACTTACAGTTGTATTACCTTTTATTCTTCTTTTAATGAGTTTGGTTAAGTTAAAAGTAACTTCAGTTAAGGATGAAGTCCACTTTCAGTTAAAACTTAATTATTAACGTAATTATTTTATCACCATAACACAAATTATTACTTCTAAACATGTTGATTTAAACTTTTTAATATTTAAATTTTTTTAACTTTATTCCCTTGTTTTATACTAACCCATAGCCTTAGCCTTATTCTACTAACCCATTGCATTAGCATTTCATTCCACTTTATTTTATTACTTGTGCACTGTTGTCTTGTCTGTCTACTGTCGCGCACTAACCGCCAAGACAAATTCCTTGTATGTTTGACATATTTTGGCTAATAAATGTTTCCTGATTCCTGAGGAAGTCTGCTTCAGCTTGAGGTCTCATAGAATCAGAACTGTAGCATTTTAAACCTCTAATTATTAATGAACAGCAGAAATCCTACAACATGCTGGATGATCTATTTACATATGTGTCTCCTACTTGAACATGAAATATTTCCTCATGTGATGTGATAGCTAGCCCTCCGGTCATTTAACCTTAACTCGTCATCTAGTGATCTCACATTGAACATTCGATTTTTTTTGTGTGTAGAAAACCTGTCCGGCTCCTGCATCATGACGGAGAGCGACACCGATTTGGTGGTTGAGTACGAGGAGAATGCGGGTACCGAGAGCCAGGGGGAGGACGACCAGTCCCTGTCGGACTCCAACACGGTCAACCAGGACCAGGACTCCTTCAGCATCCTGGAAGGGGACTGCCTGCTGGACCCCGAGGGGCCGGGACTGGACATGCCGCCGCTGTTTGTTCACATCACCTGCTCCGTGAACATGAAAAGCTGCCACGGCTCCATGCCCATACAGACGCTCCCTACCTGCCTCGGTGAGTATGCCCCCACAAGAGACACTCAAAGGTCCAAAGTTACCACCAACAGTCATTCATTAAGAGTTCTGGTCTCCCATCATCCCACCGTAAAGTATATAGTGGAAGAGTGCGTATTTAAGTTGTGTGATTGCAGGTGAGGTCATTTCCTGCCTGGAGAATGCTGAGTCCCTGCAGTCTGTGGATCTGAATGAGCTCTTAGTAACACTGGATATTTTTGTCCTGACTCTGCCTCTGGAGATTGAGGACATGGCTGATTTTCATCATAACCGGTAAGTCAAAGCGTGAGCAACAAGCTGCCTCCCATCCCAAGGTCTGTCACATTCTCGTAAAAGTGCGCACATGTCCCCTTTTAAGTAGCTCTGTGTTTGTTGCATCACTTCATGTATTACAGTAGGTTATACCTCGTTCGTCAGTGGAATAATGTGAAGCAGAGCTGAAGGTGCTTAAGGAACAACTTTAAATAAACTGTTTGATTGTTTTAGCTTTTTTTTTAAATGAATTCTATATTAACATGGGACTGTAAATGTTATCCTGAGGACAATTGAAATCTCCCCTCTGTGTGCAGGTACACCTCAGAGAGTAGTATGTCCCTGAATCGTTCACCAGGACAGCCCTCCTCCTATCGCTCCGATGATGAGCTGATGGCGGTGTTGGACGGTTTGAGGGGAGCCGGTGCTGACGGGTGAGTTTTGCCAGGAAGATGCTGAACTGGACTTCCTCTTATTCTCTGTGGTGTCTTTCTCACACATGTGTCTTGGCTTCCATCAGGGTGTCCACTGATCCCTTATCCAAACTCCCTCTTCCTCATAAGTTAGGAATTCTGGCCACAATGGACGAGGTGAGTCTTATTCTTGTAAATATGAGCTATCGCTGCTGCAACAAAACAACACAACACAATCAATTGTCATTACTTTGCAAAGCTCAGCAACTACACAATTTAAATTGCTTTACATAAAATACCTTTGGGCAAACTACAAAAGAAATACATTGTAAAGGGACATTTAGGCACATGCAGTTCACCCTTAGGTAGTCCAAAAGAAGTCAGATCTTGTCAGATAAAGATACAACATTTGCAGTCGTATTTCCACCCCAAGGTTTTATATGTCTATTGCACATAAAGCCCATGGAGCATGCACCATATGCATGTGCACAAGTCGATAAAGTCGATAAAAGTTTGTAGACTGACTGCAGCCAAACCTTGCTTGTTTAGTCTCATGGTTGGCAGCATACAGCTGCCCAATTTATGAAGTACATTGTTTTTGGCATATCAAATCAAGCGTCTGAGGGCAATCCAAAAGTTTCGGCTTCATTTTTGGTGAGCTGTTTTGTTGTTGTCTTTGTACACACACACACACACACACAACAGCAGTGATAGGCCGGTCTGGTTTTGCTCTCTCTGTGGTGCAGATCCGCTGGCTTCTGGAGGACGAGATCGTGTCTGCTCTGCGCCACTCTCGGGTCATCAGCTCAGCCACGCTGCAGAAAGTGGCCGAGCACGTTTTGCATTCCAGCGGGCGACCGCACTGTCTTTGTGAAGATGTCCCGCTTCAGTTCGTCTTCGGGCCAGAGCAGTCTCTGGAGAAATTCAGAGAGGCAAGGGCACACCGACGCACACCGATGCAGAGGCACATGACCAAAGGAATGTTTGCTTATCATGCTGAGCTACTTTAAAATATTTCCACATATTAATTTTCAGTACTTTTTAAAACAAATAATTGTCTTGCTGTGAATTATTCAAAACTAAATTAATGTTATTTTTGAAGGTATACTGTTTTCCCTCAATCAATTCCAGAAAGTTCTAATTTGTCAATGTAAGCTAATATGTTACACAATAAAAAAGCATTTCAGTGCCTTAAAGGAGATAGTTCCTCTCTGTATATGGCTGTAATATTACACAACATCTCAGTTCAGCACAGCAGGAAAAATATCCTGCAGTAAATGATTTTGTAATTTATTTAGAAAATAGGAAAGGGACGGTCAATAACTTGATGAGGGAGTGATCAGCATCTCTGATGGGTTCATGTCTCACCCCGCAGGAGTTCCGCCGGATTTCTTTCTCAGGCTACGTGCTGAACAGAGAGCAAGACAGCTTCTACTACATGTCTCTGAGCAGACAGCATCCCCACAGGATCCACACTTCCAAGAGGCTGTCTGAGGGCACCACAGACCCCCAGCAGCGCAGCCCCACAGCACCGAGGGACGACACGTTGCTGGGGAGTGAAGCCGAGGCTCAGGCAGACAGCGAGGTTGGACACACTGATGAGAGCCAATGAGACTCCATAACTGCATCTGCATAAACACTCCGTGTCAGTTAGATGTCTGGGAGCTCCATGGTCGTCAGCAACGGCGAAGCTTTCTTTTTCCTCAGTCAATAATGTCCTATACTCATCTACCACTCGGCTGTGGAGAAAAGCATTTAAACTCCAGCTGGTTTTCTGTTAACAAACTCTAAATGCAGCAAAAAAATATAAAAATATAGCTACATAAACAACACAAACGGAAGAGGAAAACAATATTAGTGGTACAATTATTTAATTCTTAAACTCATTTGTGAAAGGAATACAGATAATAAAGAATACATAACAATGAGGAAGTTAATCAAATGGAGAGTAACGTGAACGAGATGTACTTTACTGAGGTTGGAAACCCCCCTGATTGTTCTGTCCGGCTGCAGAGTGAAGACAGGAAGTCCCTCAGCGCTGCTGCTGACCCTCCCAGTGTGCCTGCAGCAGAGGCCTTGAAGCCCGAGGCAGATCACGCGGAGTCTCAGAGCTCGCCGATCATGTCAGGGGACCGAGGTCACCCCTGTGCCCCCCAGCTGCACACAGATCCTACTTTGCCCCCCAAAACGCCGTCCAGTGTCAGCCTGGCTGAGTCCATGCAGTCGGCCTCTCACAGTGAGTCCAGCAGATCCACTGCAGCCCTACACACAAACCGCTTATATAAAGTTTGATTGCAGTGAGGTGTGGATGGCATGTTAGAGCAAGCAGATAGAAGGGCAAAGAATTGAAGGGGAAGGTAATGTGTATTTCACTGTTTTAGACCAATAGTCAGATCACATTGAAGTGTAAACCCGCTGTTGAGGAGACGGCTGATCCTTCAGAGCCGATCCCAAAAGTCACATTTACTAGTGTAACAGTTATTAGACATCTCAAGTGTGGTTATAGGGCTGGGTGTTGGCCAAAAATTCCTATCACAGTATTTTGGGGTCGTCGTGGCGCAGGGGTTAGAGAAGGTGTGCTGGGAAGCACAAGGTTGGTGGTTCGATTCCAGGCTGCCCATGTCGAAGTGTCCCTGAGCAAGACACCTAACCCCTAATTGCTCCCCGGGCAAAAATGTGAAAAAAGCCGTGGGTTTAAAGTGTAATGTAAGTCGCTTTGGATAAAAGCGTCTGCTAAATGACACGTAATGTAATCCCGGAAGTGGGACTCTGACGTTCTTCCTAAGGTTTCATTTTTTGGGGAGTTATTCCTGTGCCGATTTCTGGACAGAGGATGTCGTATCTGTACAGACTGTAAAGCCCTCTGAGGCTAATTTGCGATTTTGGGCTATACAAAATAAAATGAATTGAATTGCATTCATTAACGCCGGCCAACTGAACAGCTGTTCACTGCCCGTTGTTCACAGATGCATAGTTTTCTTCAAGAAAAAAACTGAAACATGTTTTTAACTGTGAATTTGGATTTGAAGTTTTAAAGTCTCTGGTTACACTTATAACGTGAGGATCAGCTCTTCTGCGTTTCATTTCCCTTTGAAGTGAATCATTCTTCAGGAAGGCCTGGCATGGCAGGTCTCCAACCAATCTCCGTCTTATCATTCCTTCTGTCCATGTATTTTTACTCTGCCTTTGCTGTTTGCAGTCATCTTTATCAAAGGGTTGAACTCCATAAGATGGACATTTTGGAGGCCAGTATTAGTCCAATGTCCTCTGCATCCACAGCTGTCATCTGAGGCCTCCGCTCATGTCTCTGCTGAGTTTGGTGACTCTGTGCTCTCTCCCCAGGCTGTGGTAAACTCAGGCCTAGCCGTGTCCAGAGCTTGGTCTCCAGCCAGGGCAGCCTGGACTCAGACATGCAGGGTAAGTGTTGTCTGACCGCCGTAATTGGTCTCAACAGAGGTCCTAGGAACAAGGACAAGCAGTCCATTTCCCACCGGCTTGCTGGATCTTGAAATAATTAACTACAAAATAGAAAAGTTACCCTGTCCTTCCACATTCTGAAAACATTTCCCACATCATTACAGCAGAAACTGCTCCCGGTTAAGGGACTTCTTAATACCTGCCAATATACCTGCCAACTTGTCGCTTCTTGAATAGAATAGGTCTTTTTGAATAGATCATCCACGTGAATCGTGTAGATCCAAGTTATTATTTGGGGGGGGGTGGGGGAGGTAAACTGTCCGGCCAGCTTTTCTGAGATTGGAGTGAGACAAGAAGAAAACGTGATGATAAAACATCTTTGATGTGACGTGACGAGTCTTGGACAATCAGCGTTGAGATCTCTACCCCTCCAACTTTTTATCCTTTCACTCCAAATCAGTGGTGCCAACTTGGCAACTTTCCTGCAAAATCTCTCAAACCCGCCAAATTTTTTTTTGTCAAAAGCGACTAGTAATTTTTCCTGGTGTTATTGGTGACCTTTTTCACCCCTGATGAGTTTGTAGGTATGGACTTAACATTGCCATTGATAGAACACTGGTGTAAGTGTCTTTTACCAAAGCTTACAGACCCAGCAGGAGTTCACCGATGGAGATAACTGATGACATTTTTTTACTCTGCTGCTGTGTTTGAAGGTTATGATGGCGGAAGCAGCGACTCTGAGTGTGAGAGCCCCACCCAGGATGAACAGGAGTGTCAGTCGCCTCTGATGCCCGACTTCTGGCTCATAGTTAAGATCCACCAGGACAGAGTGAAGGTCTACTCGCATTCCAGGTCAGCCAATGTTCGGACTATCAAGTAGTGCAAACTGTGTGACTACTCAGTGAGTGCTTTTTGAAGGAGGCAACGACCTCAAAGCTCCTCTTGGAGAAGACTTTAAAGTAGCCTCCGTCCGCTCCCACGCACATGGGATGAGGATGTTGTCTGGCGTCTCGGTCATCTGGCTCCCGATATGTGTGTTTTGCGTAACATAGATGAAAACTCTCCACGATGTATTAAAGCCGTGTCAATACATCACAACAATGTCTAACTAGCCCATATAGATGTAACCCAATTACTGACTGTCAAATCAAATGAATAAAGTACATAAGCAATACTTATTTTCAAATTGAACTGGATGAATTCTAATTGATAAATAAGAGAATAGTAAGTAAATGTGCTGGGTTAAACAATAAAATACTTAACAAAGATTTTGAAATTTGTGAAAAAAATAAAGTACTTCATTCTGCCCTACAGCTTTACATCTTGGTGTTGAGGTCATTCCATCTGAAAATGTAATATTTATCTTTAAGAAAAAAAGCTTCCTGGACAGACAGATGTCAGATGTCTGAAAGCCATGCTTGCCTGTTCCAGGTGTTTCACAGCAGGCAAAGATATTGGTGCTGAGGATCCGGAGAAGGAGGAGGAGCTGCCTGAACACTTCCACCTGCATCAGATGGTTGTCAGGAGAATCGGAGAAATCTGCAGAATAGTCAACCAGGTAGCTACTGCAGCACTCCACATGGTTTGCCACGCAAACAAAGTACTTTGTGTCATTTAAGGAGCTCAGGGATAGAAGCAACACAACATTTATCTGATTAAATACAAATGTCACATGATGGTGTGCTTTCTTTGTGTAGCGCATGCTGCTGCAGGATCTACACGATAGCCACGTGTGTAACTCTCTGCTGGTGGCTGAGAGCGAGGAGGACATCTGGAAGAATGAGTCTCTGTACAAGCCGCGGCTAAACACCTCCGACGGTGAGTCACAACACACCGATACTGTCACTAATCTGGACCAGCGGAGCCCTTATTGTGTATGTGTTAATATCTCACAGACTACAGCTCGGAGGAGAGCTACCAGGCCAGAGACTACCTGGCTGCCACCATGCAGTTCATCCCTGGACATTTTGCCTGCGACGTGATGTGGAGCACAATCATCCACATCCACCCCCGCCTGAAGATGGGACCCAATATGGGAGTGTCAAGGGGTGAGTGGCAGATCTGATCTGAACATATATAATATATATATGCTTGCCTGGCAGGTGAATATGCAAAGCAGTCTATTTCCTGCTGGCTCCACCCACAGCTTGACACTGATTTGCTTTGCTTTTGCTGTGAATACAGCATCAACATTGAGATATAGTGATGACATCACAGATCTTTAAATTGCTTTTCTCAGCTTCAGGAAAAGTTCAACAGATATGAAAACCATTGTGTGTCAAAGCTTCCTAGTAGAAAGTGTCATTCTTTTTACTGAGGTCTCTTTTACTATGGAAGTTTATGGGGAAAATGCTGTGTAGACCAGACCGGTATTATTTTTGCTGCAAAACCACAGGGGGGCACTGGCACAAATTAGATTGTCATACATGCATTGGCTCACGTTGATCATCAAAAACTCTACTCTCAAATGAAATCCATCCAAAGTTATGAGTGTGGCAGCTGTTTTCACCTGGAATGTTGATCACAAAAAACAACTGACATGTTCATTCATCACTCCACTTCTGAGACACAAACTTTTGTTTAGTCACTAGAATCATTCCAATGGAATTTCAGTTGTGCTTGTTTCAGTCACACCCATATGACGGTAACTAGGGCTGTCACGATATCACATTTTTGTTGTGCAATTATTGAACCAACATTTATTGCGATATGCAATATTATTGCAATTTTCAGACCATTTTATGCCACTGATAACATAATGACAATATAATAGCATAGTAATAAAAGTCCGCTATTTCAAAGAACGTTTTATTTGTCAGAATATTTAGACATTAGAATCGGAATGTGAAAAAATATATCCTATATAAATAAACAAAAATATTATGTGCAAGGGACACGGAGAGGGCGAAGCATCAGGCTTGCCGCAATGCGGTCGGGTTCGAGAAAATGTGTCCAGCGGAAAAGCGCACCGCAGCCTTTAACGCGGGGCTTATTGCACGCTACCGCCATTCGGCCTCTGCAGCTCATCCAGAATGCAGCAGCTTGACTGGTCTTTAACCTTCCAAAATTCTTCCACACTACTCCACTCCTCCGCTCTCTTCCCTGGCTACCGGTGGCTGCCCGCATCCAGTTCAAACCATTGGTGCTCACGTGCCATGCTGTGAATGGATGGGGTCCAGCTTACATCCAGGACATGGTCAAACCCTACATCCCGACCCGCACTCGCCGCAAAACTGCTTGTCCCTCCTTGACTGAGAGCAAAACACTCGACTAGATCACGAATCTTTGCTGTCCTGCTTCGGAATGGTGGAACGAGCTCTCTGAAGACACCAGGACCGCAGAGAGCCTTCACATCTTTCGCCGCGAACTAAAGACACACCTCTTCAGACTCTAACTCGACTAAAAGACTAACAAATGGTAGCACTTAAATTGTACTTATAACGCCACTCATCTATAGCAATTTGTAAATTGGCTTATTTTAGGAAACATTTTCTTGTTTCTTGCTCTTCTGAGTTTGTATCCCTATGGTTGAATGCACTTATTGTAAGTCACCATGTAATGTAATGTAAAATACAGCGTATAGGAAAGTGATATAAGGCCTTTGAGTTGCACAACTGCCTTTGTGCCACTCATACCTGCGCAGTGGAGCCAGTGGCTGAACTGTGCACATGTTACGCCAGAAGTTCTCTCCAAGTAGCTTCTCTTGTTCTTGTTCTTGTTGTGTTTTACCATGGGGACAATCCTCCCTGAGCTGAAAGTGAGATCTGTCTTGTTGTCTCCCTGTCACAGCGATGCCGGCCCTGCGTTCCGTGCTCAACTCCTTCTGTGTGGTCAACAGGAAAAACATGTTTGTCTACCAGGAGCGCACAACAAAAGCAGTCTACTACCTCAGGTTAGACCACCTCATCACTATTCAACCTGGGCATTGTCAACTTTCTGTCCTCTATCTCACATTTTTTGCTGGAATACGGCAACATATGTTTTTTCATCAGTATGCTTAAAGCAGCAATATGGTAGAGAGGAAATTGAATCGCTGTCAAAGGGGGCCCTGCGAGTCAATGTCATTGCTGGATGTCCCCGAGCCAGATGCTTGAGCCTCCACATCACATTGTTAACTATGAGGTTAAAGGGAACATGGCAGACGATGGAACTGTTCTAGAAGTATCACAAGGGACTGTCTGTTACCAGCATGCTGTCACATAGACATCCCTGTGGCTTGTGTTTATCTTTACAGACTTTGTGAAACATCTCTAACAGAGAAATACTCAGACGTGGATGGTAACCCCCACATGACTCGCTCTATTGGGCTCGCTAGGAGTCAAGAGCCCTCTTTTTCTGAGGAACCTGTGGTAAGTGAACAAACGCAGTACACTCACTGACGAAGGTTGTCCTGCCCTCCGGTTCCGGTTCCTGAGAGCAACTTTGTCCTTGAGCAGACTCAACCTCCGATTAAGATATTGAAAAATTCCCTGCTGTACATACAGTGGAGGAAATAATGATTTGGTCCCTTGCTGATTTTTAGAGTTTGCCCACGGACAAAGAAATTAACGGCCTATAATTGTGACGATAGGTTTATTTTAACTGAGACACAGAATATAAAATAAAAAAAGCAGAAAATCACATTTTGATGACATGATTTGAATATGGAAAAAAAGTATAAATTGTCTTTAATGACTTTGTTGTAATGACTTGACTTTTGTCGCCTGAAGAGAAAGAAAGGGGAAGAAAAAACAATATTGATAAGTCAATTATAAAGAATACGGACATTTATGATGTTTCCCTGCCTTTCATTTCACCAACAATTCATTAGTGAATAACCGAGAGTAGGGCAGCACTGGCTGGAATGTGTGATCCCATTTGTGGGTGACCTGAGGATGCTCAGTGTCTGCACAGTGGTAACGCTACACAGAAAGGCACTAACGGAAAGCTGTTAGTCAAAGGTCGTTCTGTGTCATCATTCTCAATCGGCGTAAGTGCTGCTGCCACATTGTTGACATCATCTCTGACTCTCTCAGGGCTCCCGTTCTTCCCTGGATGGCTCTCGGCCAGTTGGACAAGTAGACAAACACATCCTGCTGCTGGTGCATGGAGTGGGAAACGCAGGTAAGAAACATCAATGGCTGATAGAGATGTCTAATATTAGCAAAAAGGGAGTCGCAGTAAAATGCTACAGTGGTAATGACAGATCCAAGTAAAGTTAAGATCTACACCAGCATCCAGTTTGTGTGGAAGAAGTCTTCACTCACAGTAGATGATTATTGGTAGAGCATTTATGCAGCAAAGGATTTCTGTATTATAAGAACGTAAAGATTTTCTACACCAAGGGGCTAAGCATCCGCACAGACCTAGTTTAGTGGGTTTCCTGGATAAAACACCTTGTATCACCACGTTTTATGTGTCTCAGTCTGACTGGAATGATTTAAAAGCACAAAGCTAATCCGCAAACAGCTAGCCAGTTAAAAACTCCTAAGATATCACGCCACATATTGACAGGTGTGTCTATTCTTAGTGGGTGTGGCATCTGTCAGCTACTACTCTAGACTTTTGGGGTCAATTGTTATTGTCCTAATTATTTCAGTTCTGTTTGTTGTGTATTATATGAGATGCATTTAAAATAACACGGTAATGAGACTCCTCCTTCCTTCCACAAAGCTTTATGTTTTAACAAAAACACCAATCATTTATCAGGGCTCCAGTTCTTTAGATTGCCAATACGGTAGGTTGTCTGGCCATTAGGCAAAAACGGTGAATGCGTCGCAAAGAAAAGTCTCAAAGGGAAAGAGGATTAGCTCAATGTATAATCTTTAAAATCATATCTTGTTAGGGTCCGTGGTCCCCCCAGTCCTTCACTGACATACAAACAAACCAAGAGAAGAAGACGTAGATAGACATGTAACTCGGGACAATCCTTCTTCAGGGATCGTCATCCTCCATCATTAGGATCCATGTGGTGAATTACATCCCATGTAAATCAGTACCGCAAATTTACGAAAGAAATTACTGACGGGCTTGAGTTCCTTTAGAAGCTTTCACACCCGTCCAAACGAACGACTAACCGAGCAATTAGTCCAAAGTTTGTTTTGGCTAAAGCACCCTGAATCAAGCCCCAATGCCTCCTTATTGAATGTGTGTAGCTTTACTTTGGTTGTATGGTTGTAAAAGGTTTCGCCTCTGATATTGAATCCAAACTGAGTTGAGTAGCCCTTTTGTACAGACAACTGGAGCAGGTTGCTGTTCCTCTCGTTGATGGCTATATGGCACTGTTGTACTGGGAACATCTCACTGTTTCAGACGTAGAATTACGTCAGCTTGTTAAAAAACCCAACTCATTAGCATCCTTGTTTGCTCCCTCCACTCACATTACTTTAAACCCTTTTTTTTGCAGCAGCAGCATTACTAGATGGCTTGTCATGGATTGACTCCCTCTTTCAATTTGTGTGTGTTTCAAGATATCTTAACAGCAGGAGAGAATATTAAAGCTGCATATGACTTTATTTCAATCCTCTCCAACATTGTGTTTGTCCTAAGTAAGCATGAACATTCGTTCTGGGCCTTTTACCTCTGCTTTCTCATGGATCGGGCTCTATCGAAAAGGGCTTAGCTTGGTGATCACTCTAAAGGCAGGGTTGGTAATCTTACAAATGTGTTTGAAATGTTTTCTAAAAATCTCATGACACTCTGACAGTTATCTATGAATCAAAAACTGAGTTAAGAAATACTGGATAATAATCCAGTAAGTGGCTGTCATAAACCCATCCAACCATATTGGACGGACTAGCTACCTGACTGTGCGTATATTCTGCTCGTGCACTCATTGCTTTTCCCCGGAATTAGCCCCTTTTGGAGCGTGCTCTGTTAGCCGATTTCATTAGAAAACAGTTGGTATCCCTGGACTGTGTTTTTATGTTGGATATTTTACTAAATCTACCGCTTCTTTCTCGATACTACCGACCCTACCTTCAAGTAAAGTGATGACCATTGAGCTATCTCCATCACAACGGTGTACACCAAATAATCTTTGAATAGGGGTGACCTGTTACGATGCAGCCAGACTCCATGTTGTCTACCATTACACTTCATTTTTCTGTAAACTGTTTGACTGTATGTTTTCTCAATTGTGCCATTGGGGAAAGCGGCGCTAGATGCTCTTACATGATCTAACAACTTGGTTTGAAACATGTTCAGACCTTTAATCGCTGAAACGATTGACATTTGGAATGCACTTCTTTGCTCAGGTCCAGAGATCACAGACGAGCTGGTGAAAGTGCTGCGGAAGCGCCTGGATGAGACCACTTTGGACATCATCACTGTCATGCTGGTCAGGAACTGCAAGCTGACGCCGGCCGACGTAGAGGTAAATCACTCTTTTTTTTTTCCAAGTCCCTACTTTTTTGTTGTTGTTTGTGGATGCACCGTAGTTCTGTGGACACTTCGAGAATGAGGAGTGTTTTAATTCCATCTAGGCAACCAGAGAGCACAGTTTCCTTGGATGAAAGCCTTCACAGGTGTTGTGAACGGCCGTACACGGGGCACCATTTTGTTGGTGGGGTAATGTGTTCGTTAAAGGCTAGTGTAAAATTAAATCATTGACATCAATAGAATTATTAATAATCGCAAAATAAATAAATAACGGGGCACCACCCTAAAAACTAATAACCAAACTATAAATCAAGCCTCATAATTGATATTCACTCATTAAGTACACTGGCTATGTTTGCATTACACATTACACATATGCACAAAGAAATCACAGAAAACTCCTCATTAAAGCATAACAGGGTTTTAACAATTCTAATCCAATACCATTTGAAATCAACAAAAGCTACTATACAATATCCTAATATCTAAACAACAAATAAAAACATTAATTGGTGGGTTTTCTGTGTTTCCTCGAGTTTCGTTTAACTTGGTGTCCAATCAGTCCTTTGTTATGGGAATCGATTGGGGATGATGAGAACTGTTTGGGTTCTTGGTGGCACAAAAGCTGTTGGTGCTCTTGTGTGCTCTTCACGCAAGTTGTATCCAAGGGGGTAGAAGAAGTTTTCCTTCTTGGTGAGCTCCTCGGGCCAGAAGTGGGGACTGGGGGAGCCGGATTTCTCTGGAGCAGCTAGAAGATGGTTGGAGAAGCCTGAATCCTTAACGCTGAGGTCAGTCTGGAAAGTTGATTTTGAAGAGGCTCTGTTGTCTCATCCTTACGCTGACCCGAGTCAGTTCGGAAAGATTCAGGAGAGATACTGTCTTTAACCTTGCATCGACGCAAGTCTATTCGGAAAGATGTGGATTTGAAAGAGACTGTCTTTAACCTTGCGCTGGCAAAGTGCAGTTCGGAAAGAAAGTTTGAGAGGGGGAACTCACAGAACACATCAGGGGGGACCCCTGTGGTGTCTGTGGCTTGGCCAATCAGATCTCAGGGCTGTTTCACCCAGAGAGAGAAATCACACCTAGATGTGAAGGCACATTCCTTTTGGGGGGGGTTATGTCCTGCAGCAGAACACTGCATTCGAAAGTCAGCCTTGGTTTTACGCAATGGTGGGAGCCCAACACAGGTTTTGTCTGCTCAGTTCATCCAGCCTTCAGGATCTCCCGCCACTGAGGTGATGACCTTCAGCCTTCCCCGGTACTGCATCCCCTGGCTTCCTGCTGTGGCTCACTACCTCCGGCAGAACCTTCTCATCTTCCTGCATGTACCCAAGTACACAGACAGCAACACGGCACACCACTTCAAGGTACAACTCAGACTGGCTGAGTGTTATTGACATCAGAGTCTAATATGCTATGTGAATGTCCTGAACTGATGAGGTGCAGTCGAGCATCAAACCCTTCCAGCATCCCTTTCGTTCTGACATCACTTCATGTCTATAGGTTGTGTTTGTGCGTTTTTTTTTTCGGCTTAACAACACTGTAAAACTCAAATATCACCAATGAAGATGAAAAGTGTGAGCCTGGAAAGAGCCTGGAAAATACCAACAATGCTTAATATTAAACCTTTCTTTGAGTCACACACAGAGGCCAAAATCTGATCAAAATGGAATGTGCCATTACAAACCGGCGCATATGTCGTAGTTTCTTTTTTACTTAATTTCTGTCGGCTCAAAGGCTTTCTGATGCAAATGCAAGGCAATTGCTGAGATACGGGAACATGCTCAGCAAGACCTCTACAACAAAGTCTGACTGGGAAAGAAACACAGACAATCAGGTAATTGGAAAGAAAAATGAAAAAGAAAACAACAGCCAAATTGTCTAGATTTTAGGGGTCAAATCAAGAGTGAACTTGGACAGGAGAGCAGTGCATGCACAGCTACTGCCAGTGAAATGGGTCAAAGTTGAAGCAGAGTGTCTCAAACTGTAAAGGGATTAGCAATGTGGGTTATAACAGTTCCATTGGCCTTTTTTGTTTGACTGAAACCTTGGCCTGTTAAAATATGACACAAAGGTTTTCATCTATTTTCATAATTGTTTGATTAATTTGAGTAATAAACTAAACTGAATATCTTTAAAGTTGATGTTATCTCAGGCGTGAGACATTTTCAACATTCTATAGGCCGTCAACTGATGGAGAAATCCACAGTATAATACTAACAGTGTTGGGAGTAACGCGTTACAAAGTAACGCATTACTGTAATTCCACTACTTTTAGCGGTTTACTAGGTAGCCTTTTAACTTGCAGACAGTATTTCACAAATGTTTTTGCTATTTTGTGGTATAGGTTTTTATAAAAACAAACCATGTTTCTTTAGTGAGGCTAAATACAATTAGATACAGCTACTTGGCTACATTAGCCTCCTCTGTATTGGTTCGACCACCATCAAAGTTTAATTCTGTCCAAATGTTTTGTCTTTGGTCAATAGTGCAGATCTGCATGTAAAACCCCACCAAACATGAGTGGTTAGACCACCAGACCACTTTTGTATAACGAGAGGAATTCTTGTGTGGCCGGGATGAAATCAGCTAGCATCTAGACTGGAAGCAGAAGGAAAGAGATTGCATGAAATGGATCTACCCCTCTGAAGCCAATTCATACATTGTTAACTTAATCTCTACACAACTGTTTTTGGTTTACTATAATTTCACCCTGCTCCACCTAGGCATTGGGAAAGGAAATATCTATTTTCAGCAGCTATCCAATCATCTTGAGAGGATTTGTGGTATCTCTAGCTCACCGATAGGCCTTTAACGGTTACTGCACTGTAGATGTCTTGGCAGCAGTGGAAAGGTCTTTGTGCAACAACTCCTTAAAAATAAGTAATCTGCTCACACATTTAAAAATGTCTTACTGCACTGATAGATGACCGTTTGACATATGCAAAGGCACCACCAACAGCTCTGCTCTAAGTGATCTAGATTATGAAGAAATAAAACCTGTCAAAAATAAAATAATTTTTGACAGGTTTCATTGTGATGTATGAAATAAATGCTGACTCGGGTGGTTTGAGCTTCCGGGGGTTGATTTTCTCTCCTGTTCTGTCTGCAGCACTACTTTCATTTGAGCGGTTACTTAGCTGACGGTGATATCTACCTCTACAATAAACCTGGAGGCCAGGGGACAGGAGGCAAAGGTAATCTCACACACACACACACACACACACACACACACACACACACACACACACACACACACACACACACACACACACACACACACGTACGTGCATTTACTGATACCAGGCTGAATCCTCTGGTTCTGACAAGTGAAGCCAATGCAGAAGTGCCTTCAATGTGCATCCTCTTAACCACCCCACAAGACTGTCAGCGCTACACAATTTGCGGCGGGTAAGCAAACAATGACGTCACACAGTTATTTTCAATAATTGTTTCAAGATGTTACTTCGCAGAAGAAGCAAATTAGCACACAGAAACTGTAGACAACACTAGCTAGCTAACTAATGTTAAGCTTATGAACCTACAAGATTAAACTGAATAAGAGATTTAAAATAATTCACAGAATTTACTTTGCATCAAAGCTATTAGTTCATGGTTCAGTGGTGGTGAGCGGGGGGGGGGCATTAATTATGTTTCACTTACACTCGAAGAGGAGCGCCGTCACTACCAGACGCCATTGTTTGCTGACCCGCCACTTCGCCTCCGCAAATTGCGTAGCGCTGACAGTCTCGTGGGAAGGGGAGGGCAACATCTGATTGGCTGCAGATAGGTCCATGTCAATGTGAAGCGATCCGCAAACAAATGCAGTGCGATACACATCCACAAATAAATGTAAATATGAATAGTTATTTATGTGTGCATTTGCATGTATTTGTAAATCCTTCTATGTGCATTTGTAAATCTAATACATTTGTGAGTTGTTCTCTGCGCATTTGCAATTATTGAGACTGATCTGACCCCATACTTAAACACTTTGTCTCAAATTTGACATCCACGTTATTGATAGAATGATTAGTCAATTAATTATTTTAATTAATGAATTTCTACCTGAGCCAACAAACTGCAACTGCACTACTTAACACGTTATATCCATATTTATATTTAAACTTTTCTCACACTCATTTATGTTGAAACTTTCCTTTCCCGTGTGGAACTATATGTAAGCACCCGCTGCTTATTGGGCATAAAAGAAACTTCTTCTCAGTACTCATTTCTTTGATCGGTATCATCACAATCTTTTTCTTATTTTCTGATGGTGGATTTCTCTCCTTATGCGTAAAGCCTGATTTATGCTTCTGGGTTTTCAGAGCGACACAGACGCAAGCCCCCCTTGCGTGACCCTTGCGTCGCTTTTCACTCGTCCTTGCGTGTGTTGAGCCATTTTTCTAGGCTGCGATTGGTCCGCTAACTACATCCTTCACGGAGTCTCACATTTCCGCTTTCATAGCCCGATACCGCCATTATTAAAACGAAGAATGTTTACGAGAGAACTGATCAGATTTAAGAACTTTTGTCAGAAGAAATGCGTAAATATGACCGCTTCTACAAGCCGTCATTGGCGGGTTGTAGAAGCGGGTTGGATTCACGGAGGGAGATCGCCGCAAACGCCGGTTTGCCGGTTGAGAGGAACAAAGTTGTGGAGGAAAATACGGGACAAATGTGTCCGCGATGAAAATCAGCAGTGGCGATGCACGGGGCAATAAAGTCTATGATAAATAATAAACAAATAAATAAATAGACGTGAGACTCTAGGTCGTCTTCAACAAAAACACGTCCCTCCGCCTGTTGTTCTGGCGGTGAATCGCTCTGCAACACACGCAGAACCATGAATTGAAACGAGTGCGTTGATGCAACGACGCAAACGCAAACGCAGAAGCACGCGCCGGCCATAAGCTTTACCCGGACAGTAAACCGGGTAAAGTCAAGTGTAATTGGCCATTGTAGTATGAATTCATCCTCGTCTGGGTTACTTCCTGTATACAGCACCACGTGTAATAATTTGCTTTTACGAAAATCAAGACTAAGAGTTCTGCAGATGTCTGTTTTGTCTTCTTGCCTCCCCGCACTGTAGAGTTGTCAATGAAGAGTAAACCTCCGGAAACTTTCCATGACCATTTTTCTTTTTTGCAGAAGCAAAAGCGAATAACAGGGAACTTGAATGTAATTGAGAACAAGACTATGCAAGCCTAGCTCAGCTGGACTTTGGAGGCAACTAGTTGTGAACATTGTCTTCCAGAAATAGAAAACATTGTTTTTGAACATCATTGTCATTACTGCGCATACTGCTAAGTTTATTTGTTTACAGTAGGCTAACAGCAGTGACAGTAGGATGTATGTATGTTCACACGACAGTACAACATCACCTCCATTATTTGCGGCTGTTGGGGTCCATTAAAAAGTGTGCTTTGGGCAACTTGTCCTAAATAAAAGTAATTACTGCAAAGGCTGAGCAATAAAACCTTCATTTAAAACTATTTTTTTACGATGTATGGAACATAACGCATATTTAAGCAGTGGAGTTTGGCCCCCTAAAGTACCTTCAGCCAATCAATACACAGTCCTCTGTCCAGAGTCACCTAAGAAACACATGAACATGCATACCAGCTGCAGAGGTTAAGAGGGTAGAGAGTGTTTCTAATAAAAAAACAAGTTGATATGTAACTAAAGTAACGACAGTAACAACAAGGACGCCGTAATTGTATGTAGACAGGAAGTATGTCTGTCCTCATAACGGAGCGTCTTGTTTCTTATGTATGTAGTTGAGTTCAAAGTCAAGGCAGGAGGAGGGTAAAAACTGAAAGGGGGCAAGCCCTGCGTCCCTCCTTCTGTTGAAGGCGGTTCATAGCTTGCATGTGGTGCAATAATTCACAGATCCTGTAGCATTAACCTTACGTTCTTCTGCGTAAAGGCAACTTTTCCCGGACATCACATGACTGCTAGGTGTGTGTTTTTTATATAAAGCAGGACATCTGCCCTCCCTTTGTGAATGGATATATGATATGAATCATTTTGTTGTTTACAGTACCTCTCATTTTGGTGAAAAAATATTATGATACTGAGGAACTGACACATCAAAAGAACATTTTACCATGCTCATATTTAAAATATACTGCTGGGACAGAACGAATGATAACCAGACAGAACAAAAAATAATATTTCCCAGTCCTTCAGATGACCCAGAGGCTTCCTTGTCAAAGCTCTCTGGATAGCTGTGAACAAAAGCAAATGGTTTGTGACTCCTTGGGTGGGACGAGCCAACTCTGTTCTTGTTGAACTAACTTCTCTGCTCTTTCAGGTATCGCCTGCATCGCCCTGTCATTCGTGGATGTCCATGGTCGTCCCTTTCAGCTTCCGGTCCACGACTGTGCTTCAGAGAACTGCGCCACCTCCCTTCGACCAGACCATTTTGATGAACTAACCAGTGTGGGCAAAGTGGAGTCCATGGACATCAGCTCCGGTACAGGTGAACACGACCTCTGGGCAGTTCAACCTGGACCCGATTTCAAATGGGGGACAATTGGGGACTTGCTATTGGCTAGATTCCAAACATGCTAACATCCCGTAAACAATTTTAAGTTACTTGTATTGGACCCTTCACTGCCAAGTGAACACCCACGTTGCCACGTTTGCAACACATGCTTGGCGTGTGCACGTGGTGTTAACACGAGAACAGTATCTAGATAGTACACCTGCATTTACTGGAGGTTTTAATTAACACACCTGGTTATTACAAGTCTTACCCAAACCCTTTTCAATCTGAAATCAAAACGTCTTTCTGAGCAACGTCCACTTGAACTTAAAGATGAACTCATTAAAATGAAGCATTTAAAGCTCACTGTGATCTCAAAAATACTCTTAAGGAATTAGAATGCTTATTATCACTTTTTCACAAAAAGACTGAGGACCATCAACTGCAGGAAATGACTGTGGAAGAGTGCTTCAGACAAGCCCACGTCAAACTATCCCTTTGTAGGTGGAGTCGTAAAACATCCCAGCCTAAGCCACTCACATCCTCAGGGTTACGTTCCCAGACTTGTCTCAACTCTCATAAATCAACACAATAGTGTTAATACATTTAGTGCTAGTCATGAGTACTGGACATTACAACTGTACTGGATTACAGTTGTATTATTTTAGTTTATTATTTAGAGTTTACGGCAAGTCCCAGGAGTCAATTTATTGTACAAACTGCACTATTTTAAAAACGGATTAATTACAGTCATAAATGTCAAGCTACGTTATGGGTAACAGTCTGACTATTACATTACATTTAAGTCTGAATATTAAATGCCTCCTAAAATTGAACAAGTAAATCTTCCAGATAAATGAATAGCGCTCTGGTATGAAGAGATTCTCGTTCCTGGAGGCTAGATTTGTCACCGTTACACTACATCGCACAGCCAATAAATCATATTTAAATCGTGGTTGTGGGGGCTTGTTAATATTGTGTTTCTGAAGCCCTACCTTCTCTTCTACTGTGCTGCAATATGAGAGAATTGACAAATAAGACTCGAGCTGTTTTGGTTTTACATATAGAGCCACACTATAAAGGTTGGTTTAATTAAGTGAAACCTCTCAGTGAAGTTAGTCACAATCATAGTACCCATGATGATGATGATGTCCCCATCTGTGCTACTGGGAATATCAATGAAAGGTTACTTAAAATACATAAATTGGCATTATGTAAAAAAAAATCTGAAAGAAAGAAGGAACACGTTTGCATAGGTCACTAAAAGAGCATGAACTATTATGTTCAGTCGCAATGAGCAGCTGTGTGTTTGAGAGTCAAAGTATGACTGACAGCATGTGAATCTAAAGATCAGAATATTATGGTACCTCACTGCTGCTAACACATTATTAAAACCACTTTTTTCAAATTGAGACTTGATACTAACCATAACCCCTCAGCCTACCATAAGTTCTCATCCATGTGTACATAAAGACTCCTGTGTCTTATTCCTGTCCTGGCAAAGCAATGTGTGGAATGCTTGAGCTTTTTTTAATCTGCTATGTATTAAATGCGACTGACTCATTTAGAAAGGAAAGTGTTTTCCAGATGCTGCCCATCCTCCCTTACAATGTCAACAGGAACGCTTCTGCTTGTGTTGTAACAGATCCACGGTTGTATGTGCAGTTTGACATTTGGGAGCAAGGAAATATCAGCCCCCTGCAGCTAAGCGATAAACTGCAGGGGGCGCTGCGCCACGCTCTCTGCGATGTCGTCATGGAGCTCAGAGTCCTGCCGTGCCCTCTCTGCGTGGGGGCACTCTACACGGCGAGCAAAGCCCAGAGAGAAGAGGGCAAAGGTGAGGTCATCTGTAACAATGGAACGCTGCTGCAAAGCTAAACTGGCCACATGTAACGTGTGTGAGTGCACTTATGCACAGATTATTGGTTGGCAAAATTACATTGTGACCTCGTGAAACAAGTTTTCATTCAGGAATTCATGCACTAATGATGATGTTATGTAAACACCAAACCGATTTCTAAATTTCTTCCAGACAGCAGAGTTGGTAGAACTAGATTTATTAATAACCTGCTACTGGAACTGTGTTTTTCTTTTTTTCCTTCACTGTAACATCTGCTGCTGATTACATTATTGCTATATTATTTTATTCCTCTTCCCAGTTTATGATGTTTGACTGTACGGTATTAAAAAAGAAAACTGATTTATAAATCTTGAAACTGTTAATGTTCTGGCAGTGACACATTTTGGTTTTATATTTGTAATGGTTACATTAATTTTCCATTTTTTATTTAAAGTTGTTTTTTCGAGAAATGAGATTGAGATTTTCAAGATCTAATTTAACTTCTACTGTGTAAAGGGAATATTGTTAAAAAGCAAACAAAAAATGTATTGAAACAAACCAAAAGAAAGCTCTTAGTTTCAATGTGGGGTTAAGGTTACGGTCAAACACTGTCTTTAATAATTATGCTGTCGGTTCCTCTGTTGGTAAAAACACACAATGTTTCTGTGGTGTAATTGTTGTCTCATCAGGTCTGGCGACTCCTCTTCCGGTGAAGGAAGTGAAGGACAGCCCCAGGCAGCGCAGCGGCTCGCGGGTCTTAAAGTCCAGCCCCTCTCCCATCACCCTAACCCCAGCTGTAGGGAGCGTTCCCGTGACGGGGATCAGCACCCCAGAGTCCACCACGCCCACCAGCAAGAGCACCCGCCGCAGCTTCTGGGACATATTGGTCAGCTCTGGATTTTACCTGTGTAGCTTTATCACAGGCTACATTAGCATTCATCACAATACTCATGGACTTATTATTTTATGCAAATGTATAACTGGGTTCATATTACGTTGCTTAACTGTGATTGCTTTGTAATAATTAACTGAAGCCAACTTGATGGATATTACCAACGCCACGGGGATCATGCGATTATTGTTGTGCGTGCAGTGGTGAGTGAGTGTGCACCTCTGTGTCCGTCCATAGCTAATCTTCCATTCTGCAACAGAAAACGGCGCAATATCTTCAATGACTGGTTATGTCTGCCTATCCTTCTATTTCTTCCAGTGAGGTTCTCGGGGGTCTTTTTGTAGAAGGTTGATCTGGCTAACAGTAACTTAACTAACATAACTACAGTGTCCATACCTTAGAGTAGCATTACTGATCGTCCGTGCCCTTCTTTTCCTACCAGAGTAAGCCAGATTCCTCAGAGCTCGGAAGCCCAAAGACTACTGACGACATAGTGCAGGAAAAGGGAGAGGAGGGCCGCGTGACACGGCGGAGACACAAGACAGAGAGTGTGAAGCAGCAGTGGAGTCAAGACAAAGCCATGACTGTGGAGCTGGAGCAGGCCCAGAGGTGCGATTTACATGACATGTTGTTAAAGAGCTTTGAGTGGTTGTGAGACTAGAAAAGAGACTTAAAAGTACAGTCCATTCACCATTTATACACCAGTTAAAAAGCATGTAGTAATAATTTCCAGATGTAACTTTTCATGTGGGTAGGGCAGTGTACATTTATTAATTCACCACGTCCCCAGTAAGCAGACACACATGTAGAGATTAACTGAGGAACATAGTGGGGCATTAAGATGCTAAAGTGACAGATATTTCCCTCAGAAGGTGGAGGAAATACAAGAACAACGGAGCTAATGGAATGTACATTTTGAGATTACACTTGTTAATCTGCAATATAGTTTTTTATGATTTAGAAACTGCTACAGCTAGTTAGTTCCATACATGAAGTTAGCAAGCTGTGTTGCAAATTGAACGTCGTTAAACGTCTGCCTAGGGACAACAGGCCGCAGTTAGACAATCCAGAATTACTCTATAGTTGTAGCTGAACACATTGCATATTCACTTCACACTTCTGTTATGGCATGAAGGCTGAATGGGGAGTTGTTGCATGAATTTTCTTAAGAGCACCATGCTCCAAGCATGTGTCATTGAGAATGATCAGAAAGCCTTTAAGCTTTAGGGTGCTACTTCCCTGATGCAGTGCGTGTGTGTGTGTGTGTGTGTGTGGTCGTGTAGGAGGCAGGTGTCTCAGCTGGAGGAGGGAGACGCAGGAACTCTGCACCCTGTCTACCAGCTCACTTCCCAGCCCTGGATCACTTTCATGGCTAACCTAGGTAAGTGTTTTTTTCACTTTCATATTTTCTGCCAGAGTGGGTAGAAAAAAAGGCATCTGACAACGCAAACTTTTAAATTCAGTGAGCTGATGTGTCTTTCCCTCTTTGTTGCTGGATAACAGGCTGCCCCTCCATTCAGCAGTGTACGGCAGAAATGGCTTCACATTTCCTGCTGCCCTCCATCTTGGTAGAGATTGTTGGTCTAGTCAACTCTCTGGCCTGCGACACAACCGTGAAGGTCTTTGAAAAGACTGAGTAAGTCGTTGGTTTCTCAGTACGAAATGGGTGCTGCAGTGTTTGGAAATCTTTGAATTGATAGGAAATTAACACTGATTGGGAATGAATATTTAGTCATTCATCTTCTATACTGAGGGTCGTAGCGGGGCTGAAGTCAATCCAAGCTAACATCGGGCGAGAGAGGGCTTCACCCTGGACTGGTGGCCCCCCAATAGATGGAGGCACAGAACCATTCACTCTCGCATTCACACACAAGGGCAACTGTGGGTGAGTGGGGAGCACGGTCGTCCTCCAATCAGAGGGTTATATCCCCAGGCCATATATATGGCCCGGAGATATAATTCAGCAGTGGCTGATTAGTTTAGGTTACACACAAACCTATTACGCCCATTTATTTAAACTATAATTGGGACTGAAAACAAGTAAAGCGTTAAGTAAAATAAAATCATACTCTGTCCTGTAGAAAAGGAATGGGGGAACACCTAGAGTACCTTGCATTCGTATTCACCCCCCTGGACTGTTTGCATTGTATACTGTTAATTTAAAGGCTTAAACTGACTCTTTCCCAACATGACATGCATAGGTGAAAAATACCTTTTATGTGACACAAACAATAATGAACAAAATAAAAAGGTTGACATCTTCTGGATGCATAAGTATTCTCCCCCGTGTTTCAAAACTTTTTGCTGCAATTACACCTGTATGTCTCCACCAGCTTTGCACATTTAGAAATGGAAATGGTCGTCCATTCTTCATTCTGCTCAGTCAGATTGGATGGAGACTGTCTGTGAACAGTAATTTTCAAATCTTTGTTGTATTGTCTTAATTGTATTGCAGTCCTTTGATTGGTTCATCTTATAACATGAACATGCTTTGATCTAAACCATTCCATCGTGGCTCTGGCTGTATGTTTAGGCTAATTGTCCTGCTGGAAGGCTTTGGCAGACTGCATCATATTTTCTTCAAGGATTGCCCTGTATTTGGCTCCATCCATCTTTCCCTCCATTTTAACTAGTTTCTCTGTAGTTGTTGAAGAGAAGCATTCCCACAGGTAGTTTTGCGGGTGTGCCATAATTCTTTCCATTTTTTGATGATGGATTTTATGGAGCTCTGTGAAATGTTCAAAGCTTGGGATATTCTTTTAAAACCTAACCTAATACTTGGCCACAACTTTATCACCAAGCTTGGTGTCTCCTTAGGGCTTCATGGTGCTCTTTGTTCTGTAATGTTAAAATGTTGAGGCCTTCACAAAACAGGTGTATTTATAGATTAAATTGCAGACAGGTGTCCCTATTTACTGATTAGGTGACTTGTAAATGTGACTTTGTAAATCATTTTGAAATCCATGTAAACTTTCCCCCAACCTCCCAATAAATAAATTTGAATCTATGGTTATACCATGACAAAATGTGAAAGGTCGAAGGGGGGTGAATACTAACGCAAGGTACAGCATGTTGTGCAGTACTCCGCCATGTGCGTTGAGTCTGAAGAGAAGATTTTGGGGTAAAAGGTTCCTTTTTGTTCCTTTTATTTTACATTTCAAGAAAAAAAGGGAGGGGGTGTATAGTAGTACTATACATTTACAGATCACTCCTCAAATAAAGACATGCTGTTCTGTCTCCCATCATTCCCACTTTATTATTATATTATAAAGCCGATTCTTATTATTGTGATATTTCTTTTTTGGCATAATCATCTGAATCATTCATGACATTACATGAGTTCAGTCTGACTCCATTTCCCGGTTAAAAACACGTTGGATTGCATACAAGCGATTTGTAGGTGAGCACACAAATGGCTGAGGCACAAAGGGTTCAATGTGAGTGGTTCCTCCACCTGGTGGGAAGCCAGCGAGGGATGACGTCCTCATTGCGGCACTAGTGACTCCTGGTTGTATGAGGAATGTCTACAGCCGATTGTAGTTACATGATCGTCACTAATGACTGTCTTTTTCTTTTAGCTGCCCCACATCTGGAGACATGTTTGTTCCATTCCCTCTCGCCCACAACCTCAGCCAGCCTCCAGACGCCACCAGGAGCTTCATTCTCATTGGCCGCAACTTCCATCAGTGGCACTGCAGCACAGAGCAAGGTAACTAAACCGAAGCAACTGAATAGACCTGGAAATATAAGGAGCACTAAAACTATAACGGGATTGCTTTTTCTAACACAGGGACAGTTGGATAATGTGATAGTAGCAGAAGATTTTCTCCTGTTGTATAGGTGACCTTTTGCCTCAGAAAACTGTTTTTTGTTGTTGAGGAGGTCCACACTTTGCTCTTTACTAGTAAAGTAGGGAAATGAGTTATGAATGGGTGACATGTACCTCAAACACACACACACACACACACACACAAGCACCTGCATCTTTTAAGGGACTTTGATGAGTGGAGCACCGGTAACCTGGTGACATTTCTTTCTTTTTTTTGATTTTACAACTCAACTCAACAATAAAATGCAACAGTGCAATGCAAGTTGAGAGGCATGAAAAAACACAAATACAAGTAGACAAAACGAGAAAAAGAACAAACAGAAAATAAGAATAATAACCACAGCATATAATATCACATTCACACAGCACCAGTCAGACGGGAGAACATTTTGACTGTTTCATCAGGTCGGGTCAGTATCGGTAGTGTTGGTAAGTGTTTTTTAGGTTGGCAGGGTAAAGTCCACCCCGGAAGCGTCCACCCAGTCGAAGACTGGTTTTTCAGTCCTTTGACAATCTCATGTAGGGTGTGGATCCAGCTTTCCAGAGGAAGAACTTCCAAAATCAGTTCATGCCAATGGTCCTTAAAAGGGGTATCTTTAGAAATCCAGAATTTGAGAATAGTCATTTGTGTGATACAGTAACTGAACAGTATTCAGCATAGCGTTGTTTCTACTCCTTCTACTACTGCTCACTTTGGCTGCCAGAATACATTAAGGGGGTAAAAGCTCCACGTCATATCCCATCAGGAAAACGACTTCTCTCCAAAATGTTTTCTATATTTTCACAAAGTACCAGCTTCAGAATTACATTTACTACATGTGGGGGAACCTTGGCCAGCCCCCTCCCTCTCATCAGTGATGAACAATGCAGTCTGTGTAATATTTTAAACTGTCTTTCTCCGTCTGTGCTACAGACAGTTTTTTGAGGCAGGTCTGTGATCCTTTCCCTCCAAACCAAAGGGAAATCTTACTGTGTTTTCAGTAGACTAGTGGCCGCTCCTTTCAGGTTTAAAGGGAGAGTGTGGAAAATCATTAAACAGTACATTTATTAAATGCTTGCAAGCATTGCAACAGAATTGACATCATACACGGTGATATGCGTCAAGGCTACTCAAAGGCTGTCATCTTCGGTGCTGAAATATATAGCTGAAATATGACATAATGAAACGGGGTGGGCTTTGTGCATATCCAAGTGCCGTTGGATACTGACCACTGTGTTCTTTTTTTATAGGACATATAGTTTTGTATCACAAGTCGCCAGGAGGCCTTCTAGAGATTCTAAGTGCAAACATCTTCTAACATCTGACATGACGTACACAGTCATTAATGTAAGAGGGGGCAGATATTCCTGCCCCTGCTGACCATGACATGGTATTTCAGTTTTTCCAACAGTGGAGCAGTTTTTGAAGTGGTGTTGGAAGAGGTACTCATCCATAGTCAGTGTATCACCCTCAGTTGATACGAGACTGACCAATCAAGACAATGACTCATCTGTTCTGGACTCTAGTGGCTGTAAAGAGAGCAAAGATGGGTATAATGGCAAAGATGGATATAATGGCTTCTGTGAAGAAAAGAAAGGAAAATCGCACATGCAGTCATTTAGCCGATAGTAGTTGAGATTAGTAAAGACGCAAAATGTGGGGAGGACCATTCAGAGAGGTTTGTTCAAGAAGGTCTATATCGCTGTGTCCTCCCAACAGCACGGTGCTAACACCTCACTACATGGGTGGGTCGTACGTGTTCTGTAGTCAGACCTTCCACATGCTGCTGCTCTGTTTCCGTCTCCACTCTCATGCCAGAAGCTGTGTGTTATTGTTGCGTGTGTCTGCTTCCTCCCCTTTGTGTTGAGCTGTGTGTTGTGTCACTCTACATGCCGCCTAGCTGTTTGTGCCATCTCTGTTTGCCTACAGGAGAGAGTTCAGAAGAGGAAAACACCCCAGGGCTAAATAGGTTCACACGTAAGTTGACCTCTCAGCTCAAATTACTGTTCTTCTGATATCTAAATCTGATGTTTAATATGTAGTCTTGGATCTTCCTTGTTATCTATGTTTTCTTCAACAAACACTTGGGTATACCTCCGGGTACACAAGATAAAATCACAAACCTATTTCAATTCTGTTCAATTTATTTTGTATAGCTGAAAGTCAAAAGGCTGTACTGTCTGTACACAATGCTGTCCTCTTTTCAAGGACCCTCTCATCAGTACAGCAAGAACTCCCCCAAATAACCTCTACTAGGGAGAAACTAGGAAGAAACCGTAGGGTGAGAAACAGGAACAAATAAGTCTAGTCTATATCCAGAACATGGTCACACCTCACGTCCCTGCACGCTCACTCTGCTCTGCATCCTCCGGTCTGCTTGTTTCTCCCTCACAGAGAGCTAGACACTCAACAACATCCCGACTAGTCAGCTTCCGACACAAATTGAAAACACACCTGTACCGACTACACCTGGCCTCGTTAGCACTTTATTAGTATATAAGAAGGCTTTTACTCACAGCACTTAGTAGTAGAAATTGTACTTTCTTGATTCTTGTCGTTCTGGATCTGTTCCCTCTTGGTTGAATGCACTTATTACAAGTCGCTTTGGATAAAAGCCTCAGCTAAATGCGGATTCAAAATGTAGACAGAGTTGCAACACGTTCAATGCGAATGACATCATTCCTTCATATAATGAGAGTAGTAAGCAGAATAATGATGGAAAAATATGACTTTTATTAATAACAGCAGCAGCGGAAAGACTGATAACAGAAGCAGTATCAGTAATAGACCTATTATATCATCCTTTGCCAATAAACACCAATTTCACAACCGGTATGCTGGCATAGTCAGTAATCTGCAGATAATTTAAGTGTGTCATATACATTTTATCACCATTTCCTATTCTATGGTGATGTTAATAAATGTTTTTACATTCAGTTCTAGGCTTTTTTAACTGTTGGAGTACTACGATGCACTAACGAAAATGAAATGAGAATGTTTTTAAAACTTCCTTCTGATAATGTTGGGCAGTCTTAGTGTTGTTCTAACATAGTGAGAGGCTACTCAGTAGAAAACCAGAGAGCTTGTACTGGCAGGCAGAATCAAACGCTCGAAAGCTGAGATGGGTGGATATTTACTGCAGGGGGAACGGATCTGAACTGAGGAATTGAACCCATCTCTGGTTACGGCATGATTAAGATCCACTGAGCAGTTCCGTTGTAAATGTGCAAATAAAAACAAATTTGGTCACAGTACAGACAAAGTCACAGTACCATTAAGAACAGATGAAAGACCATCCTGACCGTCGCTGTAAGGGGATGGATCCCTTCTGCTCTCACTCAGTCTCTCTCTCTCTTCCCCTCTGGTCAGCTCATAAGGGCTTCCAGCGTTTCGAGGCTCTGGAGCAGAGCGACTGCTTGAGCTCGAGCCAGGCCGGGGAGGGACACGCTCCCCGCCAGAGGTTCCTCCTCATCAGCATCCTGAACAGAAAGGTGACTTGGCACGTGCGAAAAGCCACGGCAACAAGAACGTTGTTTTAAATAAGGGGTCTCAAACTCCGGCTTGTGGGCCACATCCGGCCCGGCGGGGCGTCCGGTGCGGCCTCAGCCTATTGAGGAGGTAGATTTAATACAACTTTGACTTTAGTCAATGTTTTAACACATCTGTCTAGAGATTGATTAATCCCAAACGGGGACTGTAGCCTCCTGGCCACAGGTAGCATGTCATCGATATACTAGTTTCTTCGTTATGCCACATTGCATTAATTCAATAAACAAACTTTTCAAAGAAACACACGCAATGGTAATTTAGTACATTACGGTCAATTTATTGTTTAGTATGCTTGAGGGCGGGACTACCTTGTGACTGGCCACTACCAGAGCTCTATACGCTGCCTGTACGACACTCACCTGTGGTCCGACTTTCTCTATTCCTCACGTACATTACATTGTTACACGTTGCACCTATAAACCTTCATAGGCGCAGTCATGACGTAATTCCAGGAGATGAGTGTGAGGGCTGTACGGCTCTACTGCTCTACTGTTTACATGCCACAACTGGCGTGAGCATCTGTGGTCACATTGTTTCTATCATTGCTGTAGGTCACCCTGTATAGCTACAACTGGTCTGTGGACCTGGGCGCCTCTCTGAATCGGGAGCTGGTCCGCCTGGTCAAGTGGCAGAATGCGAGGGCTCACGTTGTCCACTGCCTGCTCAACCAGAAGATGGGGCTCTTCCACCACTACTGCTTCTCTGACGCGCCCGCTCACGAAATGGACTCCAAGCAGGTAAAGACACGGACGTGGCCTAGCTGTCATCCCACCGCCTACATATTACAATGCTGCGGCGAACCCAATTGACTGCTCGTATACTGGAATTTGCGCCGCCATTTTATTTTATTTTTTCAATGTAAGAATTTGAATAAACCAGGATTACAAATAAAAGTTCCAATCCCTGGCAGCCATTCACTGCCACCCCCCTACAATGAGTCAGGGAGCAGTGAGGAGAGTTGGCTGCTAGTTCAGGTAGAGTTACCCTGCCAGGAGGCCATCTGGATTCTCACTGTAACAAGAGGTACAGAGTCCCGGGGAAAATCTCATACAGCTGTTGTGTCCTGGGGAGAATATGCCGGTGAAAAGTGATGATGTCACTACCTTTTTCCTGGCAGCCGTTTTGGCATGTGCTTCTCATAGTATTCACATGTTTCTAGTGAATGATGTACTTGCTGCGCTCAGGTCGTTTCTACTTTGACCATGAGACAACATTTTTAACCATGCCGGCGTCCTTGCTATCCAGGGTGATGATGCTGACGTTTCGTACTTACACTTTAGTCAATATGTTTGTCCACACTTTAAATGGCACTGCAAGGTGCCTGATCAAAAAGTGACCAGACCAATGTTGCATCTCAGCAGAACTGCTGTAACCTGGTGCAGAATGTTCGACTGATGGACTCGATGGCCCAAACCAAAACAAGATTTTCTAGCCAAGCCACTAAGCATTTCATTCTTTTCGATTCTTGCCCCCCTCGCCTTTCGTGTTGTTCACGTCCTGGAAGTACAGCCTTTGCTGCGTCGAAGGCCTTGTTTTTTTTCCCAAAACAAAATGCTTAACTACCTCAATGCAATTTAGTCCCCATCAATTTCCATTTATCGTCTTGCATTATTTATGATCAGCTGTAGAAGGAGCGGTCTGAGGAGGGGAATTTTTGGTCTTATTTTTTTAATGTGTGCTTCTAGTGGTACAAGTTATTTGCTCATCATATTAACAACCCGACTTCCACCACCTGCTTTCCCTCCTGTCCCGGCAGCAACAGTCAGCTGTCATACTGTATACAGCCTCACCCCCCCTAATGGGGCAGAGAGCCTAGAGAGCCTGACGCAGTGTAAAACACCACTGGAGCACACGAGTACCAGGCTTCGCTTCCCAACAACTGTTGTTGGGTAAAATGTTTCTAGCATGAACATCCATGTCAAGTGCAATGCCACCAGGCTGCAGCTTTCTCTGCAGTAAGTAATCGGTTTCCATTGTTTAAAATAACACAAATAACACTCAGTATAGCTATAATATTTTTGCTTTGCTACAGTTGTTCGGATCTGCCTAAATTGCACGAGAAAATGTATTCTAAACTTGTTTGACGTGTATATACCTTTGTATATAAGTTTGTGTCTTTATATACGTATAATGACAATTTCACACAAGATGACCAAACATGAGCTTGAGCTGGACAGTGTCACAGCTATGGCAGACGTCCCAAGGACCTCGGCAGCCTCACACCGGTGGCTTTAACATCCCACCTGATGAAGTCCCGGGAGAGGTTGTGAGGGTTAAGCTGGTCTGAATGAACAACCAGAGTAAACGCTGTCAGTCACTAATTTGAGGACGTGCTCCTCTATCTGAAGTAGTCTGGGTCTGGGGGAGCTCACACAGTTTCAGCGTCTCCTGCTCATGTGCTAGATTTGTGTTTAATCAAATCTCCACTCAGAACACTATTGACCAGCTATTCTCCCAGCATAAGAATTAGAGAATGGATAGAGTGTGAGGAAGGGAGCAGGCTGTATGGGTTAATAAGGTCCCGGAGGTCATTTTGGCCCCGGGCCTGCGTCAATATGGCCGTGGCGACCTCGTCACAAAGCATGAAACGTGGTTCAGTGTGTTGAATTAAGAAAGGTTAAAGAATACAGAGAAATATCCCGTTATGTGTTGTTTTGTGGAGCCGGCTGCAGCAGAGATGGTTTTAGAGCAGCTTTTCACGGGAAAGAAGACACCCAATGCCCTTTTCGCCTCTTCCCCCCCTGGCCAATTACAAAACAAGCTCAAAGAATGGAAAAGACTAAACTTTCCCCCCTTTCTCTCCAACGGCCCCGCTCTTCATCGCAGCGTCACTAATGAGTGCGGACAGAAGGCAGAGTCAGAGCAGCAGAAAATTTGCCTGAACAGAGCTTCATCTGTCATGGTCCTGATGAGAAGCAGAGGGAGCACCAGTGCACACTTAGAGCCCCCCAGCCCGTGAGGCATGGCCAGCTCTGCCACACTGGGGCATCTGGGCCCTGAGCTGCTCCGCTGAGCATACTCGCCCAAAAGTTCCTTTTAGAGCTGCAGCCATGGCACACGAGCAATGCGCTGGACATGTATGGAGCCACTAATAATAACCAGCAACAGCAATATACAGCACAGGGGAAATTTTGGAGGGTTGGAATGGGCTTCCCAGTCTTTTTGACCACTCAAGGCGCTGTACACTAAATCTCGATCATACCTGCAAAATTGTTGCTTTTTGGTGAAATTTGCCATTTTGAAATCAAATTATGTCATCCATGTGAAATGTGTTTTTGTTTCAGCGCAATCTATGTACACTGTGTATCTGTGTACACTTTAGGTCAGAACAATCAAAAGGCCTGAAGAAAGCTTTAGGTTTCATCGCTCGACGTGGATGTGGTGTGACGGCCACATATGGTTTGCCTCAATGTGAAGTTTGTTTAAGAAAATCAAACTGCACCCAGCCTAATTTGCACAGTAGATTATTCTATACTGCCTCACTTTTGAATTACACTCCCCCAAAAAGAGTTAGACGTTGTCATTTTTTTCACCCCTTATGAGTTTGCGGGTATGCTCAACATTCACCAGTTCACTCACACTGCTACATTGGGAGAAGAAAACAGTCATTCTTTTGTTGAAATTGAATTTCTAAAACTGGTTGCATGATGCTTTCCATGTAACATGAAGGGTTTTCATTCATGAGTACCAATCCTGTCTGCCTCTAATGTCTTTCTTTCGCTCTCCCAGGATCCCAACCCATTCCTGAGCCCCTCCATAGAGCCGGATGCATTGCTTCGCAGTGCAGTCCCTCCCCTGCCCAGTAAAGAGCAGGGCAGACTGCTTAGTTCTGGCCGAACTCCGCTCCACTTCCCCTCCGAGCTGCTGCCCTTTGACGAGGCCCTGAGGGACGTGTGCACCATCCGGCCCTTGATGGAGGGGGACGTGGTGGCCCGACATGGCAGCCAGCTCTTGGAGATTAAAGTTGCTGAACGGAGAGGTTAATAATGCTCCTATCAGTACTGCTAGTAATCCAATCAACATATTAAACCTTCATCTATGAAAGGCTGATGATTTTGTGTTTATCTTGACAGAACTGGAGAAACAGATGAAGATAGAGAACCTGTTTGTGACGTGGCAGCAGAGGTCGGCTCAGTCCAACATGCCCATTTCAGTAAGGAGCTGTCATTTTCACACCTATCTCATTGTCCCAGTAAGCAGCAGTGCAATGCATTTTAGCAGCGTAGCGTCTTTGGAGACTCACCAGCCCGTTTGCCACTTTTCAACTCCATGAAATTGATGCCTTGGCTAATTTATGCAAACCAGGGACGTCAATTTAAGAAAGTCTATTTAATGGTATATAAGAGGAAAGGTTTCCAAACAAGCCGCCATGTTTGTGGGAGGTTTGAGTAACGGGACTCGTCCAATCGCAGAGGATGTTTTTTTTTATCATGCCCGTGTGACTTCAGCTCACACGATATCACATTGTGTGACATGGCTAAAAGAATCTCAAGACTTTGTTTGTGCGCATTTGAACAATGCACGGTTTGTCAAAGTTCAGAGAGGATACAACCCAATGCAGACACCATCCTGAGGCTCTTTACCTATTGCAAATGATGGCGGCGTATGTTCAGGCTCAGTTAAAACAAGTTCAAATGTTAGTGAAATCTGGTGTTATATTGTACTCGAGTGTTGGTTCAGAAATGTCCAAATGGACACAAAAAAAGTATACTGTGAGCAATCAGACAACAAATTGGATTTGACCAGTAAGTCAGAATAGAGAATTAAATTCCTGTTAGGGAAAGTCCAATATGAAATAAAGCTAAGTGGACTCGAGAACACCTGGGGGAGCGCTGCCTCTCACCACTGGATGGCTTTACGGACTCGCAGTTCTTGTTCACTCCTCGGGAAAAATAATTTGGTTTCACCTCCTTTCCAAGTGGGGATTATTGGGGGTTAATTAAAAAGCGTTCAATCTTCCACAATGACATCTCAATAGGGCTTACACAGTGGCATTAAATCACTAATTAGATATTTCAACAGACACCCACAGAGTACTCAAACGCAAGCACGTCCAACAGAAGATCTGTAGTCCGACCCAGATTTCTATTTCCACTGGCACACAGATTTGTTTTGATTTTCATTCCACTGAACAAACCGTTAGATGTGTTGTGACTGCATTGTTACAATGTCTGGATCAGAATGTCAAGCTACATATCAAGCGCGTCATTCTTTACGCAGAGCGGGTGATCGGCTGCAATCTGCCGTCCCTCAAGGAATTGTTCGCTTCTAGGACCCTGAAGCGAGCTAGAAAGATTGTAGCCGACCCTTCTCACCCCGGACAAAACCTGTTTGTGTCCTTTCCATCTGGCAGGAGGCTGAGGTCCATCAGGACCAAGACCTCATGCCACACGAACAGTTTCTTCCCTGTCGGCAGAGCCTGACTGACATCCCTGCTCTAGATTATATTCTTTTATTTTATACTGTAGATTTAAAAACATTTTGATCATTGAACAACACGATGTTATTTGTCTTGTTGTCCATTGTCTCATTGTTCTACTGTACGATGTAATGCACAAACCACCATGTCAAAGTCCTTTTATGTCTAAGATACTTTGGCAAGTAATGTTCCTGATTCCTGCTATCCAGCGTTTGCTATCCATTGTCTAATATCTGTGATGTCACCGTCTTATCCTGTCTCACCAGGGCGCAGATTTGGAGACCCTGAAGCAGTCGTCCAGGCTAGTCCACTACTGTGCCACCCCTCTCCTCTTTGACCCCATCTTCCGCAAGCAGATCCAAGAGGAGCAGATCGTTCAGCCTTCATTGAAGGTACGTCTGTCTCAAAGGAAAGTCACTGGAAGAGGCGGGTCTTCCCTTTTAGGCATGGAAATCAATCAATCACTCACTCACTCCCGTCAGCATAATGTTTAAAAACTGACAATCAAAAAGTATTGTAGGGATTTAAACAAGTCTGTGTTGCAGCGACCCTTTTGATATACATGAAACAGCCACAGTGAAGGAGCTGCTTTCTGTGTTTCGGGACCCACATACCTCCACACAACACTTTCAGCCTAACATATGTCAGGGCCCTGGGCATTTCAGGGCATGTGTTGCAAATGGACCGGTGCCAGAGATCGGTTGGACCTCATACTTGTCCTCCATGGAGTATATGTTGAACAGGTTCAGGACATGTTCAGTTTTGTTTCCAATGCCTGCGGATGTGGAAAATGATGTGGATGTATGAAGTGGTGACCTCTTGGATGCAAACAAAAACTACTAGTTGGTTTAGGCTACAACCACAGGACTGTAAATAAAGATCTTCTTAGACCTGCCTCTTTTGGGCCTGGCCCCAGCCCTGAGACATGCAGACAGGCCGAGAGGACATGCAGGAAAAGCATATATAATTACTGGGTATATTCCATATTTCAAAAACACAAATATTGACAATTTGTAAAATGTATTTTTAATACAATAGCTCTCTATTGGCCAGCCGCCACTGCTTTGAAGTCCATATTTGTACTGGATTTCTTTGAGAGAATTTCAGTCAAAAATAGGAAAACACACACACAAAAAATCTGCAGTGATGCAGGTTATCAACTTGCCGTCTGGAAGTCTGGGGTTTTCTACTAATTTTTCTGTCCCTGCCAATCAGTTCATGCGAGAAACGAGCAGTCTTAGCCAGTGAGCATTTCAAAACTTTCAAAATGTTAAGTTATAAAATAATTGTTTATTCATTTAAATATAAATAAAAACTATAGGAAAGATAATGTCCAATGATCTTTGTTGTAAACTGGTGAAACACTGGGGGGGAACAGGGATTGTTGTATGTTTCCTTGATGGCCGCTGTTCTCTGTAACAGAAACGCCATCGCTCCAGTGACTCCACGGCGTCCGGTCGAGATCGCAGCTACAGCAGCGACTCTGCTGACACGCTGCCCAGCCGCCTAAAAGAAGAGCCGTGGCTGCTGGACATTTCTAGCACCTTCCTCCAGCAGTACGTTCAGTACCTGCAGAGCATGGGCTTCATCCTGGTGCAGGTCCGGCCTCAGTCTCCAGCTCGTAGGTCTGTCTCTGCTAAAAGAAAATTGCTTCCAATTGTTTTTGAATGTCTGCTTGGGTTCATTTCCAATTCCTCCTGTTTCGCGCTCTGTGTTTACTGTTTGAGATATACGACCTGGCTGGCCGCTCACTTAGTGATCGGGGCCTTTGTGCTGCACGCCATCACAAGTGTTTTGCAACTGCTAATTTTTTAATGCATAACTTTAGAAAATGCATCCTCTCTCCCTCCATTGAGAGCAGCACTCTTCGGTTTGTCATCACATGTGTTTTGTCTGACCTCTGACCTCGCAGCGGTGCTGCCCGTGGCTGATGTAACCAGAGTGGATGGAGGGAAGATGCCTGTCACTTTCTAGGCTCAGACCGTGGGACTCTCTCTGAATTATGTCTCACGGCTTGACTACATGTGCTGGCGGCTCGTTGTCCCTTGGGTTCAGACCTCTTTGGTTCAACCAGACCCTAACTGACCCCCCCCGCCCCCACTCTATCTCTCCTACAGCATCGCCCGGGCTCGTGCTGCCATGCTGAGCTCGATGTCATCGGAAGGGAGGATGTCTTTTTCTTATGTAAAGCAGAAGAGCGAGGACAGCCCTAAGGTTAGTGTTAACCTCAGAGATGCACAAACCTTATTCTCCAAACGCACACAGGCACACTTGGATGGAGCCAGGCTCTTATTGTGGCCCCTCTACTTTTAGAGTGTCTCATTAAAAGTGAGTCCATGTGTCCAAAACGGTTCTTCACTTTATTCCTTGTAGCCATATCCCATTTTCTGAATATAAAGAAGCTAGAATAAGTAGTAATAGAAGTCTAAAGCAGGGAACAAGACAGCTTTGCAGTGTTGTAGCATTAGAAATTGGCACATTGCTGCTCACTGGTATATAATACTGTATTTTTCCCAGTAAACAGCATTTATATCCCCAAAGACATGACAGCGATAGAATGTTTGCGGTGCCACAGTAATAAATAAAGACTTTTGCTGCCTCTCTCAAACAGCTGCTGGGCGTTCAGGAAGGTTGTGCATGTTTGTCAGGTAGCGGTAACCTTTTCATTGCTGCTAACATCAGCGAGAGGTGGCTCAGATTAGACTTTATTTTACTTGGTGGTACACGACCAGCAACTCACAAATAGGAAATGCCCCCCACCCCCCTAGAATGGGTTCTGAATTTGTTTTTTATGTTGGGTTCTGATCATGTTCTTGACAAAGTGCAGAAATGACCATTTTAATGCTATTTTACGAATGAATTAATCAATCAGCTTGTCTCTGTGTGGTGTTTTTTTAGGGGCAGAAACACACACACACACACACACACACACACACGTAAATATGTATATTTATTTGTGGTGGACACGTCAATGCGTAGTTATTGCGTTAACTCATTAATGGCAACATAATTCATTATTGTCGGCATTATGTCATCATTACTATTTTGACAACCTGCAGCTTTCTGGCTCTCCATAAACACACACACACACACACACACACACACACACTATGAGTCACAGTCAGGGTGAAATGGTCTTTAGTGTTTGCTTGGGAGGGGTGTTTTTCGATAACAAACTAGTTACAACGTTATTGGCAGTGGCAAAAAGCTTTGGTTTTATATTTGATTTGATTAGATTCATCCTCAGTTTGATATTCACTATTACCAAGAACTATTTTAACGGCTACAGTCTAAACACTCGTGTGGACAGCTGAGTCGAGAGGCCAAAGTACACTACAGAGTACTGTGAGTGAAATCAAATCTTTGTACGCCTTTGTTCAACAATCATACATTTGCGTCACAGATATTTTACTCTGCTTTGCCGAGTCACTCATGCACTGCCGGTGTCGCTTTCCTCCTTCTGTTAAACTTAAATAAACACAAATATATTTTTAGCCGCAAAATTGGTTGAGATTTATTATTACTCCTTTCAAAGACATTCACGGCACAAAATACAAGCTATGGGGCTTTGGAACAGCTATATGTACCTTTTAACACTTTTATTAGACCAACTGATTGTAAATTACTTTTCTGTAAATTAATTTTGTAGATTGCAGCATCGGGCGCCACTGCGTACCACCTCCAAAGGGCGCTGCCAGGGGGCATCGTGTTGATGGAACTGGCTTTTAAGGTGAGATTTTGCCTTTTTCTATTGGAGCCTTTTTTTTACACATTTGCAACAATTCATGCATGTTTTCTACTGATAATGCAATTAACTTTTTTTTGGAGCATTATCGTCAGTTATTGTCAGTTTATGACTTAAGTACATAAATAAAATTGACTTTATACAGACTTAATACATATTAAAAAAATAATGTGAATCCTAGAAGCGTTTTAGTTGGTCCCAGTATGTCAAATGCAGCAAAATACATTTTACCTGCTGTCGCATTTTGCAGTATGAAAGCCAGCGTGCAATTCCAACCCACAATCCTTTTCACAGCAAGAAACACACAACTTTGAGCACAGCTGGATATTACTACAAGACACGCAAACAGCTACAGTGACACAGTGCTGCTTTCAGCTAAATGCTAACGCAAGCATGCTAAAAGCCTCACAATGGCATCGACAACCTGTTTAGTGTCAACAACATTCCGTGGCGTTCCATCCAGTAGACGATATATGATAGCAACCTACACTGCTACCATGGCCAGAAGTAAACAACTTAAACTGATTGACGCCGGGAAATCCTCACCTAGAGCTACACTACCAATACTGTAACTTGGTTCCATCTTTGACAAAGCTCCTGCAGAGCCATAGAATACGTGTTGGCATTCTTTCCAGTGGAGAGTTGACTTTTGCACAAAGATATTAAAGGGACCAGGACTGACGTGACATTATATTTCCATGTTGTCAATCTACAGTGAGTTTGAACCCTGTTTGCATTGTCTGCTTTTCTAGCGGTAACATTTCCAGGCAAACAGCACAACTAGTTTGCTGGGTTTTGTTTTGTTCTTACAGCTTTAAAGAGCTGCTGTGGGTTCAGTGGGAGATGAACCTACTGAGACTTAATGCTTTGGTTCTGCAGCTCAATTATTCTGAGTTGAGTCCGTTGGAGGCCATTTGAAAGGTCTTAAACTACCATCCTATCTCTTTGAAGCACGCAGCTATCCTCATGAACAGTAAAGTAAACTCATTCTCCCCTCGGATGTTTTTTTCTGATGAAATAATCACATGTTCTCCATATATGTTTTCTCCTTCCTCCAGGGGTGTTACTTCTGTGTGAAGCAGTATGCACTGGAGTGTTCCCGAATTCCCATGGGCCAGACCGTCAACTCCCAGGTAAATGATTGACAGAAATCTGTCCACTGAGCTGTGACTTTTGTTTCTGTTGGTTTAAGAGCAGTGGTTTTACAGCAGGTTCCAGGGACTTCCGGGGGAAGTTTCTGTGCCATGAATTGGCTTACAGGGAAGCTGGTCAGGGGTCTTGACGGTCCCATGGGTCATAAAGATGAACGTTTGGATGTTTGGATGAAGATTTTGTGCTAAAAGGTTGGGATTTGTCTTGATAAAGAATTCTCTGTATTTACTACCAAAGGGCCTTAAGTATTCTGAGAGAATCTCACTTAAGGTAGATCAAGTTGGGATTTATTAGAAGGAACATTTTAGTCTACTTTTTTTGTTATATTGTGTCTTAAAGTTATCAAGCCCTTTGCAGCCTAATTTTATTCACTCAAGCTTATGGGACCATCATTAGCTCTTCGCTACTGTTGACTGCATTCATGTCTCAAAAATCATGAATCTGGTGTTTATTTGTGAAGTATTATAAAGTTTGTTTGCCATACATCTTATTTTCTTCAACATCCCCACTGTGTTCTGTGGAGGGCAACCATGTGATGCTACTTTCTGGGGGTGGCCTACACAAACATGTGATCCCTGCAGGACTTTATTGGTGTTTGATCTTTTTCATTTGCAACACTTTAGTGAAAGATGATTTTATGAATCCGCCATAGACCACACGTCTTTGAAATCAGTTTTATTTATTGTATGGTGTGCTCCATGTCTACCGTACCAGCTACATCACCACTTAATATGATCTCCAGAAAAGTGCTTGGGGGTCACTGAGGCGTCCAGGTTTGAAAAGGCGTTGGTTGACATGTGTTCCTTGCCGTTCACTTTTATTTTGAAGCTGGAGGTTTTTGTTTCTGTTTCTGCTAAATTGTGCCAGATGGTCTTTGCTGAGATTAAAGGTCAGGGGAAAAGTTATGTTAACAGTCTGTGTTACGTCCCATTTCTGAGGTGGTGTTGAAGAATTTTATGCAGCTGGTGCTCTCGGGTTTCTCTGGTCATCCATAATGGATGTTTTTGATTCTAGAAAATACAGTTATTAAAGGATTACGTTGCATTTGTTTTTGTTATTGTTATTGTCAACAAATGCCATGAAGAGACTGAAACCAACAATTGGTTGCTGTCTCTACAATCTTTCTCACTTCCGTGATTTTCTATAACCAATAATTCATTTTTTGGCATCTATTCTTACCACCCCAACATCTAACCCAATCTTTGAATTGAAATCACATTTAGCAGAGCGACTCACAGAAGTTCTGGTCCTGAGCCACAGCTGACCAACCACCTGCGACGATTGTCCTTTTAACCAGTACTAGAGAGAGAACTTAAACACATGTCGTTAACGAAACGTTTAAAGACCAAAGGAAGGAGTGATGCAGCGTTCTTAATGGAATCCTGTCAGCATCCGCCCTCCTTTGCCTCGCATGTAATTTGATGTAACATCATATTCAGTTTGGAAGTTTCTCTCACAGCAGCATTGCTTTATAGTACAAATACGTCACCTCCTTTACAACTTACAGTTGTGACTAATGTTACTATACATTTTATTATGACTATAAATCAACGATTTGAATTAGGGCTGTCAAAGCTAATGCATTTATCCATGGGATTATTGTGGCTACGATTAATGCGCTATATTATTTTAATGTAGTCAAGCAACTTTGTTTACTTCAGGTGTGTGTTGACCCCTGACCCCTGAAACTGCCACGTGCTGCAGTCAGTTAGATCCAAGGGAGCAAGACAGTAGATGAAGATGGTGAGAGCTTTTTGCATCGGACGTAAAACAAACAGGCGCAACATACAGCGAAGGACTTTGCAGAGGAATTCCTCCATGTGTCAAACCAAAGGGAGATGAGAGGCAAACGGACCATTTTACGACTGATAGTGTCCGGAACAGGTTTGTAGCTTCTAGGCTAAGCCATCTGTAAGGCTACTTCCATCTCAACATCTACCCTGCAGAGGACCACCACTAAAGACAGTGGTTTGGAAAACGTCCTGGCTAAATTCAACACAGCTGTTAAATTATGGAGAGTTAAGAAAAAAGTGCACGAGGACAGCAGGAAGAGTCACTAGATCAACACGATCCACCCGGTAGAATTCTGCCTCCAAGGTGATCAAATGTGTGTAGTTTCTGTATAAAAATAGGGTTAGGGTTAGAATACAGCAGCATTCTAAAATAAACGTTTTCTAAAGTGATTACTTTTAATCTTTATTATAAAAACAAACTTTTAATCACGATTTACCTATATTAATGAATTTAGAAAATGTGAGATTCTTTTTTTTTTTTTGTCTTTGACAGCCCTAATTTAAATAAATCATGTGATCATTTGGCAGCACATCTTTTAATATTTTTGTATTTCAACTTCTAATGTACCATATTTAACTGACATTTACTTTTGAACTTTGGCTTCTATCCATTGTCAACACTGGATATTTTTTCTTTATGTTTTGGTTCACAACCTTTCAAAAGGTAACTGCCTGTGAAGATGAAATCCCGATGCTGTCCCAGAGCGACTCTTCATCTGGAAGAAAATTACTGTGCTTCAGTACCTTCCCTTACAGGGTGTTACTCACATTGTCACTTTTTAGGCTTCATTGCGTTTTCCAATCTGCGCGGTGTCGTGCCGTACGCAAGAAAGAAACCGTGTTCTCATTCAACAGATATACATGCAAAGCTGCCTGACAATGTGAGGTATGTCGGAGATGGAATTTGCTTGTTTGGTAAAGTAAAGCCAAGCAAATCCCTCACTTCAAGTTTGACATTGGGTAACTTCACCAAGACCGTTGTTTTAAGCCGAGAGCACAATGTCTAACCTTTGAGAGAATGGAGTAGTGTTGCACCTAATTCGTTGAATTGCACCAACCAATTTAGTTTAACTATCCTTTGCTGGAGTCTAACTGCTCCACAAAAGAGATACACATTTAAGACGGTTATGATACAGATAGCTCCAGTCTTTGTTAACGTACATGATTTAAATCATTGCCATGCCCCTTACCTGCTCTCAACAGGGCGATGGCTGAGCATGGCTCTCCACTAATGATGCTAACAATGTAAAAAACTACACAGCTGAGATAAAAACAAACAGTTTTAACAGAGTATCTTCATCCACTACTCAGGTAGACAATACTCTATACCATATATTTATATAACAAATGTTTGTTTGATCTCAATATTGTATTTAGCCCCAAATTGCCCAATTTGCTGGAAAAAAATGTTCTGAATAGACCAGCAGTTTTTTTAAATAGTTTTGTAACTGTAAAATCCTTGTGCCTGACTGATTCTAGTTTCCTGTTACTTTAGATATATCATTTAAGTTTAAAGATGGCTCAGAAGTTTGAATTCTCACAGCTGTGATTTAGCTTTTTTGAAAGATTCCATACTAACTCTAATCCCACCTGCCAACACCTCGGGGCTTGATTCCCTGCTTAAGCCCTGGTTCTGTGTTAGGTGAGCATCACGAGCCGTTTCCATTCTCTCCCACTCGTGACGGATCCCTTTTCAGAATTTGGAACTGATGCACTTTGATGTGGCAAAAGGAGAGACTTTTAGAATATGTCACAGCATTCATTTCTGTGCGTGCATGCGTTATATATTTTTTCACAGCAGGCCTATTGCAGAGAAAAAGCACATGCGTGCAGAATGATATGATGGGTTGCTGCTTCAGTTTCGTGGTGCAGCTGTCACATTGTCAAGGGTTAATGGGACATTTGAAGAGAACAGAAGCCATGGTAAATGTTATTGGAAACAGCTCTGCTTTTCCTACCATGACAAGCCATGTTGGCTGGAGAAAAAACTGCTTATTCTGGGATAATAAATGCTAAGAACATAGGAGCACGAGTATAGAGGACACTTACAGTAAGCGTACTAGTGCAGCAATATCTATTATGTGTTTTCATGAATCTATGGTTTCAAGAAGATTTTTTCAAAAGTTCAGAATCACCTCGATTGGCTTTGCAGAAATTTGGCACAAACGTCCACCCGTCAAGGTTGAACTGATTCAATTTGTCAGTCGAAAGTCACTGTGACCTCACGAGACACGTTTTTGGGCACTCAAGAATTGTTTCAGTAATTTTGACAATTTCACATGATGGAATTAAATAATTCAATTCATTTTATTTTGTATAGCCCCAAATCGCAAATTACAAATTTGCCTCAGAGGGCTTTACAGTCTGTACACATACAACATCCTCTGTCCCGAAACTCACCATCAGCACAGGAAAAACTCCCCAAAAAATGAAAAAACCCTTCCAAGAGGGAAAAAAGGGAAGAAACCTTAGGGAGAACGTCAGAGGAGGGATCCCACTCCCGGGATCGACAGACTACAATGGATGCCATGTGTACAGAATGAACAATGTATAATACATTAAATTCCTATGACAGAAATGATTCAAGTAATTGTGAGTAGTAAGCCAGGCCACCATCAGATAGAACCACCATCCACAGAAGCCTGTGGGGAGGGAGAGCACAGAGACTTTAGGAGAGGTAATGTTGGTTTACGAGTACAGTAATATGATTAATTAATGATGAAGGGATAATTTTGAGCCTACTGCCTGCATAACGAAACACCCCAAAAAGTGTTGTGTTTCTGACTTCTGGGCAGGCACAATATTGGGATAAAAGAAGAAGAAGAGTTCATGATTTCTATATATTGACCTCTGGGCCAGTTGACCAGTTTAATCAAATGGGGTCTACAGCTCTAATGTGTGTATGTAATGTGTGTGTCATAGCATTTTTGCAGCATGGAAAAGGGTTGAGAAACCATATTCTTACTGTAGTATTTCCTCAGTCTTCCTTTCCATCCACCTGTCTGTGTGTCTGCCTGGTCCCACCTCATGTCATCTCTCCATCAGGGCAGCCTCCTCACCAAACCTCGTTGCAAGCCGTTTCCAGATGCCACCCCAGTATCTGACTGTGCGGTATGTCCCAGCGATTCTCAAGGGAGGGGTGTCTCACTACAATCAGGCTTCACCCCTCCCCGCCGCTCTGCTTGCTGCCATCAGCCCTGGTCTCTTCCTTTCCAAATGTTTATGTCTGTTTTTGTATCTTTGGCAATGAATGGGTTGCAGTGTTCAAAGATGATTGTTTCATTCATACTTGTGGAAATGACAGTTGCTACAACATACAGCTTAACTATAAGGCTAACTGTAGGTTTAGCTGGATGAAGATTGTTTTTTTTCTTTGGCTAAGGTCTAGTATGGAAATATCTTCTGGTTGAGATTCAGGCCTAAAGAATCCAGAGCTTCTTTTATTTCCTTTTCCATCTTGGCTTTCAACAGGCTGTCCACCTCTGTGCTTGCTGGTTTGGGTGTTATGGGTTTCTCAGCTTGTATTTGACTTAACTCTCCCTTCTGCCATTGCTTTCATAATCTTACTATATTTCCTCTTGCATCCTTGGCCAGGGGGATGACTGGAGTTAGGACTTCCTTACAGACCTGCTTCCACTATCCGTGGAAGCATCTCTTTGGGTTTAAAAGGTCATGATTGAATAACATGGGGCTGGAACCTGCTGCTGCTCTGCTGGCTATACATAATAATTTTGACTGACTGTACATTTGGTTAGATTTCCTGGAATTGGTTCATATCTAAATGAGGGAGTGACTTCAGTCAATGACTACATATTTCAGAAAATGTGGTGTTCCCCAGGGTTCAATTCTAGGGACACCTCGGTTCAAATTCGACATGTTCCCACTTCTGTTAATAAGGCAGAACTAATGGGTTCAAACTAGTGATGAGATGTGCTTCAAAGACCTCATTTAGCATAATTAGGAGAGCTGCACTTTATAATTAAAACATACACCATGGCATTTAGTACATAGGCATGATTTCCATAGACACGTATAACATTTCACAAATTAATTAGTTTATTATCATCATTACCAATATCATTATTATGTTTTCTGAAATCTGACCTCATATCTAAATTGATTTAAATATCTTCAAATATAAATAAATTATTTATTTATTTAAGTTAAAGAAAACACAAATCACATATACTCATATGGGGATTTATGTTTTATGTCATATGTTAATGTTATATTTCACAACTTTCACTCTGAAAAACATTACAGTCAATCTACAACAACCACGTACATTATATAAAACCAAATAAAATAATTTATGTTTGTATGAAATGTTTTATTACCTGTTTTCCAGGAGTCGATTTTTAAGTTTCCTTATCATGACTGCTTGTCAGTTCTTTTTTTCAATCAACATGTCTTCCCTTCTTGTATGACCCTCAATGATTACAGTTTCTTCCATCAACACAGTGACTGACATTATTTTCACTTCTACTGTGAGGGGGAGGCTGATGGGAGACAATAGGCAGCACGACGACTCAACCTGATAATTTGTTACACAGGGTGTTTAATTAGTTAGAACATGCACCGTTTGGGACGACAGGTCAGGAAATAATAAATGTTAGCTTGACAGTGATGCGACACAGGCAAAAAAATGTGCTACCCCGGGCTCAAGAGCTTTTCGTTGTCCCTTTGCCGTCCTGGCGCCATCAATAGCGGGCTAAGAGGTCACGCCTAATTTGTCCTCCAGACTGCGGGGAACACCTCTGGGAGAAACACGTTGAGGTTTATCTTTTTTTATTCCACTGTGCCAAAAGAATATTCTTCTTTCTTATCTCTGCAGATGACTGTCGTGATAATGCTGAATGTGTCCTTCCCTAGTGGTAGTTTCTTAACAAGAGACAGGGAAAAGGTGCCGGAAGGTCCCAGAGTTGAAGGTCTTATCTCGAGAAAGAGAGCCACGCAGCTTTTCTCCCCTCTTTTATTTGATAAAGCCTGTTTGTGGAGGTTCCAGCCAAACGGTCCAGATGAAGGTGAACGCCAGGGGAGCATTCAGCTCTCATTGTGCTGTAATTAACTCTCTCTGCAGCCATTCACATTCGCAATTAATGCTTTTGTCAGCTCCCTTTTGATGTTGGATTTAATTAAATAAGATGCTATTGTCAATCCGATTGATATCAAAGTTACTTACAAAAGACTTTCACCGGGAAGCAAAAGTGGCAGCGCGGCTTCGGGGTGCACAACAAAAAGCATGGCCGGCAGCAGCTGGAATGGCAGGTTTAGCCCTTCAAATGCAAAGCAGGTTCACTAGTGGATGATAACACAGATAAGCATTCAGAGATGCTATTCACTCCCAGCAATCTGTGTAATGAAAATGGCCACACTCATCAAGAAGGCTCTTGTGTTGCTGTGACTCCTGTTACTTTCCGCTAGCTGCTCTGTGACGGTCATGACTGTGTCCACCCCTCTGTCTGTAGCTCTCCATGCTCTTCACGGAGGAGTGCGATAAGGTGCGGGACCTAATGCACGTCCACTCCTTCAGCTACGATTTCCACCTGCGAGTGGTCCACCAATACCTGGTAGGCTGCCACATGACGCTGCGCCAGGGCTACCAACTCACCGACTTCCTGGACGACTTCATCTCCCATCACCCAGACATTCCCAAGTTTGGCCGCAATCACGTCTTCCAAGGTGACTCAAGAGTAAAGTTCGCCAATCCCTATGGTTCATGTAGAATCATCAGACGTTAGGGTTACTTAACGTTTGCGCTGGAAAAAGAGAAAAGTGTCTGCCTCCATCAGAGTACCTTGAGATGAACTCAACAGTAGAGTGTTAGGAAACTGCCTTCTTGGATTGCGGTTAAGTGGTGCAACAAATATGTATATTCAAATCTACTGTAAGGCCCGGGCTTCCACTCCATACATCAGTTTTAATAATTCTATTGTACCTATGACTAACTGTGACATGCTTTTAACATTAAATTGGGCGTCATTTGCGCCGCCCGTGGCAAAATTTGATGTCTTCATCGACTTTGCAAGCAATCTAGTCGCGCAAATATTTTGCTTCGCTTTTGGTGAGAACATACCATAATAATCAAATAAGTCCACCGCAACCTGCTTTATAAAAAGCCTCATGGAACATAATGCACTTATTAGCTGTATCTCAATTCATCGGGCTGTATCCTTTTCACCTGGGCTGGGTCCTCCAGCAACCGCATAGGCTGAACCGAGCTGTCGCCGAAATGGGACGGTCTGGTCTACAGGGGAACTTCTATTTTACTTTCCTACTCTGCTTTACCTTCGCTGTTTCCGTTGCCTAGAAACCTGCTGATCATCTGATCATCAGAAACCCGATCATCTTATTTCATTTAATTTATAAACATATGCTTCACCTCCGGAGCATGATGTATTTCAGGCAGAGCAAACAACATTTCCCTGTAATTTTAAATTTAAATTAAATCAGTCAAGCCATGTACATTCAGCTAAAACTAATAATGAATATATAACTAGGGGCGGATGCCACTAACAACCCAGCGGCTCTCGGTAACATGAGAGTGAAAAATATGTGGTCAATAACCGTTGTGCCATTCATCACAAAACTTGCTGGATATGTTTCCTGATAATGTTGAACCACATGTGAACCATTATTTTATCACTCAACATGAGTACCCACCAGTTATAGAATTGTGTATGACCCAGAGACAATTTTGGTCATAAATCCATCACCAAAATCAATGTCCAACATCACTAAAATTGGAGGATATTTTGTTTGAGTTGCGTGTAGTTATTAATCTAGCACCACGTGCTGTGGGGCATCCAGCTTGCCCCACAGCACAATGCTGAATGAAAATCTTCCAAATAGTTTCACTGCCACTCCACTCTTTCACTGCTGCTTCAAACCCAGCAGGAGGGAGAGGTAAAACAAAACTGCTGCTTGTGTTCATCAGGAAGCTTCTCCATCTCCACGGGGATGATAACAGCTCATCAGCTCTACAACTACATCACTGACCACGCCAGCACCTACGGCATGAAGCCACTCCGCATGTCCAAGGCTGTCGTCGCCACTGACAACAAGAAAGGGCCGCCTGACCTGCACGAGTATGCACTAGTGGCTCTATGGAACAGGTATAAAGACATCCCAAGCAAAGCATGCATACATATTTATATTTTCATTAAAATAACAGCTTCACTTCCACCTATTCTGTCTTATCTTCCTCCGTGCTTTAGTTCGGGTTCATACAAGGACCTGGAGGGCCTGCACCACCACGACGACTTTGACGTGTCCCTGGTGGTGTGCCACAATGCTGCTCCCTTTGAGGAACAGTCAGATGGAGAGAGGCATCTGTTGAGGTAAAGATTAGTTTCCAATTATTTCTACAACTCAGATTTTTCTCTGATAGAGTGATTGGAACAGATACTTCTTTGCGACAAAAACCATTCATGAAGTTCGGTTCTTTTATGACTTTATTATGGGTTAACAGAAAAAGTGACAAAATCTGTTCCAATCACTCTTGTAGATTTGTAGAAATAACGGGAAACTCAAGAGAGCCATTATGTTCTTTACAAGTGTATGTAAACTTTTGACCACAACTGTACATATGGCACTTGAATGCACTTATTGTAAGTCGTTTTGTATAAAGGCGACAGCTGAATGAAAAATGTTAAGAGACACAAAAGAGAACCTGCCTCTTCTGGGTGCGAGCCTGAAAATTATATTAATTTAATTTGTGTTTTTCTATTTTTTATTATTCTATATTTTATTTGAAATAAATAGTGACTTGACTATACAACAACTGGCTCATAGCAGCCCTAGTTTAGCTGTTTGTCCACGTTGATCATCTAAAGCAGGGGTCCCCAACCAGACCATTTATTGCCGGGCCAAAAGATGACTAAATATTCTCCTGTTTCTTCGTGCTTAGGTTGCGGTTCTATGTGATCATGACCAGTCAGCGGGAGCTCTTCCCCCGCCTCACGGCTGACATGCGACGTTTCAAGAAGCTTTCTCAGATCCACCGTGATCCCGGTGAGCTGAGTGGCCGGCTCCCCCCCGATCGGGCCGAAGCCTGCGGGGGGCGCGGCACCGAGCAGGACCTGTGGGAGGAGACGTCGCCCGAAGCGGCGGCCTCCTTGGCCCCGAGCGACGGCAATGAGTTTTACCCTCTGGCGGAGGGCAGACAAGAGACCCAGGAGCTGCTCTACCCCTCCCCCCTGTTCCCACTGCTCAACAACGAGGTGGTGTTGGCCCGCAGACAGATCCAGGCCAGCGTGGAGCAGGCCATGGGCCATTGCCGCAGGGACAACCTGTGGAGGAGGCTGTTCCACGGCGAGCACCTGGATAAACTGAAGCTGACGAAGCTGTCCTTCAGCGAGCTGGAGGAGCTGCTGGAGGCTGTGCAGAGCCGCTCGGTGGGGGAGATCGACCCCCAACTGGTGAGACTCCCCCTGTGCAATGGTCCACCATCAACTCAGTACTATTAGTGTAGTCAAAGAGGATTTTTGATTACACATTGTGGACTCAGCAGGTTTACTGCTGACATCTGGATCATGGTGACCCACTTGCTCCTGCACGTGGCCCACTGCATCATTTCACAAATAGTTAACGGATAAAAGCTCCATTTACATATCTAGGGAAGTCCATTCACTTTTAAATGCTTAAAAAAAGCAATAAAGTAGTCCATAATTACAATCTTATTTAGTGGCTTTTTGCGGGTTTTCACCTGGTTGTACTTGTCTTAATTCTTCACAGTTCAGAATATAAACACCTCAACATGCTCTGAGCTCACGCTGAAATGACAAGCGCTTTTACACCTAAAGTTTAAAGAGTTTTTTTAAAGTAATTTCGGTGTACTAGCTTTTCGAAAGTAGACAACATAAACATGAAGGCGCTATTTATTATATATTATTATTTACAGAATTGACGCCTCACTGATTTTACATACACATCAGTCCAAACACTCATCACATCATCATTTTAGGCTTCTAGACATTTGTGTGAAATTATCATAGTTAGCCGATGAATTCTTGAGAAGTTGCCAAAGCGTGTTTTTGTCAGTTCATCTTTAAGTTTGAGGGGATTTGAAGAACTGGAGAGATTCCTGAGACGTCACGTTCACACAATGTCTCTAGTCAAAGATGACGGTTTTGGTCATACATTTATTTAGATTCATATCTATATTTACATGTATATATTTATACATGTTATGGACGTTTATATGTGGTTCTTACTCTTCCACACACCAACAGATTTGTTGACTATTAATGCTGAAAACTGAGTCACACAAAAGCACATATTTAAATTTGATGTTTTATAAATATGCCCTGAAATGCATTCATATTTAAAAAGCATAAAAAACTGCAAAGGTCAGTTGACTCAGACCAAAACAACCAATTACTTGATACTTACTTACTTGATTCGACTGAGAAGAAGCAGTCCTAATTTATACACACGATGTATGTGGATAATTCTGCATATACAATATATAGCATCAGCAGGTAAATGTTGGGGGCATTGTGTATTGTAACAATAAACTGATATAAAGCCCAGGTCTGTACACTATGTGCTGATACTGCCCCAAACTTAATTTGTCAGCAGGGAGCTCTGCCCCAGGTGTGATTTGAAGTGAATGTGTGAATGAATCGGCGTGTTAGGTTCGGCTCTGTGATGTTTGCTGTGTGATGTGTTGCTGCAGGACTGTTTCCTGACCATGAGCCCAGCCTGGTACCAGAGCCTGATCAAAGTGCTGCTCAGCCGCTTCCCTCAGAGCTGCAGACACTTTGACGACAACGGCATTCAGTACCTGGTGAGGCGATGCTCCGCTTGTGCCTCGGGTAACATTTGATCAAAGAGGGACGGAGTGTAACTTCAGCAGGTCCTCAGCATGTTGAGCCTGGGAACAATGGTTTTAGTGCTCACTTTAGGGCGGAGAGAGCTCAGTGTTTAAATGTAAGATGGGCCTCTAAGGGGATTGAGGGGAATAATTATGGGATCCTTCCAAGTTCATGAACATGAGAGCAGCACAGCTTAGCCTCTCACTCCTGTCCTTTCCCTCTCTATTTAAAACAGAAATGGCCAACATGTCTTTTTACTGTTTTTATGGGTAATTTCACAAACAATGTGAATATTACGCTGCAGTATATTTTTCAAACAAGGTTGTGAGCTCTTAAATTTGTGAGCACTATAAACTACTAGGTACACATTAAGCTTCTCTGAGCCAAGAGGGCAATATTAATTAATCATTTCAGGCTTTTATTAATGAATCTTTTCAGACCAGAACATTGAACCTTTTTCATTGTCACCAAAATAAAATATCTTTCATGTTTACTGTCAATGATAATATCATAAAGATGAATGTCTGTCAGTAGAAGACTTATCCATTGAATCTAATTCATGTTTGTGTCTTGGTTTCAGGCTGTTCTGAACCAGAAGTTTACGGACTGCTTTGTTTTGGTCTTTCTGGACGCGCAGGCTGGAAAAACAGTGAGTTCTATATTATTATTATTTGTATTACAATGTAGTAGGGCAGACACGTCAGTACTACTTCTTGTCCATCTCCTTCCTCCCACAGAGCCTAAAGGTCGTGTTCCGGGAGCCGCTGCCGTCGCCGCAGCCGGCCGGCAGCAGCCCCCCCCCTCAGCTTGTTTCCATGTACCACCACCTTGAATCAGTCATCAACACTGCATGCTACAACCTCTGGACAGGACTGCTGTAGAGCAATCCAGAGCTGGACTCACTTCCACAGGGTCTGGACCGGTGTAATGAAACAGGAAGCAGCCATTTTTGGACAAAGGTCATTTGGGGCCCAGTATGTTCTCCCATCACTTCCATCTGGCTACCAAGTAGCAGGATTAAAAGGAGCATCAGGCAGTACACAGGTGTTACCGTGGTTATGTCAGTAGCAACATAACAAGCCAGACCTTGGATCAGAGAAAATCTGATTCAAACAAAAGGATCCCAACTCGTGTGTATAAAGCTCCAATTAGCTTATTCAGTATCGGACTGAACCCTTTGGTATCCTCATTCCGGTGTGTGAGGAACTCCCCGTATGTACTGTGTTTTTGCAGTGAAATGAACGCTAGGGGTCCACAAGATGGAACTAAATTCATGAAGGAGGTGTCAGTATATGTTTGCTTGGATTTGATTTGATGTAATCTGGCCAAAGAGCATCTCCCTGTGTGCATATGAAGGACTCACCGTAAGCTAGGGGGATAACCAAGGAACTTCTTAAACTTCAGAAAGAAATGGATTCACATTTGTAAAATAGACTAAATCAAAACCCTTGAGTAGAATTAGCAGAGCTGCTTCATAAAGTTTGGTCAAGTTAACTAACACTACGCTTTCTAATTAGACTAGATACCCTCACACTGACCATTAGCACACAATCCACATAGGCTTAGGTCCATTGATGGTCCCGTTCTGTCAGAAATCGTCCCCCAATCAGGGTTAAGATTGGGTTTAATCTTAAGAAAGCTAAGGCCACAGAGTGAATTAAAGAAACAATTATTTTTAACCACTTTCAAGAATTGAGATGCATCGTGCTTGTAGCAAGGAATCGGGGCAGCACATGAAAATGTTACAAACTTCACTCATTGTCTGGATCATGTGCCTTCTAAAATCTCTCCAGCTCCTCATGCCACAGCAGTATTTCATGCGAATCAGATGTCAGAGTGGAAGCGGCTTTGATGTTCCACAATCAAAAGTGTCAAACCCCCTCCCCCACTTAAATGCCGCTGCCATATCTGGTGCCCTGAAGTGCCTTCCTCTTCTTTCTTTTAGCTCTGCATAGAGGATATCTATGAACACTCTCCTGTTGTTCAACGGGGAAAGTGCCTGAGTCGGTTTGCAGAAACGTGACAAATGTTCATATTAACTTTGCTGATCTACATAATTGCGTGCCACATGTCATCAGGGCCGAGTGCTTCCAAAGCCCATGCATGGGGGTGAGTTTAAGGCGGGGCTGGCTGGTAATCACACCTCATTTACAAGAGGGCACAAAGCCAGCCTGATGGAGGAGTGTAAACACAAAGGCTTGGTTTGCAAAGTCCTCACATTATCAATGATGTTGGATTCTACACAGGAAAACAAATGTTTAATCTCTGTTGTGGACGAGAAATGTGAACATGAGACTTTCGTCCGAATGGTAAAAATTGGATAATTCTCAGGCAAACTGAACAGTAATGAGGTATCCCCCCCACTGTCTGACTGTATAATGTATAATATGTACATACAGGATGTGAAATGATGAATAAAGCAGGAGGAGCACATGGTATTATCTGCCTTTTAAAGTGGTTGTTGTTTTAAGTGTCACATGCATGTGTTGAACAAGCTAACTGTCTGAGAGGCGGGTTAAGTTAACAAATGTACTCTTTACTTCCCCTTATGAAGGGGCAAATGCCGCTAAACAATATGCCACCAGAACGCCTTCCCAATAAAATATCTGGAAACAGCATTTTTAGTAGATAAAAGTGTATAGTAGCTGAGGATACTGGTACTATGGACACATTTAGGGAGGAAATGATGATGGCAGAGTCCCTGTCTTTATTCAGGATAAATGACAAGCATTTGCTGGATGGAAATGAAGACGTGAACCACTGAAATGATATAGGCTTTAAATGCATGCGATAGGAACTAGGTGAGAGGACTCCGCTATGACGCTACGAACTGCTGAGTTTTAGGAATATTGTGGAAACCTGTTTGTGTGAAATATTTTTTATCCCTGTATAGATGGCTGGCACCATTAGATCAATTTATCTGTTCATGAGCTAGCCAACTAAATATAATTGCATATTTGAAAAACCAAAAAGGGGATATGTACTTTTCATAACGTGACCCCCTAGTTTTGCGTTATATCCTCAGACTTCAGTAAACTTATGCTCATGTCAGTAAAACTGACATGAGCTGAGTTTAAGATGATTAATTGTCTTTTAGTGTAATTAACTTTATTTTTCACATTGAAATGCAGATGGAAAACTTTCATGTAGACAGTAAAATACACAGGATATTATAAGTATATTGAATACTTAGTGGTGTGATTGCGTATCACTGGCTGGGTTTGCTGTAGTCTTTGATCCAACCCAGACCCTCGTTGGTGGAGCCTGAAGCAGACAAAGGCCATTAGGATCCAGTGTAATATGGTGCCATCATCTATTGAACAGAAGGAGCACTGACCTAGAGGCTTGTATTCACAGCCAATGTACCCTTGGTACTGGAGCTTCTCCAGCGTGGTCAAAAGGTACCTGTAGTCCAGCTCTCCAGCGCTGTCGGGCTCGTTCCTGCCAGGAACCTGAGCAATCTGAACATGACCTGAGGACCGGTCCATCTTTATTATCTCCAGAGGGCAACATCAGTATAGCTGCACATGTTGATTTGACTTTAGCTCAGAATGGGTCTATCCCGTCTCGGATCCAAACTCTACTGCATCTTATTTTGCAGATTAGGAGCCACAACTGGGTCATGTGTAGATACCCACAAGCTGTCCAGATGTGAGAAAAACTCCTGACACTCAGCCCAATGACCTATCCCGACCCCGGCCGCTCGAGGTTGTTGCCCGGCCGCTCAGTCACCTTTTGGTCACGCCCCACAAGCTTAGAGTTGAGGGACGAATACTAGAGATTCCAATTTACAGCTACATCTAGGACAGGTCTTGACAGAAATACATATTGTAATGTGTTAATTCCAGACGGCCCACAGGGACTCCTGAAATGTGCTTGTCTGTAAAACCAAGAGATATTTTGTTTGAGTAGATTATTTAAACTCACCATGGTCTAAATCATCATTCATAGACATCATGCTAACCAGAAGAAATGTAATTACAAAACAGTTTAGATTCCTTCTGTGTGGGACAGTTTTAAGGCTGCACTCATTGTTTTTTCCCGAAACAGGGGAAATGAGATTAATATAAAAAAGGTCGCTCAGACAGACCTCAGCCTCACTCAGTAAGTTTATAATATGAATAAAATCATTTGAGATCACTGACTGAGGGTAAATATCAATACCAAGATATCTAAGGATCCCTAGGATACAAGATTATCTGTTGGGGCATTAAAAGAGGAATCTAGATCAATTACAAAAGAAGCCCTCTAAGAAAAGCGGTCACCGGTCAGTAACCAAGGCCGAAGGACTCTAGTACAATATTTACTCACCAACTATGGGTAAATACTTATGTATGTTCTGCGTCAGGTTTCCGTCCATTATCTGCCAGTGGAAGACATCCTGAAACAGTTTACACATCTGATCAGTCCAGTTTCACCCTCTTTTGGGGTCCTGTTATTTTAAAGAGTACCAACCATTTGCAGTTTGATGTTTGGCTTTCCGACCTTCTCCAGTATTGCAGCAGCTACACACACAGAAATGAGGATGAGCTGATGCATACGTCACGCAGGTAGTCAGACATATCTGCCAGAGAGGTGGTGTGTAGAAATTATAAGATCCAACGTGACAGGAATAGGACATGAACCAAACGTATATATTAACTAGCATCCAATATGGCCGCTGTCCTAGAGTTGTGACTGGAAATGTGTGCACATATTAAACCCCTCTTGGTGTGTGTTGCCTTCCAACAGTTTACATGACTAAGAAAGGGACTTTGTTTACACGGGGTCTTACCCTGATGAGGAGAGTCCAGGAAGTAGCTGGGATCTGTTATCCTTGTGTTGATTGGCTCGATCAAACCAGTGATTCCTTCCTGTGAGGAGCATTCACATCAACGCACAGAGCACCAGCTAAATCCAAACCATTCATTCAGCTGATAGGACAAACACCTACAGTGCAGCACATACATCAATAACACATCAGGCATATCCTGGAACACTACACTGGAGACGCCGTGACATCCACATATTTGGGTTTTTTAATGACTAGATCTGTACGGGCATAGTACAGGTCAACTTTTTGCTGAACCAAATAATAATACCACCTCTAGGAATGCATTGTTAATATCATATTCTGTAGACATGGGTAGGTCATTCAGACAGAGTGTCACAAGTCTTTCTCTGGCTTACTCATTTTGTAATAAGCTATGGGGGTTTTTCCTGCAAAAATCCCATTTTATTTGCATCATACTGCTGAAGTTTTTGTACAACAAAATGTACTGACCTTTGAGAAGATATCAGCAGCATAGTTTAGGTTTTGTACAAAGATGGCCTCCATCTCCTTGGCAACTGTTGTTCTGTTTGAGCCATCGGGAACCCTCCCTGCCATGAGGTGGATCCTGAGAGATTTATAGAATATACTTTATACACAAATATGAAAAAGTGTGCTTTTGTTCCTACATGGACTGACACTCATCACACAAGCAGAAGCCCTGAAAGAAAAGAGCTGCCTTGGCGGCTGCACAAAAGGGACAAATCAAGCCACATTATTATAATTTAACCATACATTTTCTTAGCACAGCATAGTCCAACTATAAGGCATTGTTGTTCAAATGTGCTGTGTTAGTTATCTTTCCTTCTGCACAAGCAGATATGTTACATTTGTTGCGCTGAACCTGAAGGGAGGTTGAAGGGTGAAAACCCGGGCGATGCCTCACCTCTTGCAGTCCAGAGCTCTTGCATACTTCAAAGCCACATCCAGACCTTGTCTGAACTCTGCCTCTCTTCCAGGAACTGCACCAAGACCCAGATCACCTCGTTTGATATTTCCTGCAGCACATTGATCCTAAAGTTATTATTCCTCCTCCTCTTCTGAGCACGGTCTGGTCGTTGTGTAGGGTTGCAGTTACCCGGCGGGCTGTTGATGAGAATCACCTCCACCCCCGTGGCCTCTCTGGCTCTCTGGAGGTCCTGCAGGTCGGAGTCGTAGAGCCAGGCGGCCTCCACTGCCCGGAAGCCCGCAGAGGCGGCCGCGTACATCCTCTGGCTGAAGTCCGGCAGCTCCGTGAACAGCCATGAGATATTGGCACAGAACTTGAGTGGAGCCATCGCGACTCACGCGCAGGTCAGCCGGGGGAGAGCTGCGGTGAACCGGACACGGGTTCCAGCGTCACGGAGCGGAACAAACCCCTGAGGACAATTGTTAATGAGCAGCCATCCGTCCCAGGAAACGGCACACACCAACGTTAGGTGGCGTTGGGTACTGCACGGTTGGCATTACGCTAGCATAGCAGGGCTTAAAATAAAGTGTTGTTTCGACGGACTTACATTATTTTTGTAATGTTAGCTCTATTAATAATTGTACTTTTACTTTGCCAATAGTTACCAAAGAAGATAGGAACAGAAGTTGCACGACGTGATACTACGTAGCGAGTTTTTGTCATGTGACTGGATGCAGCGTGCTTCCGCTCTGTGAAATGCGCATGCGCATAAGTAACTCTTCCCTGGGCTCATTTCTTCCAAGGTTTACGGTTATATGGAAAAAAGAAAATCCAATAAGTTTCACTATTAGATGATTTGGAAAGCATCACATTAACATTTAAAAAAAATCCTATTTAACTGAAACATTGATTTATAAATATTTTTGGGCTTCTGCTTGTGTGATGAGTGTCAGTCCATGTAGGAACAAAATCACACTTTTTCATATTTGTGTATAAAGTAATCAAAATGTTTTTACTATGTGTTTTGTGTAACTATGTGTTTTCCTCAAATCATGGAAATACAATACTCTATTAATTTGAATGCAGTCACGATGGATTTTCTTCAATCCCATCAATTCAGCCTGGATGTCCATCAGCATGGTGGCACACCTTCACGGTGGACTGATGAAGATTGTGTGATCAGATTCAAATTTATTGCTGAGGCAGCAAAATGCAGTTTAGCATCTGACCAGAAGTGCAAAGAAAGCAACATGTTCAAAAATGTGAGTGCAATACAGATATAATATACAGTGGATATGTAAAAATACATATAAACAGTATAAAAAGTAAATATGTTAACATTAGAGGTTAAAGGTTCAAGACAATATATATAGACATTAAGATGCAAGTTGGATTGGAGCGAGGGTGTGTGGAAAAGGTTATTGATGATGTGGGGGAAATGGGGGGTGGATAGGGCCTGTCAACGTGGTGCAGAGTTGAGGGTGTTGACTGCTGAGGGGAAACTGTTCCTAAGCCTGCTGGTCCTGGAACTGGGGTACCTGTAGACTAGAGCCTCCTAAAGGGAAGGAGGGTAAAGGAGGGCACAGGAGAACCAGGGCCCTGTTCCTTCCTAACTGAGTTAGCCGGATAATTTTCAGGATGAGATGACGTAGATCAGGCATTTCGGTTCCCCGAAGCAGGTTTGTCTAAATCACCATAGCAACACATTGAAAAACTTGCTCCGGTCTGTACAGTGTTGCAATGCAGAGAACATCTAGAAAGCCGCTGCATGTCATGCTCTTCGTAAAGTTCTTTTGGTTTATTTGTCGCTTAATAAACTTTTGGATGTTCCACGTTTCACTGCTTCAATTGATCAAATGTCTGATTATGAACAATGGATATATAACGATTCTCCCATACACATTCACGCACATATAATAAAACTCCTAGTTCTATATGGTCATCTACATACATATGATACATAAGCTGATACAGTACATATATCCTATTCATTCGTATCAATTTGATACTTTGGGCTTGTTTTCATCTACATATTCTGAATGAGTTGAGATCATTATTCTCATTGGATGATGATCATCCATGAAGCCTCCTGCAAACACACACATTTAAAGAAATATAACCTGATTGATTAGAGTGACGAGGCACTTAAATGAGCCTATACATTTTACCAACACGCATTTAACGTTGACTTGTCTGAAAAACTTTGTCGGGCTTGTAGCCTCGCAGGGGGACGGTGTCAGTTTTTGCCATGATTATATGATTCATTTTATTTTATTTTGTATAGCACAATATTGTAAATTTGCCTCAGAGGTCTTTACAGCCTGTTCACATGTGACATCCTCTGTCCAGACACCCTCACATTGGCACAGGAAAAACTCCCCAAACAATGAAGATGTATTTGATGGGGAGAATAAAGGGAAGAAACCTTTAGAGAGAGACACAGGACGATCCTCCCTGAGACGGACAGACTGCGATGGACGTACAGAATGAATAACATAAAATATGTATGATACATTAAATTCATCCAACAGAAATGATTAAAATGTGCATGATCATCTGCTCGTCAGCGGAGAAAAAATACGCTCTTCCTTTCAGTTTATTTGCCATTATACTGTTAAAAAATCCTGGTTTCGGGGGTTGACTCTTCCGCCTTCTAACGTAACACGATTCTCCTGATGACTGACATCTGATTCAAACTAACGAGACGGTTTGAGCGCCGATCCGCCTTTGAGGAACCGAGATAGACTGATGTCAATCATTTTGTTAATTTGAGCTGGATAATGGGACATTTGATCGACTTCGTTGAACCACATACGAGGAACAGGGCCTTGGACTGTCAGACTTTGCATTGGTGAGACCAGCCCAATTGGTTATGCTTCGATTGTAATGACAGCGACAGGTGCAGTCTGTTAATAAAAATCCTTTTTAAGTCAAAACAAGGGGAAAGCTTTACCTCACACAGCAGTATGTGATGTTGATTGTTACATGCCTTGTTTGTATTTGCGTTTGCGTGTGTGTGTGGTTGTGTGAGTGGGTGTGATTTTCTTCAGGTGTGCTGGCGACATCACTCCTGCAGCTGATCAGCATGGGATTAAATGGCTGTGCCAAGCCAGAGTGGGGTGTTGCTTCAGTGAAAGCCAGAGCGGGACCAGAGACGTGTTAGGTGCTGCCGTGAGGATTTTTCGAGTCACTGAAGAAGGAGCCATACTCCATATATCATTAAATACCCTTTTTTGCCGTCGATCCAGATCTCTAGGGTTTTTTATTTTTTCTTGTTTACGTCCACCACCCCTGACTTTATTGTTTTCGGAGTCAATCCTGGGCGGAGACAGCGTTCTTCAAAGTGGGCTGGCGATTCAGGCTTTCGGCCGCTGATGTGTTGCCTGTAAGTTGCCTCAAGCCCGGCACGGCTCCAGAAGATAGCCAGGGATTCGTATTGGTTAGGCAGGTTCTGAGGAGGTTGCTGTTTCCTTGAGATGAGGCTGGGGGCCTATTGTTGGGGGTATTGATATCAAACACTAAATTTGACATTTTCAGCTTGATTGTTCTTGTGACATGACCAGACTTTCAGCTAGGTAAGTTTGTGTCTGATCCGACTTTAGCAGAATGTTATGGTATTTCTGTGTCAGTTTCCCTCCGAAAAGCTGAGCTAAAGGCTTGTGTGTTTGATGGTCTTGTTAGCCAGGGAGGTTTTTTTTTCTGCACCCGTGAGCGGCCCTGATCAAGAGGTGAGTGCACCTGATGTGAAAGATCAGGCCGTTAATGTTACTCCGGCTGTTCAACATGAGGGAGCCGGACGGCAGCCAGTCACCTGGCCGCCGTTCGAACGGATGTTCGTAGATTCTCCGGGGTCTAAGCTGGATGCCAGGTTAAGGATGCGGTTAATTTGCCTTCAGGTATAGAGGAGAGTGGGATTTTCAGCAGAGTTTGAGTTGGAGGCGGAGACTGCTTTAAAGATGCGTCAGATGGAAATACAGGTTTAGGAGTTGCCCGTAACATTACCACTGCTGGTTCGCATTCTGGGGTGTTGCTTCGGTGGAAGCCAGAGCGGGACCAGAGACGTGTTTGGTGCTGCCGTGAGGAGTTTTTGAGCCAGTGAAGAAGGAGCCATCTTCCTTTTTGGAGATTGTTTTCAGTTGCCTTGTGTTGAGTTTTCCATCATTAAATACCCTTTTTTGCCGTTGGTCCAGATCTCTCGGGTTTATTATTTTAACTTGTTTACGTCCTCCACCCCTAGACACTTTAGGGACGTAACATTGATAAAGAAAAACGTGACCTTGACATATTCTTTGGTGAGTGTCCTAAACTCGCAACCTTCCATTCTTTAACTAGCAAATTCTGGAAAACACTGAATCTTAGAAGTTAAAATCAAACAAAGCCAAACTTAGATGTGAATAACGGAAGCAATAAGAGCCTCCGGAGGTTCAGCGCTGCACAACCCTGGAGAATTACCATTTCTGTCAACACACCACAAGCACTGTCGAACGCTCAGTGCAGCAAGAAGGAAGACTTGCGTTTGATTTCCCAGGCTGCACAGAAAACGTCTGTAATGGGAACAGCCTGCGCTTGCGTTCTTGCTCAGGGACACTTCAACACGAGACATGGAGCAGCCAGGGCTTGAACCACCAACCTTGCAGTTACCAGCTCTCCCTCTCTACTCCATGCACCACCGTCAATACAATTAGGTCAGCAAAGGGAGTTTTAAATAATTGGCAAGGTGAACCAGACATTCTGCTTCCTGATCTGTTTGATCTGGTCTGTCAAAATAAGAGCATGCATGTATTTGAAACCTACATTTCTGAATATAGAAGAAAGGGCTCAGTACCATCAGGACAATGTAGGAACAACCACAGCTTTTAGACACTGTTAAACGTTTCTTACAAGAGTGACATAAAAAGGTGATTTTAATATAAAAGGGTAAAAATGTATGTGCACAGGCATGATTATGGGATGCTTCTCAAAAGTCTGTTAGGCCTTCTGTTTGTCAAGATGACAAGCAAAGAGAATAAAAAATGGTCTGCTGCGGATGTGTTTGCTCCAGGGCAGACACGCCGAATGTAATCTGGGCGTCAGGCTTATGATGGTGGGGAAGTATTCGTAAGTAAAGTCTCTTTGGTTAAGTAAATTTACCTTTCTATAAATGTTAGCAATTCTTACCGCATAGTTTTACATGAATGCATACATAAAAACACTGAATCTGGCCAAAAAAACAAAAACATCAGGCAACGAGCAACAGACTCTTGCTCTACACGTCAGGGCTCGTCTAGACAATTGAGTACTTTTTCATTATGATTCCTGTTTTACTTTCACAATCACTTTCATATCTCCCTCTTGTTTCAGGCGTCTTGACTTCCTGCCTTTGTGTCTTCCCAGTGTGCTGATTACAGCTGTTTCCTAGATTGTGTCCAGTGTGCCAGCACCTTTGTTCCTTGTCTAGTTAGTTTTTGGATTGAGTCTACGACCCTTGTTACTTTGCATTTGGTCTCTGCCTGACCCTCTTGTACTTTAGCTTCTACGAGTCACTCTGTACCAAACCTGTTTTCAACCCCGTCTCTACATAAACCACCGGTGATCTTCACCCGATGCTATCCATGTCACCCCACAGAACATCAGAAGGATCAGTCAACCTATCATCAGGGAATATGGTGGATTTCCAGCTTTAAGGTCTTTGCTTGTGTGGCAGTTGGATCATTTAAACCCTGGTCACTAAAGACAATAGATAGCCAAAGC